CAATGTAGTGGCACGAAGATCAAGTGCTTCAGGCAAAGGGCCAAAGCGTAGATCCATGTCGTAGAGGCGCTGGCTCCAGTCGTCCTCCTCAGAAAACAGGAGTTCAGGAGGATGAAGTTTACTGAGGTCAGCATCCTGGTTCGGGGGAATGACAGCATCAAGCGACAACGTCACTGGGTGCATCGTTGACTTGCGAAATGTAGCCTGACGCTGAAGAAGGTTTGTGGCATCAGTCTCGGCTGGCTCTTGGACTGTAGCCGCCGGATGCACATCAATTTCAAGGCTATCTCCATTTCCAATTTGAACTGCTTGAATGGCAGGAAAAATATGTTGACCACGTCGAACACAGCAGGGACCACGAAGACGTTGATCAAGGTGAGCCTCGATGATGTCGGCACCAGAAACCCGTTGCGGCAAGTAGTACATCGCTTGAAGAAGTGATGGTTCTGCCTCCTGATGTAGAACAGCACTGATCAAGACTGATGCATGAACTGGGTCCGCTCTTTGCGTAAGCAAAATGTGAGCTGTCGGAGACATCCAAGGCATTCGAGGTGGCTCCGGATCAACAACGGCAAAGTCAATCGACTGATGAGTGTGAATCTGGTCTTGCCATGCACCAATCAACAAACTTCGCCATGTACGACGATCTTGGAGAAGACGCACTGGCCGCGAAACTGGGCATCGTGTGGTGGTCAAGGCATCAAGAAACCACGTATGCACATAGAATACAGGTCCTTCTTCCAGAAGTTCGGGCGCGGCATGTGCATCAAAGACCTGCTCTAATTGGCTGAACCAATCAGGCGCAAGCACTGCAGGAAGGTCTGGACGCTCACCGTCTTGGACATGCAAATAATGGATCCCTTGTTCAAGCAAGGCAGCTAGTCTCTGCCGAAGGTGTGGATCAGGAAGCCCAATCAGCGTGTGAATGTCAACGGTCACATCACGCTGGATGACAAGATTGAATACGTCACCGTGCACCGCTGGGATGTACGCTTCACCTCGGAGTTCACGAGTGCCATAATAAAGCCTACACCGATTGGTGAGAACTTCAGGAGGACAATGATAAAGCAACCCCGTCATCAACAACACCGAGTGAAGGCGCACATGATCACCAGCGACAATCGCACATGATTGTGGCAAACCACGCTGAACCGCAGTATCAGATACCGTGACAATAATCGATCTTGAAAATCGGTCAGGCCGCTGGATCAAAAGCAGTTGTGCACAGATGTTCGGTGCCTGGTCATCAGTCATGGGGAGCACCGCAACAATCTGGATGTCAAAAGCCGGTAAGACCAGGTCTCTCCAAGCTGCCAAGATGTCATTGACCCATGAAGAGGGGTCCGATCCAAGCACAACAATACGGGAGGAGAGACAATGCTGAACTCGACTGTGGTCAGTGTACCAGGTTTCAACTCTGGCAATGTATTCAACTGCACCTGGTCCTGGGCGCGCTGACTGGCGCCAAATGGGCCAAAGCTCTTGGACCCAGGAAGGGAGGTCAGCTAGAGGTACATTCTGCTCAGCAGGAAACTCCGGCATGTCTTCCTGTGCCGTTTGCAAAGCTCCCATGGCACGCAAGAACTCCTCTGTCCAGCTCAGGCGTTGCAATGGTGGCTGCATGGATGATGACCGCTCAGATAGTTCAGCTTCCTGGCCAATGGAGATACATGCCGCGGAATCCAGTGGCTGTTCAACATCATTGACGTTAAGGAGCTTGGCAGAAATATCAGCAAGAGGTAGGGCAGGAGGCAATGACGTCTGCATCAATGCTGTGTCCTCATCATCAGCAGGACCAAACTCGTGCCTAATATCTTCCGAAGGCACCAGGCTCGGAGAGTATCCATCTTGCGGGGTCGCCAATGGAGAGTCAAGGACCGAACGCCGAGCTTCTCGAAGTGCGTCTTCCATCAAATAGGAGGTCGTGTCCGCACAATCTTCATCTGGAGGGACGCTGATCAAAACGTAGTCTCCATGCGAGGCCCAGAAGAAACTGTCATCCTGCAGGGGTACTCGTTGACAATAGTGCAAGGTGAGCGAGAGTTCCAAGATGATGCGTCTTGTCAATCTCTGAGGGAAAATCACCACTCGACGATCTACTGCTGGGAAAGAAGCATAGTGTGGTTCATGACGATTGCCATGGATTTCAACGTCGACCAAACATAGGCAGACAGCTTCTCCCGGCACAAAGTCGTGGAGGTGGTGCACAATGAGGGGGGTGATATGCAAAGGGATGTGAGGCAGCTCGACATTGACCCGGTACACTTGTACAAGTTCATGCCGTTGGATGCCAAGATGATCTGCAATTTCAGCAAGTTGACCTTCGACATGAATGCTAGCGATCTGCGCATGAATGGCTGGATTGTCACGCCAATACAAAAGCACAGTGCGTACTGCATCATACCTATAGGAGGAATCATCTTCTCGAGGTTCAGAGGACGTGGATCGCTGGCTGGAATGCTCCTCATCCGATGAAGTGGACTGATCGGGTGAGCCATCCTCAAAATCTTCTTCTTGATGATCTTCCTGTCGTCCAGGTGCTTGCCATTCAGGTGGTTGGTACTCATTTCGCAGGCGCTTGATCGCGTGCGCCTGGACAAAAGAACCTTCATCACCATCATGTGGATGTACTTCTCCTGTGTGTGAGAAAGCCAAAACATCATGAAGTGGAGGTTGAGTCAATGTTGAGATTGAGCGCTGATGCAAAGACCAAGGCTTCGTTGGCCACTTGCTGAACGCCTCCTCAGAGATGTCCATGCTAGCGCTAAGCAGCGAATCAGCTGCACAAAATTGCAAACGAATTGTGTCTGAAAAGGAAACCTTTCTGGGGCCACTGCGTTTCCCACAGCATCGTTGTGGTTGAGAAATTGAAGCCCTGAGAGGAAGCCCCAAGTCAAAAGCAGCCTGCAATCCCTCCAAGCGGGCAGCCCAAATCGACTTGAAGTTCACCTCATCACATATAGAGTGACTCCAATATGCCACAACGACCTCCGATGCCCCAAGTTGACGCCCTTGACAAGCAGACCCTAAGGCTTCACCTTGTCGGGCTCCATAAAAGACGACTCTTCTGGTGTTGTCCCATCCAGCCGAGGGCGCTTGGCAGCTTTCTGCTGCTCTTCCACCATTTGATCTGCCGTCTGTTTGAGGTTGCTCAGGGATCCCATCATCTGTTGCAGCCCATCGGAGATCATGGCTGATGCTGCGTCCATTTTGTTTTCCTCCTCGTCGGAGATGTCGATGGAAGTCGTCCCAGCCATGCCCAACTGCGTTTGCGTTTGGGCATACTGTTCCTTGATGGCAGTCAAAGCGTCCTTCGCCGCTTGGATCTGCGCCTCTAGGATCTGGTCGTCCTTCTTGAAATCTTCCGTGGATCGACTCCATCTGTCCACCGCCTCTGTGACAAAGTTCCTCCACTTGCTGTGAAGTTGCAGCCTTGCGCCCTGTGCCTCTGTCAGAGCGTTCTGGGCCTTCTCGAGCTTGGTCACAGAGCTGTGCAGGGATTTCGCAGTGGAGTGAGTGGCCTTGACCGTCAATGAGGTGAGGTAGGCCTGAGTCTCCGGCGTAAGCTGACCCGGAGTCTTGCGAAGCAAACCAGTCAAAGTTCGCAACTGCTCTTCCGCTGAGGACGATGTGGTCGCAGCCGGGGTTGAGTCTGGAACTGATTGCAACCTGGGCAGATTGGAGGACCATACAGGCTCCTGGGATCGCTTGGACCCATCTGCATCTGAATTTGCTGCCGGCTTTGGTCCCTTTTGGGTCTTCCTTTGTCGACGGCTTGGCTTCTTCTGCCTGTCGCCCCTGGGTCTGGGGCTGTCGGGATGATGCGCTCCGTCTCGATCCGCATGATCGGTGCGGTAGGACCGGCTGGAACGATCTGTTCGATTCGAATTGGTAGATCTCGCACTGCTGGCTCTTGGTTGCTTCACTTGTTGTCTCGAATCCCATTGAGGCCAAGACTGCTGTCCCCAATGCCAATCTGGGGGCATGGGTGCATAACCCCAATGACATGAGGCACATGTCCGGGCCACCTTCTTGTTGAGGCGGCCACATTGACATTTCCATGGTTGGAGCTCCATCTTGTCGAGGATCTCGGCCAGGTGGTTGGGATCTCGAGAGTGGTGCTTGTCCAGCGTGATATAGATCTTCTGCAGCTGGTGGCGATTGAGGATAATCCAACCTCTCTTGTACAAAAACCACTGTCGCCGTGCAATTGCTCTGCGACGGCGCTTTGAACGCCTCTGTGAGGGCGTAATAGTGGATGCACAGGAGGACGCCAAAGAGGGCCGAGATGAAGTAGTGCCGTGCCAGTCCACGAAGCATGCACCACGACAAAGAGCTCCTCAGAAAGGTGATGCCCAGGCAAGGGCAGAGCACGCTGCAGGCGCTAGTGAAGGCCGCTCAGCGCACAGCAGAGCAGCCCGCGGGTATCGCGCAAGACCCGCTCAGGAGCAAGGCTAACCCAAGTGAGGGGGGGTAGTACTTCCCTCACAAGGGCACAGAGCCGAGACCTTGAATTAATAACCATTATATATAATGGTATATATTATCCATCATTAATCACCATTAAACATCATTGATCACCATTGATCACCATTATATCACCATTATTGTTTTACCCACATTATTTTCCAACATCATAATTTACCAATATAATTATATCACCATTATATCACCAACATTGTTTGTATAAAAAAACACATTATTATTGTTTTACCCACATTATTTTCCAACATCCCCGTAAAAACAATAATAAACCATCCCCATTTTCTCCATTTTTATAGGTGGTATGGTTACCATGTATGGTTACAATTCCCAGTTATGGGTGGTTTATGACATTGTTTGTAAAAAAACATATTATTGTGATTTACCCACTAAAGATGCTGATTTACCCACTAAAGATGGTTACCATGTATGGTTATTATTGTTTTACCCACATGACATCACCTGAAAAAAGTATGTTTTTTACCGGTGACCGCTCCCCAACGTTGGTCGATCCGGCGATGAAGGACGTCCGGGCGCAGTCCAAGACGCGGCCGGTGCAAGGCGTACGGAACGAGGTGCGGGAGATCCGCATGACGGAACCAGGGGGCCGCTGGAGCTGGGAAATCGTGGGGTTATGGTAGGAAGATGCTATTCAATTATACTAAGGATTACCCTCTGGTAAATTAACATAGACCCTGAAACTAGCCTAGTTTTAGTGGAAACTAATTTTCCAACCCCTATCTGCCAGGGTCTATGTTAATTTACCAGAGGGTATACATTTTTTATGAACAATGTATATTTAATGACATCATTATATATTCAACATTATTCAACTATGTAATGACAATCCAGGATGTTATATTCAATTAAATATTTAATGAACATGCTTATATGATTATTATTTATCATCATTATGATTATTACTATTATTATATATATATATATATGATATTTTGTTGTTTGGGAGATTCTATACTGTAGTAGGAATCTATTAAGGATGATATACCATGGGGATAGTGGACATAAGCAGGAATTGATTTTGTCCCATCAAGCGGGAATATCCAAGACAACTTTCGGGAATGCTTGAAATGAATGGAAAGAAAAAGGCCAAAGATCCTGGGTTTGGAGGTTAAACATGTGTCCAAGTCCAGTCTAGTTTAAGGCATTTTGTTGTTATACTATGTTGTTGTATTAAACAATATTATATATAGTTATATATATATATACATATTTTTTACATCAGTTTAACATAGTTTAACTATTTTGTTTAATTTGTTTTCTTAAATGGAGGCTTTATTGTTTTCCAATGTAGACCATGATGACACCTGGGTTTGTACAAACAAAAAAGGACGTTACGACCAAATATCAGGATGTATCGTTGATATATCAGAAGTTATTCACTCATATAAATTTGGTTTGTGTTTTTTGTTCTTCATGATGCAGCATAGAAATACTGGTTGGTGGTTTCAGACATTTTTTATTTTCCACAATATATGGGATGTCATATTCCCAGTGACGAACTCATACTTTTCAAAATGGTTAAAACCACCAACCAGAAATAGGTATCATTGATTTATCAGAAGTCATTCGCTAATAATTTTGTTTTTTTTTGGTTCTTCATGATGCAGCATAGAAGTAGGATGATCCCAAACAATTGACCGACACATGTTCTTGGGGTGAGCTTAAAGCACCAACCAAAATGGGTAGAGAGCTGAACTATAGACATAAGCAGAAAACATGTCTTGCAGTGGGAACCAACAAAAACACAAGGTGTTACTACATGTTTATAAACATATACTTACAAAATCTTACAAACATATAAACTTTATAAACCTCATGAACTAGTTCGATAAATCTACCATAAAACAAACCTAAGTTGGAATTATGTGTCATAAATCCCACATAAGTCCCACATGACTCACCATATTTCCCGGTTGTGAAACCAGCGCTGGAACGTTGCCAGGAAGTGGATGGTTTTCTGTGCATCTCCGTATCGGTAGGGAGCCGAGTTGAGCCGAGGGAGCCCCAAAAAGACCCTCTGGGAATTTTCGTGCCAAAAGTACCATGGATTGCGGGAGAACAACACCATTTTTACCGTAAAGTTGGTGGTTTGGAACCATGGATTGCGGGAATCATCCACATGACGCTGGCTGATAACAGCCATTTTGGAGGTTATTCTATCATTATCTGGTGGTTTCAAACATTTGGATTATTTTCCATTTCATATATTGGGATCTAATCCTTCCCATTGACGAACTCATATTTTTCAGAGGGGTAGGTATACCACCAACCAGCAACAGTTTGGGAGAACAAAACCATTTTTACGTGTACTTGGAGGGTCTAGGTGATCCTTTGTGATGCTTGCGATTATCCCACTGCTGCTGGGTTCAGTGGTTTTAGCAGTGCAACAGCCCTCGTTTTTCAGCTGCAGACGTCTCAATTGTATTTGTTGGGAAAACTATATGCCACTACAAGTTCCATCATAATCATCATCATCATCATCATCATCATGATGTTGGGTTCCCCGAGATCTGGGTAAAAATACCATCCGAAAAACCCTCCAGGTAGCCACACAAATTGTGAGTGAGGAAGCCTTGGGTCAGGGCACCTAACACTTGGGAATTCACCCATATTTGTTCATAGAATGGGATGATAGTATACTGTATGGTAATATCAGACAACAAATCGTCAACAAATGGGTCAAATGACCTTCCTGGTCAAGGTCAACCCCAAAAATCCACATGTCATAGAATTGGATGATTGGAAAATTTACAGGAAAGCCCTATATTTGATGGTAAAAACCATGCCCCAGGAAACATGTGGGAGATTCTGGGAGCCTTCCCGCGTGACAAAAAATGGTTCCCTGCGAGGTGAAAGACCGCGGGGGGAGCGACATCCTGCCTTTGGAGATCATCGTGGGGGTGCGGGGCCCCTGCGGGGCGCAAGTGACCAACCTTGGTTGTTTGAACTATGGTCACATTGACCATTTATTTGGGTAAATTTCATCACGACCTCACTGTTCTCCCTCACTGGAAATCATGGTTAGTAAGGGAAATGATCCCCTTTTATGGCCGAACTATTCAGGTTAGTGAAATATTATAATTTACCCAGATTTATATACAACATTATCCCACCAGAAAAGAATGCAAAGAAATGTGAATGGTGAGTTTATAGCGATATCAGGGGCTTGTATTGTACGATGTTCCATCAAAAATAGGAACTTAACTATCAACATTGGAGATTCCAAACGATGATCACGAAGAGTTGGTTCATGTCATCAATATCTCACTGGGTTTGATGGTAATCGAACTAATTCATGGGGTTAACCAACAAACACACCTGAGGAGTGCCACCCTGGGGGGTGAACCAACAGAACATGGGGGAGTTTGGCCATGAATATGGAGAGTTCTGTGGGTCGTCAACTGATTGGGGAATGGGTACTTCGGGAATTGAATTCATATTTTGCCATATCCAGGATGGGCATATTCAGACTGACCAATGAAATGATATGAAATGAACATACCATCCGGTAATCAAACATCACAATGGAAAATCATTCACGTGTGGTTGAATTTCCCAGTAAAACTCTCCATGTAGTTCGGGGATTTCCGATTGCCAGGTGTCTAAGATGGGCGAGGGAGCTTTGGCCATGGTGAATTCCCTTCTTTTGGATCGGTCAAAGTGGTTTTTTCCTTCAAGAAACCACGGTTTTTCCCATAAAAGATGAGGGGGTTCCTCCAATTCTTCCCTTAAACTCCGTTGAACTATGGAGATTTCAGCGACTTCGTCAGTTTTTTATAGATTCCAACCAGCCCATGAAGCTTGGCAAAATCGTCCAGGCCCCCTGCTACTGCTACCCTTCTGGTGCTATGCTGTGTGTGGATCCACAAGCCGAGGCGATGGGGGGTCTTCCGAGTCAACGTGTGGATGATGATCTTTAAACTGGATGACTCAAGGATTTGTTTGCGGTTTAGGCTGTCAACACATTGTGTATAACTACGTAGTTACTCCAAAGAATACACCCGTTGGTATCTGAAATTCTTGACCCATGGCCTGGCTGGGTGTTCCTCAAATGTTCCAACAGGGGCACGCGCAAAAAAGCCCATCATGGAAGGCGGATTCAGTGAATGTTGGGGTCCAACGGCTTCCTGGTATGACCATTCCAATTACCCTCTGGTAAACTAACATAACTATGGAAAATCACATTTTTTTTATGGGAAAACTCACTAAAAATGCCCATTTTCAATAGCTATGTTAAATTACCAGAGGGTAACTGATTGACTTTCTTATCTTAGATTCGCAGGGGTTCAAAGCATAATCCATTTGATCACGAATTCATCTTAGTTAATTATTCTTAGTTCATCTGCCCTATTCTTATGGCCGTGTAAATAATACCATTTTGTTGGTTACATTATGTTAACCGCATGTTTGTTGGTCAACTCACATTTTTTTGTTGGTTAACTCACCATTTCTGTTCGTTAACTCACCAGTTTTTGTTGGTGAAACCGTGAAACATGCCTTTTTTTTCCGGTGCCGCCCCGAACTCGGTGTAGGTACCCAACTGGGCCCAGCGCTCCCCGTGTGTGGTGCAGGGGCCCAGCATGCCCAGCATGGCGCGCTTCGTGGTTTGAATGGTATGAGACCAACATAGACCATAATATAGGATAATGATAGGGATATATGATAGGATACAAGTATTTTATAGGATACATTTTTTTTGTATGATAGGATACAAACAAATAATGGGATACAACTATGTTATAGGGATAGTGGGATATATGATAGGTGATATAATCTATTATTAAAATAATGGGATATCCAAAAAATAGTATTATTTTATAGGTTTAATTGGTGATATATGGTTTCGTGGGATATATGGTGATATATGATATAGGTGATATAATGGTATTGTTCACTGGGATTAGTCTAGGTTTGTTGGTGATATATGGTTCAATTATATGAGTCAATGGTGATAATCACTGGGATTATATCAATATAATGTTACCTGGAATTATGCTAATACCCAACATATGTCACTGGGATTAGTCTAGGTTTAATAGTGATATTAATGGTTTACTTATATGGGATACAATGGTTTAATGATGATATATTTAGGGTTTAATGAGTTTCATGTGGCAAAACCAATTAAACATGATTGGTTCTATTTGATTGGTTCTATTTTTGAATGGATACAGTATTGGATCAATACCATGGGGGTTTTGTACCGTATTTTTTCGGTTTCTATGGGGACCCAGAGCCACGAGTGGGTCGCTGCGTAGCTTCCGAGGTGGTTCAGAATCTCACCGAATCTGCGTCCTCCTATGTGGTGCGAGGCGGGCTGGATGTGTCCTCAAATATCCCAGCGAACTTAGGGCTGGTTGGTGGTGACTGGAACCATGGAATTTTGAATGACTTTACATATAGTGGGAATTTCATCATCCCAACTGACTCTCATATTTTTCAGTCTCAACCACCAACCAGAATACCACGAACTTATGGCATTTTCGTACTGACAGTGATAACAAGCCACTGGAATTTTGGGGTACCATTTTTTCAAACAAACCCACATGTTGAGCAACAGATGCACATCCATGTATTCTCTCGCTTTGTAGTTCATCCCCTCGACTAGTGTACCGTGATGAGTTGTTGAACTGTGTGTAAACGCCTTTGTTTATTCTTGGTGTACCATGACATGGCACCATAGGCAGGAGTTGACAATGATGATGAATACGTATTGCCACTGAAACTTTAACATTCCTTTTCGTATTAAACATCAGAATTTGCAACGTTGTCGACAAGGACTGGTTGAGAGGACTTGGTGGAGGTTGGTTTTATTGCACACCGGTAATCCATGGAGCCGAAAAAATACTATATAACTTGTTGTACCAGATCGGAAACTTGGCATGGAAGTGAGCATCTTCCTGTGCTCAACATGAAAGTGATTCTCCTAGCTATTGAACATGGCCATAGAAATAGTTGATTTACCCATTTAAAAAAATGTGATGTCCCATAGTTATGTAAACGTTTACCAGAGGGTAACCATCATATATCCCATTGAATCCCACTAAAATACCATAAAATCCCATTAAGTCATCATAAAATCTCATAAAATCCCATTAAGTCACCATAAAATCCCATAAAATCCCATTAAGTCACATTAAAATACCATAAAATAATTCCCAGGGTCGCTTTTTTTAGGGAACTCTTTGGAACTGCGGAACGGACTCGGTGCCCGGTGCCCACCCCAGTTGTAAGTTGGTTTATTTCCCCCAACTACCTTGGAGATCTCTACCATCAACCAGAGTTTTTGGAGTTATGTGATAATTGTCGATGCTCACACAGATTTTGGTCGTGTTTTTTTAGGGAGATCCACCGTCCATATATCCAACAGGTTGGATACGTGGATGTGCATCCAAGTTAAGGCTGCAAGGGTTAACAGTCCATGCTAAGTGAGTATTGCAGTATGTGATATATATATAATTATTGTAGTATGTGATACAGTAGATCACATCGTACACACATCAGGTATACATATACCATCATTATGAATACATTCACCGAGGAACCCCAAAATGATCCGATCCTTGAACCATTGCCTACATTTCAAGTCATAATGGTGCCTATTTGTAACTAGTGGGGCCATTTCGGGAGGTGCTGCAAAGGCCACTGGTGATACCAAAATGGAGTGGTACTACCTTAAAAGCACTCATTTTGGAATCACCAGTGCCCATGAATACATTCACCGAGGAACCCCAAAATGAACCGATCCTTGAACCATTGCCTACATTTCAATTCATAATGGTGCCTATTGGTAACTCATGGGGCCATTTTGGGAGGTGCTGAGTGCTTACCTCCTGGAAATAGCTGAGAGCTCCTGCTGAATCTTTCCCACACTATCAACTTTGTTTTCCTGGATTGGTTTTGTACTCATGATGGGTTACGGATTACGGATTAGACGGGTTTACAAGCCAGGCGTGGATTGTCGGGATTACGGATTAGTCTTGCGGCCGGTCGGTTTCGATGTGTACAGTCATATACCAGGTATATCCAGGTATATGTACACTATAGCTGGGTATATCCCCTACAGCCAGCTATTCATTGGGACACCCCAGCGCTGCAGGATCGATTCCCTTGACCAGTCAGGAGGGCGATGGTTTGGCGGAGCAGCTCGGAAAAATGGAGGTCGATGATGTGACATGAGTTGTTTCGTGACATATATATATATAATTTATATATATATATATACATATAATATGTATATAGACTGTATATATATATATATGAAAATACATGTATATACATGTATTACATATGTCATGAAATGCTATGTGTTTTCTATTCATAGTTGTTTTTTTTTGTGGCTTAAACATGACCCTTTAACTTTTGAGTCAGTTTGAATGCCCATATTATTGTGACGGGTATAGTACGCCACTCTTTATGTCAAACTGTTCATACGTGAAGTTCAATAGTGTTTGCGGCTGTCTCAAGGCAATCTAGAGAAGAAATATAGCTGTACCCTAGGGTAAGCTAACATGGATGCGGACAATTGCCCATTTTTGGATGAATTACCCATACAAAATTGGTGATTCTCCACATCTATGTTAGTTTGCCCAAGGGTTACCTCAAACAATCCCAAGCTCTCTGGGAGTCAGAGGGTGTTGAGAGAGAGCAAATCCTTCCAGAAAGTCAACGAGTTGACCAGAATGAACAGCAGCCAAAAGGTCTAACGCCCCAATGATTCAATGATGGTGGTTTATTGCCTGGTGTTTTTTTTTTCCAACCATACTTGGATGATTAATTCATATTTTGATATATTTTTGGAATAGGTCAAAACATGTTAAAACCACCCAGCAGTTGATGCTGGTGGATCTATCTGGAGGATGATGACCATGTTACTATGTTCGACCCACGGCAGCGGCAAAGGTTCGAACCCCTACCAGGAAACCATACCTACCTGGTTCCAGTGAAGCATCTCGGCAGTGATGTTGGAAGGCTGCGAAGGTATACCTGAAAAAGGTCCGGTGGGACGATAGATGGGGGTAAGTCCTCTTGCAGTGATGGGTGAAAGGATGTGAAAAGATGAAGGGATAAACTGATAGTTTTGATCAAATCGTGTCAGTCGTTCTCCAGATTTTTCACTAGGGAAAGCAGTTGTGGACTTTCAAAATGTGATCTGCCACCAAAGGGTCATCAAGAGACCAATTTTGATTGGATTGGTTGGATTGGTTGGAACATGTTCACCGGAAACCACCACATAAAAAATGGTAAAAACCCAGGTTTCCGGTGAAGATTTTCCCAACAAAACCAATCCTTTGGAAAAAGCCTCCAGGTGACGACTGGTTGGGATGGAGGGGCCCCCCATGACCCAGTTGTGAAACCTCCAAGTGAAGGTTGGATGATGGAGGTTTCCCCTGGATGAATCCAAGAAATGGATCTCAACCTCCACTTTTCTTGGATTCCTACAAAATATTCGAGAAGTGGATGATGAATCCAAGAAAAGGATCTCTACTGGACCAATTCTCTTCCTAACCTCAATGAGATCCGCTGCAAATAGGTGAGGTAGACCCCCAGAGCCGCCAGTGTTGCAACCTCTTTCCAGCCCTTGGAACATGAGTTGATCATCACCCCATTTTTATGTTTTTTCATTTATTGCAACTCATTCTCCATATGCAACCCATGGTGCTGGAATATTTACCAACATTTGCCATTGTCCAAAATAACCCAGTCACGTAGGTAAATATACCAGCACCATGGGTTGCATATGGGTAAGTATGGTTATTACCATGATTTATCATTGTAAGGGAAACCATGATTTATCATCTACCACCATCTTAAAGGAAACCATGGGTTTTTTTACCATGATTTTTCTGAAGCTGCAGGCCATTTCATGGACACCGCAAGAAGCAAACAGGTAGCTGCCAAAGGTAAGCCATGAGTGCCATGGGATGCACCTCAAAGGCTGCCACACTTGACCTGTGATGGGTGAATTCTAGCCACTTTTAAGGGGATCAAAAACGGGTAATTTTACCCATGTGGCTTTGTGGTCAGGTCCATCATTTATCACGTTTTTTCCCCATCAAATCTATTTAAATACCCTTTGTGGATGGTACACCACATGTTCAGACCCGTATTTTGCCGCCCAAGGTATCCCGTGTCCAAGCCCATCCTCTTCAAGTCCTTGTCCCCAGCGGCAGTGAGGAAGTTATATCACCTGTGGCAAGAGCACTATGTTGATTACAAAGCTGATGCCTCCCCCCAGTTACAAGTTGGTTTATAACCCGCAATGAAGTATAGATACCTTCTGGCTATTTAACATAGCTATGGAAACTGGTCCATTTATACAGGATTTATCAGGTTACCAATGAAAAATGGTGATTTTCCATAGCTACGTTAAATAACCAAACGGTATACCTACAATAACCCCAAATGAAACCCAATTTAAGCCAACTATGAAAAACCCACCTTGCAAAATCTTGTATACATACAAAGATTATCGTAAGCCTATTTTTTTCAAAAGATAGAACATGATCAATGATAAACAGGATTCATTTTACCACTATGTTTGAACTGGAGTTTATACTTTTGTTGTTTTTTTTTCAAAGGAGGTTGCATTGCAAGTAGCAGGGACATTCAAAAAGCATCAAAAGGGACTCCGGAAGCTCAGAAAGTGATGGCTTTGGCCCCATGGCGAAGATACAGAGATCCAACACCGACTAGTGGGATATGATATGGGGTTTCCATAGTCATGGGGGTACCCAAAATGGATGGTTTATAATGGAAAACCCTATTCAAACGGATGATTTAGGGGTACCCCTATTTTAGGAAGCCTCCATATGTCATATAACATGATACATAACATGGGGTGAATGATATTCGATAGGATTTTGTGGAGATTTTCATGGAATCTAATGGGGTTTAATATGTTTAATGGAGATTTCACCAACACAACTGGTGGATCATGGTGATTTGATCAACAGCACGGAACCAACCTATACCGGGCTCAGCTATGCTTTTCAACTGGCACTCTGAGTAAAAACCATAAGAGACAATGAGCCCGAAAGCGGACCATCAACATGATGATTACAATCCATGTTAATTCTGATTAATGGTCATCAACATGATTGTGATTAATTCTCATTCAATCCATGCTAAATTCTGATGACCATCCCATGATCATTGACTGATTTTCCCAGCGCTGCCAGTGAAGAGTTGCCTTTTCGAGTGTCACTTCTGGACCTGGATTTTCTTGGATATTGGAGCGGAAATCCGGTGGAATTTTGTTGGGTATTCCCAAGGGTTCGTTGAGAAACCTTGTTTGCAAAAAGACGGTGACTGGTTGGATTTGTTTGGGTATTTGATTGGACACTATTACACATTCATGGTGTACATACATCAACAAACTGGAAACTGGGTTAGCCAAGACTGTGCGTGTTCGAGCGTGAATGGCAAAAATAACGAAAGGCACGAATTTCCAAGATACCCTCTGGTAATTTTTACATAGCTATGGAAAATGGCCATTTATAGTGAGTTTTCCCATTAAAAATGGTGATTTTCCATAGTCGATGCTCCCTTCGGTCTTTTTTCGTGGGTTTGATGGTTCGACCAAACAAAAACAAAAAAAACTTCAGCATTTTCGTTGGTGCTGCCCAGACTCACCCGGCCAGTGCTACTCACTGTTCCGCCAAAGGTTGATCATCATAGAAATCTGGTTGGTGGTGACTGGAACCATGGAATTTTATGGCCATAGAAATAGTGGATTTACCCATTAAAAATGGTGATTTTCCATAGCTATGTTAGTTTACCAGAGGGTATTGGGAATTTCATCATCCCAACTGACGAGTTGTCATATTTTTCAGAGGGGTAAGGGTTTTACCACCAAGCAGAAATATATGATCAACTATGCTATAATGTGGCAAATCCAATGCAGCTCATCCCCAAGTCATCATCATTTTAAAGAGTTTTTTGTTCACCATTCCCAAATGGTAGGTTTATGGCATTGGGTTTCTACGAGATGGTCGTTTCATTGTCATGTTGACAGAGGGAATATTAGCAGCACCCCACCATACATTAAATGTTTGTGCTACAAACATGACAAGCGGAAAGCTTCCGTGTGTAGATGATGAGATATTTCATGCAATGTTCTAACCCATAAAAACATTACTAATTATAAACACATGTATATATTTTTTTGGGGTCAGAACCTATTATATATATATTCCCATATGGCTGGGGGGGAATGGTACCATCCAGCTTTACCAGCTGTTGACTGCACCTTATCCTGAGGCAACATGGGAACGAGGCGGATGCTGATGTGGGGAAACAGTTCTTGGGAGGGTACAACGTGGTGCCTCCCCAAGTGAAATGTTTGTTGGCTTATAATGAGTTTCTGGTTGGTGCTTTGGAACATGAATTTTATTTTCCATAACATATGGGAATAATAATCCCAACTGACTTTCATATTTTTCAGAGGGGTTGAAACCACCAGGTAGGTTTAAACCAAACTGAACTAGTTCGATATATCACATATCATGACGGCTTATAACAATATATAAGTTTGAATAACCCTCCGTGAACTATAGGTCGATACATGATATATCATGATGGATCTAGCATAAACCCCAGTGCTATTGGCTGCTTCAACACCATTTTTTGCGCTCACAGTTTGGTGGCACCACCTGGTTTGAGGTGTGAAGTCTTGTGCTTCACCACTGAAGACCGCCAATTTCTGGACTTTCAGGGCACCCAATTTTAGAGAAACCAGATGAGGCGACCTTATGAATCCCACGAAATGTTGGACAAAGCCATAAAACAAAAAAACTATGAATATAGACAAAGCATGATAAAACCTTTATAGCAAGCTACAAGCTGTATACATCAGTTATGTCTATTCCTATAGATGTTATACAATTTAGTACAATAATTAGATAAGGATAGACAAGGTTATATCCTAATATAGAACATTTATAACCCATATAACCTTTGTAAGACCTACAAGGCAAGGTGATGCCCCCCAGTTATGAGTTGGTTTATAAACCGATTAAGTATACGTAGATATACCTACGACATTCTACAATAAACCCAATTCAATGTGAAATTGGATTTACCCTCTGGTAAACGTTTACATAACTATGGAAAATCCACCCGTTTTTATTGGCCGGCTAAATCAACTATTTCTATGGTCATTTTCAATAGCTATGTTAGTTTATCAGAGGGTACATATAATCATGTAATTATGATATATGAATATAATATCTGGTTGGTGGTTTGGAATATGTTTTTATTTTTCCATCTATTGGGATTTTCATCATCCCAACTGACTTTCACTCCATCATTTTTCAGAGGGGTTGGGGTTTTTACCACCAACCAGATATGATATATGTGAATATTATGCCAGCTGAGCTACCCTCTGGTTATGTCAAAATAGCTCTTGAACATGGCCATAGAAATAGTTAGTTTTCAAATAAAAAATTGTGATTTTCCAGTTCGCTATGTTAAATTACCAGATTAATTAATCACCATTATTCACCATTATAGACGTCTATATCTATGGAACATATATGGAACATATATGGAACATATATGGAACATATATATATATATTATATCATTTACCATCATTAATCACCATTAACCACCATTAATCACCATTAACCAATCAGTTGTCCATGATATATGTGAATATGATTCCAGCTGAGCGAAACACGTTTTGCGCCACCAAGCGGGGCCCCACCTTGGAGCCTCGCCATCCATTCTCCACGGAGGCCACCTGGATGGAGGGCCAAATTACCCAAGCGCCTTCGGCGGAGAACCAGTTCTGCCGGGCCCTCCCGGAGAGTGTCGTCGTTTCACGGTGGAACTCGTTTCGGAGGTTTGGGAGTTCAATGGGGTTAGAATATGTTAATATATGTTGATAAATGTTAATAATTTATATGTTAATATATGTTGATATATTATGTTGATATATATGTTGATAAATGTTGATATATGTTATATAGTAAGACTATAATCAGATGGGTGGATTTTTCAGATTTTTTTTGAGATTCTGAAGATATTCGCACATATAAATGATGGTTTTTGCATGATTTAGCCAATGAAGAAAGCTCCAGCTTAAAATATCTTAAAATCTTTGAATTGATCGGGGAATTCCAGCTTAAAATATCTTAAAATCTGATACCACCCCCCCAAAAATAATGGTGTATTTGCAGATTTTTTTAAAGACCACTTTAAAGACCACTTTAAAGACCACCAGCCATTTGCGAGTCCAATATCCAGTACCCTAGTGGCTCGACTGGTTAAATTGTCAGGAAATCCTGGGGAATTTTGTTGACCAGGTCACGTGGTGAAATTTCTCTCCGGAGAGAAGAAGGACAAGGAGGTGCCGCCGCGGGGACAGAGATTCCTGTCCAAAAGGACGCTGGTTGGTGGTTTGGAACATTGTTTTTCCCATATTTTGGGAAGAATCATCCCATATTTTGGGAAGAATCATCCCATATTTTGGGAAGAATCATCCCATATTTTGGGAAGATCTAATCTGGTTGGTGATTTGGTTCACATGGAATTTTCTATTGTCCCCAACCAGATTGGGATGATGATCCAAGCTGACGAAGTCATATTTTTCAGAGGGGTAGACTCAACCACCAACCAGCTAGGCTTTAGGAAACCAAGCGACTCAATGCCAAACACCTACCATTTGGGGATGGTTTGTCAAAACCAGCCATGATTTCATGGTGATGACTTGATGGTGACTATGGCATTGGGTTTATCATTAGACAATTTTGATTAAGGTTTTGATAGCTGGTTGGCGGTTTTTTCGATGTCAATGTGTGATCCGAACTCTTGGAACTGAAAAAAACTGTCTCAGCTGGTGCTGTTTTTTGACGTGTTTCTCGCGGTGAATTTGTCTCAAGAATGTTTGCATCATCAATCTGGGTAAATTTCATCACGACCGAAGCCTGTTCTCCCTCACTATAATCATAGTTAGTAAGGGGAATCATCCCCAAATGGCCGCAAGATTCAGGTTGGTGAAATATGATGGCATTTACCCAGGAATCAATGGATCATCATGTTGTCCGATGCTGTAATGTTCCTTTCTCAAATCAACTGCAAGTCTGATTGAGTTATGTCGTTGATGGACGTTATTGCCCCCCAAACATGACAGGGATGTCAACATGAGTTTGCTCTCCGTACCATATGATTCTGACCACAGTTCTAAGGGGTTGGAGAAGCCCACATAATCCCACATATGTATACATATAATATATTATGCACATACTGTACATCTACAGTTCATATTCATATAGTTTTAATCTGTTGTAAAACATACATGGGTAATTATAGACGCAATATAAATTCGATGGGTATATGGTATATTATGTGATGAATATATATAATATATATATATATAATTGGTCGGGGCGTTGACATTGTTTGTTTTTCATCCCTACTTGGAATGATGATCCCACTTGCTGAGTATCTTACAGCAGATTGAAACAACCAACAAGTACGGCCTTTGGGTAATGGACATGGATGGACATGGTGTGTGATACCTTGCCCCACCAGAAGAAAAATGACTTCAGTTGACGCCAGTCATGGGACTTTTGTCATCTTTTGTCATTTTAAAATATGTTTAATTCTTCGGGCACTTCGAGGGTCAAGGTACAGTAGTTGAGTATATAAACCATCCCCCAAGTCACCATTTTTCTAGGTGGTATGTTTACCATTCCCAGTCATGGGTAGTGACATGGTTTTCACCACATTAATCAGCATGAATCCAATTAATAACCACTAATATCATATTATCCATCATTAGTCACCATTAAACATCATTGATCACCATGGTTTTCACCATTATATCACCATTCTTGTTTTACAGTTTTACCCACATTATTTAATGGTGATTTACCTACTAAAGATGGTGATTTTCCAGTTCGTCACCATGGTTTTCACCACAAAAAAACTCTTTTTATGGCGCCGTCGAAAGCCCCGATTCCCCAGATGCCTTTGCACTTGGACGGTGCTGAAGCCCAGATGACCTGGGGATGTTGGACAGATCCGCTGCTTAGTAAGTTGGGGTTAGTTCACCCATAAGATTTTATAAGTGGGGGATTTCAAGAAGCAGAAATGGATGATTGTTTAGAGAAATTACTTTTGATGTTAAACAACAACATAGAGGTACAAACATGGCAAGCTTGGCAAGGGGAATTCCAATGTTGGGATAGGTAAGTACAAATGATGTTCTTTTCATCGTTGTGTTTGTTGGTAAAGGGCAGCATCCATATGTATCCATGAAATACATTTTCACATGAATATGTTTTGACAGGTTGGGAACATGTTAGAGCATGTTATAGCGCTCTGACGCCCTACCAAGTGCAGTCCAACTGGCTTCAGCCGGGAAAGGAAGTCCTCCAGGATGGCGACCCCTCAGTCAAGCGATAAAGCCATCCACTTGTAGATATACTTCAGCGTATCTAGCATCAATCCTAGTCAGCTAGTTATAAACCAACTTACCAACCAACTTACCTATTTAATCTATTTATCTCCTAGCACAATGGTTGTCAAAGAACTGACCTCAATCATCATAAATCCCCTATGAAAATCAGTGGCCCAGTGGCACTTCACTCCACCATCTCCACCCTAAACCCACGACCCAGGGATGAACAGCGGAATCCGTGTGACGAACATGACCTGCTCCGCCTACGAAGAAGAAGTCTCCAAGATCAAGGCATCGTCGGAATCGTCGGGGAATCTGCCAGCAGGGGGATAGGCCAAGTCGGCCAAGAGTTTGGGCTGGGGTACCATAGATATCTATATAACTATATTATATATATATACATATCATATCACATATATATATATATATATTTGGAAATGTTTTTTAAATATATCTATCTATATAGATCTATATATCTATCTATATAGATCTATTGGGAAAATGATAATTAAAGATATCTATCTATAGATTTTCATGGGGAACATGATAATTAAGATATCATGAAGCTTTGGCTGGAATGGAGTTTTACTATTTTTCGGCAAGTCACAGGTGCGTGGCCCTGCTTTACCATTGCTGGACCTGCTTCTCACAGTGGTCGCACATGTCGTTGATTGAAAATGGTGGGTGAATGGCGTGATTAGTGGTTGCTATGTGGTTGCTACGTTTCCAAGCCTAACTCCTAGGTCTCTCAACGGAAAAAAATGCCTTGTTGATCTTCCAAGACCAACTGTTGGGGTCCATGCATTGCGGAAAATCGTCATTTTCCGTATGACGATTGCCAGTTTGGAGATATGACCAATGTTCAGTCGCCCCAACTTATTACTTTGGTTATATATCCCATGCCCATATGCTCCATGGTGCTGGAATATTTACCTACATTTGCCCCAGCAAAATCACCCAGTCAGGTAGGTAAATATTCCAGCACCATGGAGCATATGGGTATGGGATATACAAAAACCTGCTAGAGTTGGTTTATAAACCCTTATAATCCCCATTAACTAGTTCGTTATATCTACCATAAACCATTGAATTCAGGCACTTATAAACCAACTGAACGCTATCTTGGGGGCCCCATCCTGCTAGTACATCCCCATTGATGGTTGGTTTCGCGGCCAGCCCTCCATTGCAGGGCCATTTCCGGGCCCGACACTCGTGGATCATGGACTCGCTATCAGGGTGGGCGCTGGGACGGTGGAGAATCATATAATATAGTACTATAATATAGGATCTTTAATATGTTATATATAATTATATATGTATAACATAGTACTATATATAACATATTAATTATAGTGTGTATATATATATATATAGCCATATGCTCCATGGTGCTGGAATATCACATGAAGATCACCCAGTCATGTAGGTAAATATATATCATAGACCGAGCGAATTCGATTGGTGATTTGGGACCCTGCCCCCGGGGGCAATCGAATTTGCCGATTTTTGGATCCTGCCCCCGGGGCAATCTTGGAACCTTGAACGAATATTGCAACTCTTTAAGGATATGTTCAGCCTGGTCATGAGACAGGAAGCGTTGGTATGTCAAGATCTGATCAGATCCAGCTGGGGTTTCTTAAACTGGGCGACCCCTCAACTCATGGTAATGCCCCTCAACTCTCCCAGATATTAGACCTTGAAGGATAGGAAGGTGGGCGGATGCTTTCTGACTATGATGGGTCAAGTCTTGTGGGGGACCCCAAATGATAGTTACTACCCTATGGTAAACATACAGTTAAAGCTATTGAACATGGCCAGAGAAATAGTTGATTTACCCATGAAAAGGGTGGATCTTTTCATAGTTATGTACACGTTTACCAGAGGGTACATTAAGTGACAAATGAGCCATTGAAAATCCCTGATTGACAGGATAATTTAAGGATTTAAACTGACTTAAACTAGTTAATTTATTGGGGATGATGATAACCCACAGTAGGACACCCGAAAAATTACTTTACTTCGTGTGATCCCCACCATGACATTTATACATGTTCTTACTGGCAAATCTTCTGGCATTCTATCTGACATATCTTCTGACATTCTATTTGGCATTCTATCTGGCATATCTTCTGGCATATGATCTTCTGGCATATCTTCTGGCATTCTATCTGGCAAATCTTCTGGCATTCTATCTGGCATATCTTCTGGCATTCTATCTGACATATCTTCTGGCATTCTATCTGGAATATCTTCTGGCAGATGTTCTGGCATATCTTCTGGCAAATCTTCTGGCATTCTATCTGGCATATCTTCTGGCATTCTATCTGACATATCTTCTGGCATTTATCTGGCATTCTATCTGGCATATCTTCTGGCATATATTCTGACATTCTTCTGGCATTCTATCTGGCATTCTATTTGGCATTCTATCTGGCATATCTTCTGGCATATCTTCTGACATTCTTTCTAACCTTCTTCTGCACATTCTTTGTCCCATATCTTCCTACATGAGGTCCGGCAGGGAACACTTGGCGTGGATACTCGCGGTTGAGGTCCGGCAGGGAACACTTGGCGTGGATCCTCGCGGTTGAGGTCCGGCAGGGAACACTGGGCGTGGATGGTCGTGGTTGAGGTCCGGCAGGGAACACTGGGCGTGGATGGTCGTGGTTGAGGTCCGGCAGGGAACACTGGGCGTGGATGGTCGTGGTTGAGGTCCGACAGAGAACACTGTGGATCGCGAGTCGCAGTTGAGCAGGAGGACGAGGAGGACAACGAGAGGAGGAGGACAACGAGAGGAGGAGGACAACGAGAGGAGGAGGAGAGGAGAGGAGGAGGAGGAGGAGGACGAGGAGGAGGAGGAGGACCAGGCAACTGACATAAACTCTAACAACCCTCACCTGGCAGGTGGGGAAAAAGCAGCTAGTATGGCGAGATGGGATAGGGGTATTTCTAACAACTCAAGTATACATATATATATATATATATAGAGATATCAGATGACTCCTGATAAACAAGGTAACACGCCTCCTCAGTACTCGGGAAAAATCGATCAAAATTGAGCATTTGACCTGGTATTTACAGTGTTTTGTGTGTATCATCATTCCAGGCCCCGAACTGCAAAAGTACGCAAAACTTGTTTTTCATCCAGAGCAGCTATGCAAAGCTCGAGCGACAGACTTGTCTGTGACAACCACCGGACGGTACATAGCTCACTGGCATGCACTCGGTTGCGGCGCACAGCCTCGAGCAAGGTTCTCAGCTGGTGCAACATATGCAACTTTGCTGGGCTGGGACCAGCAAGCAACCTACGTGAAGGTTTTGCCTCTGGGTACCGCAGCAGCAGTTCCTCAGTGCCAACACCGATGGCGACACCCGAGGGTGACATGGAACCAGTCTTTCTGGTTATGTCGGTAGACGAACTGGCATATGTATTCTCACAAACGGGGATTAATGACTTTGTCATTTGTATTTTTCAAGACATGTGGCACGATTTTTTTTCAGCCACATCCAAGACCTATCTAGGACTTGCGTGCCCCTTTGTAGCATGACGTGCGTGTGTGCAAGTGCAAGAGAAACGAGCAGTAGCGTAGCATGACGTGTGTGTGCAAGTGCAAGAGAAACGTGCAGTAGCGTAGCATGACGTGTGTGTGTGGAAGTGCAAGGGGAACGTGCAGTACAGGCAATCGACAAAGTCGTTCCTTTTTTTAAGAAATCTCTAGATTTAGTTGCGTCGAAGCTTTCCCTGGAAGTCGTGCCTTTTTGGAAAACGCAAGCAAACTCTGGTGATCACAGCGCAACCATGTTTTTAGGTGTTTTTCTTTTTTTCCTTGCGTTTAGCTTGGGTTTAGGTATCTAGTTATGCTTTGGGTATATGTAGTTTTTGTTGCGTTCAGTTGGGGGGAAACTTTTTTTGTTGCAGCTGCTTTCTTATCAGTGACTTCTGTACGTTCAACTGTATTTAGCAACTACTGTTAAACTGCTGCTCAATTGCTGGCTGTTGCTCAGTTGCCGCCGCTGGCTACTGCCAAACTGCTGCTGGATTGCTTCTGAACTACTACCACTAGGCTGGAAGGAAGGAAGGAAGGAAGGAAGGAAGGAAGGGGCAGGAAGGAAGGAAGGAAGGAAGGGAGGGAAGGGAAGGGAAGGAAGGAAGGAAGGAAGTCAGGAAGGAACCCAAGTGGTGGGTGCTGTTGAGGCACATCAGGCACATCATGCGACATGCAGGTGAGTAGGAGACAAGTGGGACACCAGTGGAGACAAGTGGGAGACAAGTGTATAACATTGTATACCCAGGCGGCCGAGAGCAATCAGACCGTAGTCGGTCGAGAATGCCAGGAATGCAAGCCCGGAGGCAGAAGCAAAATAATGCGACCCAGGACTGCAACCTTTTCAAAGGAGTAAGAAGTTACAAACTGCATTGGCCTCTTTCTGTGTGAGAGGGCCATAGCTACCCAGTATCTATTTACAGAATTCTTATTGAGAACCCAATACAGATAAACCTGTTTGGGGAAGAAAGTGGGCAAAGAAGAAACAGTGAATCGCAAGCACAGGGAAGAGAAAAAAGGGTGAAAGTGAAAGGTTCTGATTTGGAAAGGGTTATTTTGACGCTTGCGTTCTGAATGGGGGAAGGCCCAAAGGCATGACTTAGGCATGACTTCTTGATGTTGCGTTCACAAGCGGGGAAAGCGAAAGGAGTGACTTAGGCATGACTTTGTCAAACCCCTGTAGCGTAGTATGACGTGTGTGTGGAAGTGCAAGAGGAACGTGCAGTAGCGTAGCATGACGTGTGTGTGCAAGTGCAAGAGGAACGTGCAGTAGCGTAGCATGACGTGTGTGTGGAAGTGCAAGAGGAACGTGCAGTAGCGTAGCATGACGTGTGTGTGCAAGTGCAAGAGGAACGTGCAGTAGCGTAGCATGACGTGTTTGTGCAAGTGCAAGAGAAACGTGCAGTAGTAGCGTAGCATGACGTGTGTGTGGAAGTGCAAGAGAAACGCGCAGTAGCGTAGCATGACGTGTGTGTGCAAGTGCAAGAGGAATGTGCGGTAGCGTAGCATGACGTGTGTGTAGAAGTATACTTGAAGGTTATTAGCCCCCCCACTCCACCCACCCTACCCTCACCGTACCACAAACATATCATCAACGTCCCATCAAAAACGTGCACCGTTGCCGAGTACCGAGAGTACGTGACAACAAAAACAATGATAAACCCATAGACTAATGAATATTTGAACAATATCAAAACTTAATTATGTACTACTACAACAAAAAAACACCAGCTGTCCATTTGTGGTTCACATTCCCTGAATGTTTTTGTCATACTTCTCACATCTTAATCAATGTCAGTGGTACCTGCAGATTTCTGGCTGCCAATCTCTGATGAGCCCCTTTGCTGACACATGCTGGTGGCATGACTCCAGCGGAAAGGCAGGCTGGAGCACATCCACAGCAGGGAATCATTCACGTCGACATCAAGCCCAGCAACGTCCGCGTGGGAAGGTTGGACTCGGCAGCTCACAGTCCACCCTATCGTGAGCAGCACTTGGAAGCGGAGATGTGGTGATCATCAGGAATTTCGTCGGGAAAAAGGACCAAAGGACCAAATCTATATGGATCTATATGGTTTGTTGGCGCAACTCAACATCTAAACATTTGTGGCCACCCCTGACTGTTAAAGTGAAAGGTTCTTGAGCTCTTGATTTGGAAAATTAATGACATCCTGAAACAGCCGGACCGTCGTTCAAAATCATAAGATATGCTTGGAATGGTTAGGGGATTCATCCAAAACATGGCCGAACAAAAACCTGGTTTGAGATTTGCTGCAAGTTATCCAGTTTTTAATTCATAACTGGTTGGTGGTTTCAATCATTTGGATTCATTTGGATTATTTTCCATTTCATACATGGGATGTCATCCCAACCCCATTGACGAACTCCATCATTTTTCAAGATGGTTAAGACCACCAACTCATAGAATTGGATGATGGGAAAATTTACAGGAAAACCCTATATTTGATGGTAAAAACAATGGTTTCCTGTAGATTTTCCCGTGAAAACCAATCCATTGACCAACCAGATCAAGTCCCCAACCTTAAGGTCACAAAGCTTCCGCTCCCGTCGGCGACGCCAGGTTGCGCTTCAACGTCAAAGAATGTGCTCCGCCGACTCTCAGCGGGGGCCCCCTGAGGGCCATCCAGTGGGCTGGTGCTTCAGTTTTTGGGGGTGCTACCCTCTGGTAAATGGAAATTTTAATGGGAAAACCATAGGAAAACCATAGGAAAACCATAGGAAAATGGAGGTTTACTCTCTGGAAATTTAACATGACATAACTATGGAAAGATCCACCATTTGTTATTGGCTAAATCAACTATTTCGACTGGGCCATTTTCAATAGCTGTTTGTATGTTTACCAGAGGCTAAATGTTGATATGACATGTGATATGAACATCTATGATATCTGTGATGTTTGATGATTTTTGTTTACTTCAAAAGGATTGATCATGATGGATCCATTAAAACCCCATGAGAGGTATTTGAACTTCTTGTTCTTGGCCAAACATCTCAACTTTTCTTGTTCGAACATTTCTGAATCTATTTTCTTTGCAGCATTTTTGCTGGTGAAATGCCATAAACAAGGAAGAAACAAGATGGGTTGCATTGCGAACAGCGGGTACCCCAAACATTGAGTGCTTGATCAGGGGTTCCTGATATTTTGGTACCTATTAATTAATCAATCATTAATAATTTAAGATAGGTTCCAACTGAATTTCCCAGATATTTGGTTGGTATATTACCTTTTAGTAATTGAAAAAAATGCTATGAAAAATCAACATGTGTTGAGGATTTACCATCTGGTTATTTAACATAGCCATGGTATAGATGGCCCATTTATAGATGGTTTTTCATTAAAACCTCCATTTAGTTCAGGGATTTTCCATGGCTATGTAACAAATAACCAGATGGTAAATGGATTTAACAGCTAGATCATCCAAGTGACTAACCATCTGGTTATGAAAAAAGATAACATTTATGTTAGTCATAATCAGATGGTAAATCGATTTTCCATAGCTACCCTAGATCATCAATAAATTCATCTACCATCAATAGATCATTGAATATCATTAATAAATCTATTGATGATGGTAAATGGATAACCAATTTGTTGATGGTAAATCATCAATGGTAGAACCCTGGCCGCTCGTGGCCGCTCGGTGCTCCTCGTTTCGAGGCACCGTGGCCTTCCTGGGGGGAACCATCAAACCTGAGGTCGGGTCAAGCCATGGCATATGATGGGGATGAAATGCTGGGGATATAGTGGGTGTATGTATATATACCTACTGAATCTTTAACCTACTTTTTTTTGGGTTGAAATCTTAATACCTGGTTTTATTCGTAATCATGGAAAAAACCGTTTTTTTTTTTTTAAACCTGGTTTTTCTAATAACCCCAAAATATCAACATTTTAGAAGTTCAATCTCGATCACGTTCAGCAAACCTTTGGAAATCCCATGCAGATCCTGAAGAATCATTGGGTATAATAGGTTATCATAGTCTTTTGTGGGAAATCACTTCATCTTATCACCCTGGATGTCAATGAAACTTAGGGTTTGGTCAAATCCTTTGGGGATCAAGGGCCACAAGCGGCCACTTTTTGGCATGAAAGGGCTTCAAGTGTCTTGACATCATATGAGGGATTAACAAACAATAAACATAGTCCTCATTAATTACCAAATAACGTGGATCAACCCTTTTGGTGAATCAGAAAAAATAGAAATGCAATTCCCAAGTTAACACTCTTATGGGTAATCTAATGACATTTGAGTCCTGTATTTTGATTATATTCCCCGTTCATGATCATTCATGTGCCGACCGTATTGCCGCGGCTGGTCTGGTGCTGGGCTATGACCATGCTGACACCGTTGGGGCCCTCAGCGGCCCTTTTTCCACCCACTGGCGGGCTGGTGCAGTGCAAGATCCAAGAGGTAGGCAAATTACCTCAGCAGGCTTCATGTAGCTAATGGCAACCCTCAAAGGCTATAATCATGTAAAACCCTTTGGCCTGTTTGGTTAAATTACTTGGGGAAATTGTTGTTTTCAATTTTTTTTGACTACCATGCCCAAGTGGCATGGTCATTATTTACAACTTACTTGTTTACAGTAGGCTGCATTAGGCCCATCTTCAAAACCATCTGTTGTTTGATTCTTCCAAATCTTCAAAAAATGCAAGGATCTTTTGGCTCATTTGGGCCTCGTGCCCTGTTGGATAGTGCTGGCAGCTGTTGCCAACTTGGTTATGGCAATGGATGTTGGTGGATTGGGCGCCAAGTGGGAAGCACAGCAGGGGATAAGGGAGCGCATCCGAAAGGAGCGTAAGCTGTGCCTCCATCCCCTGAGTCAGCGATACTGTGAGCCCACCAGGCCCAACTCAGTCACCAATGCGATGGTGTTGCGGCCTGCCTTGGAGATTCTGAAGGATACCCCGGGCTGGAAACTGCCGCACATAGAACCCTTGCAAGCTGAGATCTATCAGCTCTTCCAGCGTGTTGGCACCCCCGTCGAGGATCAGTACGTCTACACGTCGTCCATGGAAATCAAGAAGTTGCTTGGATTCATCAAAAGGCGGTGCACCAGGCGTGAGGTCACGAAGGCCTGTTAGTTTTTCTAAACAATAATTTTTAGTTTTTGTGCAAGGACCTAGGTCGATTTTGCAAGTATAAATATATGTTTGTTCTCAAAGCTACAATTTCAAGATTCGTTCGCAAGTATTCCACAAGACACATGACTCAATTGATACAGCGAAAGAATATATATTCACTATAAAATCCAGGTTTACGGTTTACATAAGATGTTTCTAGGATCTTTCCCGTTACCAACCTTTGGTACCCTTCAACAACATGCCCCTGGAGGACCAGAAGTTCCATGACCTTCTTCTTCTCCTGGACCCAACTCTGAAGGATTGTGGGCCTTTAGTTTTGAATATGGATTAGTTAGTCTAGGTCTCTTGGGGGGTTGAAACCGGTTGAAACTATAATGATATTGTGTTGATGTCCCAACCCATGATAGGAATACATTGACCAGTACATGATGGGCAATGCTGCTGGGAGTGATGCCGACTGTGATGATGATGAAGATGCTGAAACCAAGACTGACTATGAGGATTTTAAGAAGTGGCTTGATAAGCAGGAGCCATCCAAACCGGAAGGCCCTCCACAGGCTCCTGCAGCTCCCAAAGCCCCTGTTGATCTCAAGTTGGACGTCAAATGGGTTTGCAACATTTGCAAGATGAACGCCAAGCAGTGTCATTTGTCCCAATTAATGTCCGTAGTATATTGACCAAAAAAAAACATCATCATATCATCCGGTTCTTACCTTTTTTTCATTCTTGAGATGGAAAACAAAAAACCATGGATATTAGACAGAGATGCTGGGCCAACCAATGCAAACCGCCTCCACAACACCCTCCTGCGAGCCAAGGCGACTGCCAGGATGCGATTGCACAGCTCAAGCGCAGGATTGCTGAGAAGAAGGCCCAGCTGCAGTTCCTTGGATGGCATTGGTTGCATGTCAGTACCATTTGCCATGTTAAAATAACATCGCAAGTGTTCATATCCACTATTAGACTATGGTTTGTATTTTGGGCAAAGTCTGTCTAACAATTGGACCCCACATACCAAAAAAGTGGAAAACCATCTGCTTTCAATATTACTCAGGTTGTGTGCGGGGTTGACATGTTTATAGTTCTTTTACTTTCAAGGGCCATGCCATCCCTTCCCACATGTTGCAATGCCAACAGCTGCTTAGTTCTTCTTACATAAAATGAGGTCCGCAGCCAGCGCTGGGAATGCTGAGCAGCAAGGGGAAATTCCTCCTTCTCAACCCGGGCCCTTGAACAGAGGCTTGCAGAGGGTCAAGCCTGATCTCAACTTTAAACAAAATGATAGAACATAAAGTTGATACCTTACGATAAGATTTCAGAATCTATGTTTCTTCAGCTGTTTCCAATTTAGATTTTGTGGTCTTGAATTCCTAAAACATCTCCACAGGTGGCAGTGGGAGCGTCGAGGACAACATGGATACCCAACCGATGCTTGACGCCCCCATGGCCCTGCTGACCGATCCCGAGACTCCCAAGCCCAAGCCTACCTTCACTCCTGGACAGATGGAAGCAGCGAGTAAGACTCCTCCAGTTGTTTGCAAACATCCCGAGGTTTGGGTTCATGTCTTGCACAAGTTTCAGACAGGTTGAGAAATATGTTTGTCAAACCTTCATCTTTCAAATCACTTTCATGTTCCAAGGGTGTTTGAAAATCATTCCCAACAACGGTCATGTTCGATTGGATTTGCAGTTCTTTCCCAAAAACTCTTCTACTTTGATTTAAACATGAATAGGCCAGAGCATAGACAGTGTATGGTACAGTAAAACCACCCAGAATTTCCTTGTTCAATCGTATCTTAGCCCGTTGCAGGTTCTGACTCGTCGCCAACAACTTGACGCCAAAAAGAACAAGAAGGATGCCCAGGAGGATGAGCCGAAGGAGGATGAGCAGAAGGATGAAGCAGAGCAGCCAGGAAGCGATGATGAACCACAGGAGGTGATGAAAAAACCAGCGTCAAGGAAGGCAGGCAAGGAGAAAACTCAGCCCAAGGCCAAGGCCAAGGGCAAAGCTAAGTGTAAGGCGAAAGCATCCCCGAAGCGCAAAGCTTCCCCAAAGAAAGCACCCAAAAGTCGTGGTAGGAAGTCGAAGGAAGGCAAAGGTGCTGAGGACCAGGAAGATGAGAAGGATGAGGAGGAAGAGTCAACACCTGAACGCAAAGACCTTTCAAAGGAGTTTAAGCATGCTGCTCAGGGCAAGACTGACCCCCCCGAGCCTGAGCACAAACCCAAGAGGAAAGCCCGCAAGAGCAAAAACAAGAACAAGAACAAGGAGGCTGAGAAAGGTCAGGGATCTGCTGAAGGTGATGCTGAGCCCCCCAAAACCCGCCGCCCCCGCAAGAGCAAGAAAGAGGATCAGGGGAATCAAGGGGATGATGCTGAGGAGCCACAGCCCAAGAAAAAAACAAGGAAAAGCCGTCGAGCCCCCCCTCCCGAGTTGATGAACCAGGTTGATGTGATGTATGACAAGATGATGGTAGGAGTCATTACCCAAACGTTGAAAGAAGTGAAGAGCATGACAGTTGATGAACTGAAGGATTACCTGTGCAATAAGAAGCTTGACCTCCCCAATGACAAGTGTGAGTTGAATGTGTATTGGACCCAGACAGCTGCTGCTGTCCGCTTCAAGCTCATCCCATCAAAACCCGATTCTTCCAGATTCTCTTACAAGATCGGCACGTGGAACACCCGTATGGCTGCTGCTTTCATCTCCTCCTATCTCATGGTTGCTTAGCAATGTTTAATTCTGTTGTTGCCAGTTGGATTCCATCCATTGCTTTTCAACATCGCCCAAATTACACCTGAAACATTGGTTTGAAGAAAACAAGTCAATTCCCTGTCTTGTCTCCCGAAATCCTTTCCAGCCCTTTCGCATTGCTGGCCCAGGCTTCGTGGATGGAGACCCAAACGGATGACATCCTGCTTGAATACGAGGAGCCCTTTGGGCCTGTCATGTACGAGATGGCCAGGATCAAGGTCAATGCCAACGCTGCTTTGGAAGCGTTCACGGGGTCTGGATGAGACCATTTTTTGATGTTTGCCTATAGTGCTTTAGACTCTGCACTGATCAGGGTGGGCCATCTCTTGAAACTTAAGATCATTATTCTCAAAAAATGTCAGCTGGAGGACTGAACATAATCTAAAAATCATGTAGCGTCACCTGGATAGCATACCTGTTGCACCTTCAATGGGCAAATGCTAGTCTCCATCTTTGGTTCACATAAATTCAAGGTTATTCCATTAATTTCAATGTTTGTCATGCCCAAGCCTCAGTGCAGACCAGTGCTTGGCAAAAATGCGGGGACCGTAGTTGCTCAGTGAAACCTGAGATGCGAATGCGTGGGACGATTGAGCTGGCTGTTGTCCGCAGGATCACCAATTTACCTGTGGAGCCGTTCAATCTTGATAAGCGCTAGCTACATCGAAGCCTGTGGGGTGAACCTCACCGCTAGAGAGAAAAAGGTTGGTCCGGGGCCATGGAAATTTCACCCCATCCCTGCATATGGCCCCCATATATCATGGTTTGTTCATGCCAAGATCCTACATAACACTGGCAAGTCAATGGCCAAGATTGGAAGGCAACATCTACCTTCCCCAGAAGACCTTGTACCCACTTGCATGATTATGCATCCCATCTATCAGTTACAGTATATATTTGATGTGCTTCTTAGAGATGTTGTTTGGATTCATGGCCATTAGTTTACATAAAAACAAATTGGTGGATATTGACGGCATTACATGGCAATACCACATTACAGTTCAAGTTAATACCCAGTTTATGGCTCTGACCCTTCTCCACCTGCACCCGTTATCCAAGCATCTTTACTCATGCCGGCAATGCCGAGGCCAGAGCAAATGGAAGATGCCTCGGCCACGGCGAGCTCACAAGTGGGCTGTGAAGTTGGGCTTGGATAGCAAGCCCCGAACCACTGACATGTTTTCGATTCCTACTCACAATTTGAGGTGGGCCAGAAAGAGTTGCAAACACAAGTCTTGCCATCGCCCTTCTGGTTACTTCTGCCACGGAATGCTTTGCTTTCCAAAGTTTTAGTTGGAGTCTACCTTGGTGTTTTTATTTGCTTATCCCTTATTCTATAAGGATTCGATTCCAAGTCAAACAAAACATTTCCAGGAGATTGTTTTTTTGGAACCTCATGGGTTGTGTTGCAGCTATGTTGCGTGACCGGCTTGAAGCATTTGCAGCGTTGTGAGCCCACGCTGCCTCATTGGGTTCAAACCAAGGTGGCAGAGGGGAAACTAGCTTTCAAGAATGTATGCTAGACAATTCCAAACTTAAGATATTCCTAGTGAACCAAAGTATCCCAAGTAATCCCAAATAAGATGCATTTGGCAGCCGGGTCTGAAATTTCTGGTTCAAAGCTCATTGATTATTATATACACTGATATGCTTTTAGATTTAACCTAAAATAATTTGCAAAATGGTTTGATATCCCCAACACCATACAATTTTCCCTCACGGGATTCTGGCGCGGGTTAGTCGGTGCTATGGCTCGATCCAAGCAGTTTGTGGATGCCCTTGTCTGGAGGATGAACCAAATGGGAGTTCCGAAGGTCCCTAGCATGCAATGGTGTCAAAATTATATCAAAGAAATTATGTTACAACATGTTACAAGTACATTCCCACTGATGGAAAAAATGGTCACTAGCTTAAGCACCTACCCTTAGAATATATTTCCCAGGGTGTGTTATGCGTCCCTTCGCCCAGGCAATGGTGCTCCTGACTCTGCTTGTGATTTGGACGGAGCCAGGCACATTAGCGAGGTCTGGCCTACAGGACTCTTTTGGGAACCTGATTGTAACGATAACATTGGTTAATGATTAATGTTTATCTTTTTGGGGCTGCTACCAGAAAATGATGTAGAATTAGGATTACCCCTGCGAAAGGAACCGGCACCCCTGCAATGGATGGAATTCTTTGCGGGGAAGGCGGAAGCTACAAGAATGTTTCATGAGTCCCACTACAGAACAGCCAAATTGGACATCGAGTACATGCAGCCAAAACCAAACGAGATGAACCCAATGGATTTGCTGTCAGATGCGGGCATGGGGTTTCTGAGCCAATCCAAGCAATGTATCCTGTGTTATCTTCAATTTGGTTTCCAAAAGTTATTCTTTATCCTATATGGTATTGTTTAGATGCATCCTCCTTGGTGGGCCCTCAAACTTCTCATCCTAGGTTAGCTGTATCCACGGTGCTTCTTGGAGATCACATAAATGGATTTGTCTCTCACTTCGGCTTGAAGTGTAGCAGCTTTTCCCCTGTCAATGCTGGAACCTCTGGTAGAACTCCCTGCACTCCCTATGGTAATTTTCATTACACTAGTGTGCTTGAAGGGAATTGCCTCGCCAGTCGGAAACTTGGTGTCTTCAAATTAAAACCTTTGTTTATGCACCCCATTGTTTATGTCTCCCAGTCTTCAAAATGTTTGGTGGTATCAAGAAACATAAAAACATGTTCCTGCCCATGGTTGGCCAATTTCTCCAATGCCTAACATCTAAGGGTGGTTCTATTGTTGGCGCTGGTGGTTTGTCTCAATGGGACATTCATACTTGAACAGCCTGGCAATAGCATGTTTGAATACTACCAGCGCTTCAGAGACTTTACCCAAAAGCTGATGGAAATTGGAGGCCGTCATACCGTCCCTTGTCATAACTTTGAAGCAGGTAGCGGTCTTGAGCGAACAGCAGGAATGCCATCTTCAGATCCAGGGGTTGCATACCTTGGGGATGCTGGCAGGCTGAGTGGTTGTGGAATTTGATTTGGGTATCATTTTCTTTTATAATGGTTTCTCCCCCGGGTCTATCTTAGGTGCAACGAGTGGGCTGGTGGATGGCTATGTATGGTGGTCCCACACCTAAGCGGCATGTTGCCTACAGCAATAGCCCTGCGATATCAAGGATCAACCTGGGGCGACTGGAGGGTTGGGATCAGAAAATGAAAGCCCAAGAAGCGGCTGGAGCCCCACGGGTGCAAACTTGTATCCAGTACTTTGATAAAAAGAACCAACGCCGCTACAAAGGGGCACCAGCTCTTAAGGCCAGTGAGTCCGGGCCCCACTTGCTGACAAGCATTGATGCAACACACAAGTGTTTTCAGATCTTTTAAGCATCTTTTTGAATAGAAACCCTTCACTGATGATACACCTGGTACCTTCTAATTATATTCTATCACCGTTTGCCTAGGAATTATCCAGCTGACTTTGGCAAGAAGTTGGTCATGATCTATGATGATCTCATCGCCCAGAAATCAGGATTACCTGCACTACCCAAAGATTTGCCCTGTGCAAAGGAAACCTTCGCCAGCATGAGTTATGATGATCTGTGGCAGGAAGCGGACGTAGTTTCCGTTTGCCACTGGCTCAGAGGGGGAAGGGATGTGTCCATTCCAAAGGACTGGAAAGACCTTCTGCCCAAAAAACTTTAAGGGATGCTGTGAACCAAACGATACCAAAGGTTACAATGTTGAAATTTGCGGAATCAAATCAATAGTTTTATGGTTCCATATTCCAGCTCAACGGGTTTGACGATTGCTCGAAAACCTGCGAAGTTGAAAATCAATACTTTTTACCCATAATTGTCGTAATGCCCCGTAACGTAAAAATAACCTGGTAAAACATTGGTTTTTACAGGTATTTTTCCAGTTTACCCCATAAAATTTTATGGGTAAAACGTAACCCGTAATTGACCCGTAATTTACCCATAATTTCCCGTAATTTACCCATAAAATTTTATGGGTTATTTTGGGAAAAACCTAGGTTTTTTTTCGTGCTATTTTCATTAACTTTTTGATGATTTTATTGAACTTTTTGAATGTTTTGATCAGGATATATCCAAACTTATCCAGAAAAATGTCACCATCCAAGGCTTTGATAAGCCCATTTGTAGCACATGTTGTGGGGAACAGCTTCCAATTCAGAATTGCTACGTTGGATATGCAAAGATGCCCACTTACCAACGTGCTTTGGGATGGAAAATGAAGTGGCCGTTTCAATGTATCACACGTCTTGCCTGCACAGCAAAGTTTCATGTTTAATATCTTCATTTCTGAATGGGTCCATTGTGGCTTCCAAGCTTTATAGGGATTGTAGTGATCCAAATTGGTAGCTCAGAACCCATGGCATTCATGCGGTCGGCTACTTCCTGCTCTTTCAAGAGCAGAGCATGGAGCACAGCCGAGCTGGGGGATGGTCTAGCCCATCTATTGACAGACGGGCGGCTCGAGTTGCCCGACGATGAGGCTCAATTGAAGGACTCTTCTTTCCTCAGCTTGTTGCGGAGATGTGAGTTCTGCATGGGGTAACCCTTTCATCTTGACCTTGACACCCTCTAAGGTTCTAAACTATTTTGATAAAAGTTGCCTTTATGTGGTTGTGTCTATCTTCCCCACATCCAAAAAACACTTGTTGTGGCATAGATGAATGGGTCTACCTACGCGCTGCCAGGAGTTAGAGCAAACCCTGGCAGATTTGGAGGCACGTCAACAGAGTGATGGGAACTCAGCTCACCCATGTTGCAACAATCCCACAAGTAAGGGAGATCAGATCACGTTACAAAAAACTTACAGTCGAAATGGAAAAGTGAAAGTTACTTTCAATCTTCACTTAGGACAAAGCCTTGGCAGCTCTTCAGCAGGTGGTGGCTTGACTGGAGACTTCCCTTCTATGTTAGTTTGTTGGGGTCCAACTTTATAAATGTGATGTTTTCCAACAAATGCCCGTACTTTGGTTTGCATATTTTATATCATATTCACCATGACTTAGCATCGCTTGAGGCAACGCCTCAAGCAGCCAAAGCCGACACCGAGAAGTCAGTCTTCGACCAGGACACCCTCCCTGCTACGGAGACCCAGTTGGAAAAGGAACGATCTTGGAGGTCACCTTCCCCGACCCCTTCTCAAGCAACGGAATCCACTTTGAGAGCCCCAAGCTCTGCCAAATCAGTTGTTTGGCTCGGCGTGTTAATCTTCCTGGTGTTGTTCATTGCCTTTAGCTTTTACGTTTTTGTTTCTCTTAGGCCTCAGGGAGTGGTGACAGATTTGTCTACTTTTTGTCAACATGATATACTATATACCATGTGTTGGCAAGTGATGAGGTTACTGATGATGTGGTGAAGATGTACCAAGCCGGAAAGTTGGATGCGCTTACTGCAATGAAGATGCTGTCAGACATCAACTCGCAGCCCACGTCCCCACAGGGTACGCCTTCCCCGAAGCCGATGCCAGGTGATTCTTCTAAGGTTCCGCCAGTTCCGCAAGGGTCTTCACTCAAACGTCCCAAAGAAACGGAGACATGTGAGAGCGACACAGATGAGGAAATGGAAGGTGAGGATTTCAAACACCTCGACCCTTTGCCAATTGTTGTCCAGTACATATTTGCTTTCAAATCCGCAATTGGTTTGTGCACATATCCTAAAGCTGCTAAAGCTTCTAACTAAGGTTTAGTGACTTTGACATCCTATAACAACACCATATCGACAAACCAAGGATATCAAGACCAAGAATGCCATCAAGGCCAAGTTGAGGAGACTGTGCGAGAAGAAAGCCAATGGACGCTTGAACGTCCCCGAGTGGCTCCACAACCAATGGAAAAACGGAGATCATTTAGCCATGGCTTTGAAATTCCAAGAAGCCAACTTCGACAAGGAATCCCATTTTTTGTTATCTATCTTCCACCGTTTGGCCAAGCATCACTTGATGAAGTCAATGTCCATTGGATCCATGCAGGAAAAACGTAGTCAACCTGGCAGGAGGCTTTCATCAAGCAGTGCGAGAAGACGACGACCGAGATCGAGCGCCAGAAGAACACGATTGCTGTGGGGTGGTATTCCAAAACGGATATGAAGACCACACTGAAGTGGAATCCGAATCTGGACCAAACTTGTTATATCTTGATGCCCTGCCAATCTCACCATGCCAACCCAAACAGGTGATCTCAAGTTTTAGTCTTGCTGTCTTCCCATCATTCCCAGGAAGAAGATTGAGGGCGCAATCCAGGTGTGCATGCAGGATGAGAAACACTTGGTTAGGCTGGACACCCAAATGCTTCCATTACAATGATCCTGATATATCGTGATGAATGTTGAATCACACATGGTCTTCAGTTTTCTTTGTTATCAAGAAAGCATGTGATTCAAGTTGTGGCAGGAACTGCAAGTACGGAGGGGAGCCAGAGTACTGGGTCGAAGTGCGGGAAACTGGTGAGAAGGGCCAAGAGCGAGAGCAAAAGAAGAGACGCATAGAGATCACTAAGGACTTCTATGTTGTAATTGTTCCTGACACTGATGCCTAACAAAATTGTCAGCATAACATGAGGGTTCTTTTAGTCCATATGAAACATAGCAGGAATGTAATCCAATACTTGGGTCACAAAACCAACTATCGCGAGGACGAATCGTCGGAACCTGTTGGCGAAGTGAACTCGACTCAAATGGCAGCTATGGATGCTCGTGCAAAGGCTTCTGAAAGTCTGGGATGTGTCGCCAGTTCCCAGGTCACTCAGATTATTTGCAAACAATACTTATAGGTTAGTTCGACAGTTTGATAAGTTCAAGCATAGTTGAAACTTGACTTCTGAACAGCTTCTTTCGGGGTGATTGGTGTATGGTGCCTAGAATCCAACTTCCAAAACCTTGGACAGCCCTACCAATAAGCCATACTTAGGCGATTCGTGGCAAGGAAGTTTTGAGCAAGTACTGTGACAGCATACTTGCCAAGTCAGCGAAGCTTCGCTCACTTGTCCATGATCTGCAGAAGCACTATGATGATGAGACTGCAACCAGGTCAATGTCTTAGACACATAAATTTACAAATATGCCAGGATATGTCAGATAATTTATCTTCCATCAACTTTGTCCCACAAACCTCTCCTGCAGAGCAAGCAGCTTCAGCTTCAGTGCATAGTAGCCAGTAGCCAGTGCAAGAGCCAGAATGCAGAGGTCCATCACCGCCCTGAAGACCGACCTGACCACTCTGGAGGGCAAGTTCAACCAGTGCTCAGAGCATTTGGCCCATGGAGAAACAGTTGACTTCTGTGAGGAGTGGCCCGGCTAATAAAGGGGTAGCAAATAAACTAAAAAAGAAAGTTCTCTGGGGATTGTGCCCATGTTGTCCAAAACCAATACCTTGATCTACCCTGCTGCCATTCAAAATATATTTGATTTCTCCAAGAATAAAAGCCTGTTTGTTGATCAAGGTGGAGCAAGAAATCCGAGCTGATGATGAAGGCATGCACTGTTGAGTGCCTTTGGATCCAACCTAGATGTCCATCTCTTGTGCATCTTGCTTGTTACTCTTTGTTGGTTTATTTAAACACCATCAGCTGAACAGCGCCCTTTATGACTCAAGAGCCCCCATATGGATACATACCGTTCTGAACCCGCCAAGGTGCACAAAGATTGCGCAGAACGAATCGAAGATCCGGTGTTGTCCTCATTTCTCCTCAGATGCAGCGATGTTCCAAGCAAATCAATGTGCCAGGTTGCAATTTGAATTGCTTTTAGATACTGTTTGAAGAAACGAGATTTTGTTGATTCTTTCTTTCTGGGATAGTTGCTTGACAAAATAAACCTGGATGCACCCTGGCCAAGGAATGCCAAGCGCCACTTCAACAAGAAGGAGAAGGAAGTGAAGGATGAACAGTAGATGTAGTAGCTAGTTTCCTTTAAGCCAAGCTGAAACCAAAGTCTTTGGCCGATGTGCCACTTCTGGGCTTTTTCCCGATTTGGGATGGTGATGTGTTCTTTTAAACACAATGCCAACATATGTCAAATTTGCTTATGGGGTTGAATCCTGCTTTAAATTGCCCGATGCAGCTTTGAGCTATACTGTAGAGGGCTTTTTAGACCATCTAACCCCCATTGACCTGTCAAGAACTAGTACAGAATTATGTTGGCCTATTGCTTTGTTTATGTGGTGGCTGCATTAGGAAGCAACGAGACAATGCAGGACTTAGTACATTATCATATCTTAGCCTGAAACAGGCCAAATCTCGGACGACTTTGGGGCTTACGACATGGACAAAAAAAAGCAACTTTATTGCACCTTTCAAAACTCCTTTCCCATTAATTATCATAAGACATTAGGGGACACTATGTGCCACTACCCGCTTTGCCAGGCCCTGGGCCCACTGCCAAAGTCTTTGCCAAAAATGTTGGTCAAGGAGCCGTTCCCTCAGATGGGGATACATTACGTTTTTTGAGCAACCATGTTTGGCCGCTATCCAATTTCCTTTCTGCTCAAGTAAGTTGGGAAATGTTGGGAATACATTTGACAACATACTGACATACTTTCTCCAACCATATCTATATACATTTAAACATTATGCTAACATTAGATAGGTCAGTAAGGGGAGATAACCAACAAGAAAGGATAGTCAGAATGACTAAGATTATGAAATCAAATTGATCCCCAAACCTGTCCACACACCCAGCCAATGCATCGATCAGTTGCGATGCCGAGCGAAGACGCCAGCAATGGCGATGGTGATGATTGGCTTATCGAATTCTTGTCCTGCCACCGGCCAGTGTTTTGGCTGATCACCTATAGATCCTGCCTAAGACTTCACTACTATAGACCATAGCTGCTGATTCGATTTATTGATAGTTTTTTCTTGTGGTCATAATGAGGCGTCGTTGGGCCCCTATGCTTGGCAAAAAGAAGCACATCGTGGAAAGGAGTCTAGAGAAGTCGCTTTTGGTGATTTCCTTGGTGAACTTGGTGTTACTCCAGAAGTTCGCTTTAGAAGCCGGACCCCTTATCAACGTTTTGACCAAGATGAGATTCCACCATATTTGAAAGATGAAAATCTGAAGGCGTTGAGCCGTACATCTGATGTGTTCCTGTCCATCGAAAAACAGAAGAACATGTCCTACAAACTTCCTAAAGCAAAGGCCACAGCAGGCCGGGTACTTGCACATGCAAGCATGACTTTCGAGGCCCTGTACCAGAAACACTTTCCAATGATCTGGAAGATTGGGATTACACACTGCGCTGTTTTTCGTTGGTATCACAAACCTTATGGATATGCCCACTCAGTTGAGAAATACCAGCACATGCACATTATCTTTGCATCCCCAAGCCCTGTTGGGGCAGCCTTTCTCGAAGCAGCTCTCATTGACAAGTACCGCAGTGCCCCGGCCATGCAGTCCATGGGGTCGCAGGGACAAAGAGTCAAAGGCTTGTAGGAATCAAAGACGTTGATAATTACACAAATTGTGTTTAGGCACCTCCTTTACTTTCTAATTTCTTCTTGTGAACCTGTTGAATGTCAACCAAGGTTTGAAGGGGTGCAAGAATATCTTGCCTGGTGGCGATTCGAGTGGCAAGGACTTCGAAGGTGATGGTCCGTTTTTGACCTACATAGTTTACAGATCCTTTAAGGATCCTCCTCCAATTCCCCCTTTGATGCACTGACATCCAGCTATCATGGGAGCTGGCAATTCAATTCTTTAATCCAACGTGTGAGCAGGCATTAATAAATGCGTGTTTGCATTTACACCTGTGCTATCACAGCTGCCTTGTGAGATTACAGCGTCGACAAAAAAACTCTGCATGGATGCAGGTCGTTATGTTGTTGTAGGGGCAAAGTCTGAAGAAATGTTAAGATGATCCAACCATTTGAGTGCACAGCAACTGAATGTGAAACCATTTTGTTTTGTTACTCTTTCTTTGTTTTGACCCCACATGCCTTGCGCCTTATCTTGCTGAGGCTTCATGCTCTTCCCAGATTGAGACGGCTCGCGCGGTGTCGTCAGAAATGGGGGAGGATGCTGCAAACAAGTCAGGTATCCACCAATGGGCCAAAATCAATTACAGGAACAGTGAGCGGGATGTTCATTCTGTTGCAGGCCAACAACGCACACGATTGGACATACCAATTGCTGAGATCAATGTCCAGAACACACGTCTACCATGGATTAGCCCCAAAGCATGGTTCCAGTACATTGTAAACCATGGCCTTCTCTATATGCTTTCAGGCTTGCACTATGAAGAGAAACATCTTGTTGGAACAACGTGGAAAAAATTTTGGACCCAATATCAGCCTTTAAATTCTGGTTTGGAAGTTTTCTACATGGAGGGCCTGAATTGGGAGCGAACAATAGGTCTTTACATCCACGGAGATGAGGGCAGGACCCTAAAGCGGGGTGGCTTGATGGTCACTTCACTACAGTCTGTTTTGGGCTTCGGTTTCAATCGAAACAGGTTAAAGCGTCCACATGGATCTGATGATACTGGAAAACTTCAGGTGAACTTTGCAGGCCATACATTTTTGACTCGATTTGTTGTCTCAGTGCTTCCAAAGACAGAGTACCAGTCCAACCCAGACTACTTTCATGAAACGATGGACATTTTCGCCAGAGAGTTGAAAGACCTACTGGAATCTGGGATTACTGATCCAGTGACTGGAGAAGTTTGGAGGTTCGCTGTGATTGGGATCAAGGGTGACATGCCCTATCTTCAAAAGGTTGGGAAATTGAAACGTTCATGGAACACAACTGTGAAGCGTGGAAGACAACGAACTGCTCCTAGAGGGGTCTGCCATTTGTGCCTGGCAGGGACCCAGAACACACCGTTTGAAGACACTAGTGAGGGCGCGCGTTGGGTTCAAACAATTGGAGTGCAAGCCCCCTGGGATACTATGCCTAACATTGTGCGGCTTCTTCCATATCCCAAGTCACACCCTGGTTCTTTCCTACAGCCAGACCTGTGGCACAGTATACATCTTGGAGTTGGGAAATCACTCATAGCATCAACGCTACAGATTGCGCTGGAGGTTGTCCCTGCTACAAACAATGAAGACCGTTTCGAGTGGCTTACAAACCATTACCATTCGTGGTGCAGGTCTGTGAAGGTTTCTTCGCATATTTCGAAAATATCTGCTTATCTGGTTTCGTATGGTGATGGGCCAGGGGCGATGGGGAATTGGTCTAAAGGCGCATTAACAACAAATTTGGCGCGATGGTTGATACCATTGATCGATGATCTTGCAGTTGATTCTCACAATTTTCTTCCCAGATGCAAGGAGGCTGCCCAACAGTTGAATGCTGCTTTGACTTTTCTCTACAATGCACCTCTGTTTTTGGAAGGGGTTGAGAGTCGCTATGTCTCTGAGCGGGGTACGTTTTTTGTGAGGACATATACTGCTCTTGCTACTGAATGCTTTCATTTGCAGCGCCCACATCTATTTCCTTTGTTTCCAAAGATCCATGCTGTTCAGCATACCTGGTTGACTTTGAAAAATGAAAGTGCTACCCACGGATACGGAATGAATCCGTTGACTGCTAGCTGCCAATTAGATGAGGACACGATAGGAAGAGTGAGTCGCGTATCGCGGAGAGTCAATGTGAGGCTTGTTGTTCTTCGAACTCTACAAAGACATCTCATGTCTTCATGGAACATTTGGATGGACGCAGGGGTTTTGAGATAAAATAATGTGTGTTTGTCTGTGGTCAGGGCAGGGTTTTGGACAGGTGTCTGGTTCCTTTCATCATATTGCAGTTGTTTCTTTGATCTATATAAGTTTAACATAGTTTAAATATGATGATGATTCTTGGATAAAATGAGAAACCTGGTTTTTTGAAAAAAAACGGGTTTTTTTGGCACAACCAGAAAAAAGCTGCTTAAAGAGGCTGAAGGTATATATATATATATAAATGTATATAAATGCATATATATATATATACATATATATATAAATGTATATAAATATATATATATATATACATGTTGCAAGAAATCTGAGAAAATCACTTGGGTAATTCGTTGAATCCCCATTTTATAGTGGTGGTTGAAGGGTTTTGGGGTTAAACGCGGGTTAAGTGATGGCCTCTACAAACTTGATCTTTTTCATTTTACAGAGGGGTACCCTCCCCAGGAGGGTCATAGGTTTCCATTTTATAGAGGAGCCTGTTGGGGCGGATGTACCCCGCCGTTTTATCCCTATAAAATGGGGACCCGTGACGTTCCGACTTAATTCACAAGAGGCTTAGTGAAACATATATATTGCGAAATAAAAAATGGGATATCTTGACCTATCCAGCTGAGAAGTGATGTTCATGCTGGGTATCTAAGATGGGCAATGAATAGGCGTTTTGTTTAACCAACAATGTTGGGGGGATTCCAACGTTGCGATGGAGATATAGCCAATCACAACGGGAGTTTTTCTCAGACGACAAGCGCGCGAAAAAGCTCACCACTAGGCTTGCAATCGATGGAGAATCCTGGGGTGTTTCATGAAGTTGTTTGTTGCAACGTTGCCACAATATGACGAGAATATGACATTCTCAGCAACGTTGCCATGACACATTCAGCGGTTTGTCAGTAGCTGTGTGGAGACCCCAGTGTGGTGACTTCATAGCCAGGTGCCATCTGGCGTAACCGTGGTGTTCATATTCAAAATATTTGGCGGGACGATATACATACTATACCCAGATTAGCTCACCATGGTGCTGGAACATGTACCTACATTTACCCCAAAAATTGATCCAGTCATTTTTCGGAACATATACCAGCACCATGGTGAGCTAATCTGGGATACACAGCTGAAAACCATCGACTCCGATGTCTTCCCACCCGATTGGGTCCCGTGTTCAGTTTCCAAGAGACAGACAATATGTTTGCATGTTCGCACGGATCCATTTTTGTTGCCCTTGAATGTCCATGAAATGACTCAATCTTCGTTGTTTAAACAAGGGTATGGCCCTATGCCAAAACGTCCGGCATAGCACGCTTCTGAGATGAACCATGAACTGCAGGTGCAATTGGAATGATGTTCAACCGCAACCCGGTAACATACAATTCATTCCGATTCATCATTCATCTCATAACAGAAGAATTTACGATTTACCATTTTGGTTATTTAACATAGACATGGAACATCACCATTTTTAATAGGTAAACCGTAAACCATCTATAAATGGGCTATTTTCCATGGCTGCGTTAAATAACGAGAGGGTACTCAAATTGTATTGCCCACCTGGTGGTTCACCCCCGTAAATGGGTTCGTTCACCCAAATAACTGGACAATCATCCCCTTCTGAATGAACTGGGGTTAACTAGCCCATTTACGATTCCTGAGGTGAGCTACCACCTAATTATATCAAATATGGCATGGAACGCATCCCGTCTACAGATTGATGATTGTCCCTAATATCATCCGATTAAGGAACTATGTTTGAAAAAAAAAGAACTCATCCCATATTATATTATATATATTATATTATGTATATATAATTATATATATATAATTATATATATATTATTATGTAATCCCTTCCTCCTAATACTAAACGTCCCCCTAATACTAAAAACAGGCATCCATCTCCAATTTCCGAAAATTTCAGTTTGGCCAATTTGACTTTTAATTGATCCCCTTTAAAAAACAATTTAAAAATCAACCTACCATTTGTGGGTTCTCCCCCCTAATACTAAAAACTAGTTCACCCCGGGGTGTTTAGTATTAGGGGGGCCTAGTCCCAATCCCTCACTCCAAGCTGCCTAGCTACTCTAGCAATTAGGGGTAAGCTTCTAACTGCCATTTTTGGCAATATTTTAATTGCGTATATAAGGAAATTTAATTGATTTTGAGATCGGAAAAAATAGTTTTTAGTATTAAGGGTTTTAATTTAGTATTAGGGGTAAGCTTCGAACTGCCATTTTTGGCAATATTTTAATTGCGTTATATAAGGAAATTTAATTGATTTTGAGATCGGAAAAAATAGTTTTTAGTATTAAGGGTTTTAATTTAGTATTAGGGGTAAGCTTCGAACTGCCATTTTTGGCAATATTTTAATTGCGTTATATAAAGAAATTTAATTGATTTTGAGATCGGAAAAAATAGTTTTTAGCATTAAGGGTTTTAATTTAGTATTAGGGGTAAGCTTCGAACTGCCATTTTTGGCAATATTTTAATTGCGTTATATAAAGAAATTTAATTGATTTTGAGATCGGAAAAAATAGTTTTTAGTATTAAGGGTTTTAATTTAGTATTAGGGGTAAGCTTCGAACTGCCATGTTTGGCAATATTTTAATTGCGTTATATAAAGAAATTTAATTGATCTTGAGATCGGAAAAAATAGTTTTTAGTATTAAGGGTTTTAATTTAGTATTAGGGGTAAGCTTCGAACTGCCTTTTTTGGCAATATTTTAATTGCGTTATATAAGGAAATTTAATTGATTTTGAGATCGGAAAAAATAGTTTTTAGTATTAAGGGTTTTAATTTAGTATTAGGGGTAAGCTTCGAACTGCCATTTTTGGCAATATTTTAATTGCGTTATATAAGGAAATTTAATTGATTTTGAGATCGGAAAAAATAGTTTTTAGTATTAAGGGTTTTAATTTAGTATTAGGGGTAAGCTTCGAACTGCCATTTTTGGCAATATTTTAATTGCGTTATATAAAGAAATTTAATTGATTTTGAGATCGGAAAAAATAGTTTTTAGTATTAAGGGTTTTAATTTAGTATTAGGGGTAAGCTTCGAACTGCCATTTTTGGCAATATTTTAATTGCGTTATATAAGGAAATTTAATTAATTAATTAATTAACATGACTTCGATTTGGTTCCCTAATAATAAATACCCCCCTAATACTAAAAACTACCTGCCGTGTTTTGTATTAGGGGGGGGGGTTAGTATTAGGAGGAAGGGATTATATATATATATATATTATGTATATATATATATTATATTATGTTATATCCAATATATTTTATCATTGTTTCCCACCATGCCTATGCTTTTCAGCATCTCCCAACTTTTCTTGTGTTTTTGCAACCTTTGCTCAACTCCGCCGCACAGTCGATGACCACCAGCATGAGCATCAGCAAACTCATGGGCCGCTCTGTGCGGAGACCCAATTCACCCATCAAATCCCCGGGGTTTTCACCATCCAGGATCCATCGATCCATCGTTGACAGGGCCTGGGGGACTCACCAATGCCTTGAAATTTGCCTTAAGATATGGGAGTAAATCTGGAGTTTCACCAGATTTGTTGACGGGAAATGCTCATAGTTTATGAATGAATTGCTGGGATGTTCATCGATTTGTGTATGGTATGGTAGTATGGATATCTACATGGCTTGATCTCTATGGCTAATCGCCTTCTGGGCTGCCAACCGCGTACCACATTTTAAGTGCGGTTGAACAGATATGGAAAACCATATTAGAACTGATGGATTTTACCCCATATTTTATGGATATATGATATGATATATGGAATATCCCCATGGTATCCCCATGGTATCCCCACATGTTCCCCATGAAACAACTCGCTCAATTGGCATGGCCCCGGTGAGGCTTCTGCGGTGTCCTTTGGTGGAAGTCATACTGGAGGCGGGTTTTTTGGATCAGAAGTCTTGGATGTTTTTTTCTGGTGCTAAATGGCAGTGTGTCAAAACCTTGTACCCCTGGTGAACATCAAAATAGCTGGTAAATGGATGTTCATCCCACTAAAAATGGTATTAATAGGTATTGATCCATACCCAAGTCTTGGATGCCTTTTTTCTGGGGCTAAATCATGATGTGAATTACCCTCTGGTAATTTAATTTAACCTAGCTATTGAAAATGGGACTTCATTGCATTTGGTTGAGGAAGAAACATGGGATGGTTATAGAAATATGGAAAATATGCGGGATACCCTCTGGTAATTTGTGACATTTTGCTATTGAAGCCATGGCCATAGAAATAGTGGATTTACCCATTGAAAATGGGTGGATTTTCCAGTTCGTTATGCAAACGTTTACCAGAGGGTATGCGTTTAATGTTTAACATAGCTATTGAACATGGGACCTCATGTGGGGATCATCATTCATTGGCGAATATGTAATATATATATATATAATATGATTGGTGGTTTGGAGCATGATCTTTTTGACTTTCTATACATATATATATATTGGGAATTTCATCATCCCAACTTACTTTCATATTTTTCAGAGGGGTTGAAACCACCAACCAGATTATGCGTTTAATGTTTTTGGTTGATCGTTCTTTAAACAAACTGGAGTTTGGAATGATGTTTTTGTTTCCACGGGAATCATGATTGGTATGCTGGCGAGATGATGGCAAAGGTTGTTCCTATGTCTTCCAACTGGACATGTCCAACAGGGTGAAGTATAACCTTTGTTGGTAGTCTTTGTTTATAGGTCAAACTTGGGCCCTGTCAAGAATCACAACCTTTGGGATTGTTTTACCATTACGCCAGAATCTTGTTGGTCCCCCTTGTCTTCCCACGTTAGTAAACGGCAAGTAGCTGGGACCCCAATATTATAAGTTGGTTTCAAAATCCATATACTGGTTGGTAGTTTGGAACATTTTATTTTTCCATGCAGTTGGGAATAATAATCCCAACTGACTTTCATATTTTTCAGAGGGGGTGTTTTTCCACCAGCCAGTATACTCTACATAGGTAGTTCTTCCATGTTCTCCCATAAACCCAATGGTTCGCCGCTTGTTATTTGACCAAGTTGCCGATCCTTTTTAAACCCTATTTAAGCAGTATCTTGGCCCCATTTTGTACGTCATTTTTCTTCAGCATGGTCCAGTTGAAGTCCTTTTTTTTCTGATGAAGCTGTTGATTTTTGCTTCTATCCTGAATCCGAAAATTATGGTTTGATTCAACTTCAATGTTTGCTTACTTATTTTGCTTGCTTAACTTATATATATATATTAAAGTTATTTTTTGCAGGAGAACACCACCAAAACCAGTGGATATCCACATATCGATCAACTCCTGGGGATCAAAATGATTGTTGCTGAAACATTATTAACATTTAGACACATTGTAAACCATTATAATGTTAACCATTTATTAATCATCATTTTAATTAAACCATTATCAACATTTATAACCCATTGTTAAACCATGATAAACCAGTATCAACATTTATTGATCATCACTTACTAACCATGTTGATCACTAGTGACCATTATTACTGTAGATTATGATATAACCATTAAGAACCATGGTTTTCCTGCATAGCTTGAAACCACCACTCAGGCACAGGTGCCGAGTTTAAGGATGCCATGGAGGCCAGCATTGTCTCTCAATGGATTGGTTTTCACGGGAAAATCTTCACCGGAAGCCATGGGTTTTTACCATCGTTTTTTTTTTTGGGGGGGGGGTCTTCCGAAGTAAATTGTCCCATCATCCAATTCTGTGAGTCTATATTTGGGGAATTAAGATCCATCAACCAGCTATTCGTTGCGGCAACGACCTGTTTTGCACTGAAAAGGGGATGGGTTAAGTTCCCTATGAAATGACCATATGACTAGGGGAATTTGCACATTCATTAACCAGCTATGACTTTGGGTAGGGTACCAGGGTTTTGACGAAAACAAGCATGTTACAAATATGAGTACAACCATGTTTTACAGCCTCGTTTCAGATTCAGTTACACATATCCATTTAAATCTATGGTTAAACACTATATATATATATAGTTATCGGCGTATTAAATGCAACTACACACTCTTATTCTATATCTAATTTTACGCGCAACCTTCCCGGTTCGCCCACACAACTTTTGCAGCGTTTCAAAGGATATTGAAGGGTATTGAAGGGCGTGTTGAAGGGAAGCTTCAAGACTTCAAGATGTTTCAAAAGAGTTTCTAGGGAATCATTAAATCCCCACCCCGCTAAAACTGTTTATTTAAAGGAATCTTCAAGATGTTTCAAAAGAATTCGAACGAGTTTTGGGGGAATCATCAAATCCCCACCCCCGTTAGACTTTATATTCAAGGAAATCTTCAAGATGTTGAAACATGGAACGCACAGGTTGCTAAGCTGCGCATTGCAAGATGAAAGCCATGATCATGGACATATGAATTTTGTCCCACAAAACACAGTGCTTTTTGATGTTCGGACACGTCGTGGATGTCCGCGCGGGCAAATGGCGGGTTTGCCCGTAATTTTACTGAGAATGTTAGTTAGTTGTTGGTATGTTTTCACATCACCTTAGTTACTTAGATACTTTAACAGTTAGAACATGAGTAAGGTTACATAATAACTAGCTTGGTTAGAGCTACTTAACTTAGTTTCACCTAGTTGTTTATTCTGACTAAGCTACTAAACTATGGTTCAACTTCACTAAATCATAGCTCAACCTCATTACTAGGTTTTTTTTATTCCAACTAAGTTACCTCATAATTCAGATAGTTACCTTATGATTTTCACACGACAAACTCGTAGGTGAAGTCTGGCTGGCAGACGGTCTTGAGCGCGGTGGAGAGCTACAACTTGGCCCTTCGGCGGATGCGGAGCGGATGGGGTTTTAGCTTTCCAGTGCCCACTGTACAACATCAATGGTGGTAAACAATAAAACTTTGCCATAAACCACTCACTTTGAATTGGTTTATAACACCTATTTATGCATACAATTTATGGCCTAATTGGGGATGGTTATGATTGTTTTACCAACATTGGTCAAATTTGATAGGGATGCCATTGTTTTTTTTTGTGGGCACCCCGCCACCCGGCATCTTCTGGTAAAAGACACCAATAAAAAAACAATCTGAACATATTGACTTTGGTTACCCTCCAGTAAAGATGAATAAAGATGATATAGCTATTGATCACCATGTGTGCATGGGTAAATCATGGAACTAAATGACAATTTTCGATATTTATGTCAAATCACTAGAGGGTAACATCCCATTGTATATATATATATATAAATCCTAAGAAATCATACTAAAATCCATTACAATTCCGATGAAATCATGGTAAATCTTCATGAAATCTTCATGAAATCATGTTTGATTCATTATTAACCATTATTAACCATTATTAATCATTAATCACCACTAAGAAGCGGAGGGTTTTTCTCCACATCCACGTCTCTCGGTTTTTCTCGGCTTTTCCCCATCGATGAAGCCTAGGGGCAACCGAGCTGCAACCCCAATGCCTTCTTCGTGTGGGGTTCGCCCGGTAGTGGCAAGTCGTGAGCTCAGCGAGCGAAGGACGACGGGAGTTGGGGAGTGCCCTCTGGATTTTTAGTGGGTGAGACTCCTCAGTGTTTCGGGTTAGACTTGGGATTTTGGGCACAGTTTCCTCCAGATGTTTCCGTTCAATCCATCCATTCACATCAACGACTGGTCTGGTTGGTTGTGTCACGTGTGTTTTTGAGATGTTCAACCCTAGAAATGGGTTGATGGTCCCCAGCTGACGAGCATATCTGTCAGCTGCTCAATCAGCAATCAGATATTGATGCTTTCAACATCTTGAAAAATTGCAGGGAACTCAGGGAACCCCTACATTTGATGGCAAAACGCCATGGTAAAAACCCATGGTTTCTGGTCGATTTGTCCCAAGAACATCCAACCCACCGGGCCACCGGGTAGTGCCAGAAACGGAACTCAGGTCTTGCTTCGTGGGACGACTCATGATGGAAATGCTGGACAGGTTGGAGCGGCAGATGAGATCACGTGGATATGTCATGAATTTTTATGAATATATCCGAACATTTGTGGTATACGGGTATACGGTATACTCCAATATATCCATTTGAATGGGAAAATGCTATTCTCCATTTTAGTGGGAACATATGCTATTACATATAATTAAATTGGTGCTGTGGGATTTAGGGGTATGGTTTCAGAATGTTTTAGAGAAAAATCATATCATTGCTCTCAAACTGCCCAACTGGGCGCAAGCTTTTGAAGTGCTAGGCCTTGCGAAGCTCCACAAGTGTTGGCAGAATTTGGCAGATACTCTACATATCTATACCTAGACTCTCCAGTCGTACCCTTCAAATGATTATATAAATTGTTGTTTTACCTCTGAAATTAAGTACTTTTACCCAAGTTTTTTGGGTATTGTACTTGGAGGGTCAAGCTATGTCTAGCTATACATGCTGATGTGGTTTCGAAGCAAAGGGCAGGTTTGTCATTCTGCGGAGTCTTGGGGCCTGGGATGGCCTGGGTAGCCCGCTTTACTCTTGGTTCATAAACCACGTCTCCTAACAATCCAAAGTTCAACATCTTCCTACAAAAGATAGATCAAATAGGATATTTCGAACACATAAATTGGGATTTCACTAGCAATAAATGGAATGTACCCATTGACGCAGAAATCCAGCTCGGCCAGGTATGAAAACCTCATTCCCTTGATGTTGCCAGTGGCTGACCTTGTGAAACGCTCTGACCCAGACGGTACGCCTGGGCGATGGTGGTCCAGCGTTGATGGGTTTGTGGGGATATTTACCTTTGATATCCTTCCAAATCAACTACCATGGGGATTGAAATGGATTTCATCAACAGATTTGGGGTTGAGATACCAAAGTTCAGGGGTATAAAACCTCTATTTTGATCCATTTAGCAGCTATGCTGGTACACAGCTTCCAGAGTTTTGATCCATAGCCCCTGTGGCCCAAGAACGTTCCAGTCGTGGGGCTGAGACGGCCAATCTTGGGCAGTCACGTTCATCCATGTCGTTGTTGGAACTGGAGGCCCCATTCGAAGTTGGGACACATTGTTCTGTCTTAATTGAGGTGGTCGCCTATGATCCTACAAACGAGGGCCATCAGCTGAAAACGGCATTGAGAGGGACAGTGATCAGAGACACCGGCATTTTGCCCCATGCATCCGAAACCACCGATGACAAGGGGTGTGAAACATCGTTTGTCAATGCATCCGAAGACCATGATACAGCCAAAGCCCCAGACACCCGGTCTGGTGTACCGTGTGCATCCGAGGCGGGGTCTTGTCCATACATGTCACATGAGGGTTTTGTACCACATGCCCCGCACGTGCATACAGATGTCACAAAAAAATCAGAAGAGGTGCCAGTATTTGAAGTAGCTGCCCACAAAGCACCTGCATCCGCTGAAACAACAATAAAGAGATGCTACCCTCTCTCTGAACCAATGCGTGTCAAGGACTTTTCAGCCCCAGACCCCATGTCTGGTGTACCGAATGCATCCGAGGCAGGAAGTAGGAAAAGCCCTTACCAACCGGAACAGAATGCAGCGCCTCACCAACGAGCCCCAGGGACCAGTCCTGGTGTACCGTTTATTGCCAGTCATCAAGCATCCAACCCGGAGAACATGCCCCTCAAAGCCCCAGAGATCCGCTCTGGTGTACCGCCAACATCCGAAATCAAAGCGCGTGTCAAGGACTTTTCAGCCCCAGACCCCATGTCTGGTGTACGCATCTAGGTGTCATCAGAGCCCCAGGGACCAGTCCTGGTGTAAAGTCAAAGCCCTGTGTCAAGAGAATTTTCAGCCCCAGACCCCATGTCTGGTGTACCGAATACATCCGAGGCAGGAAGTAGGAAAAGCCCTTACCAACCGGAAGAGAATGCAGAGCCTCACCAACGAGCCCCAGGGACCAGTCCTGGTGTACCGTTTATTGCCAGTCATCAAGCATCCGTCCCGGAGAACATGCCACTCAAAGCCCCAGAGATCCGCTCTGGTGTACCGCCGACATCCGAAATCAGAGTGCGTGTCAAGGACTTTTCAGCCCCAGACCCCATGTCTGGTGTACCCAATGCATCCGAGGCAGGAAGTAGGAAAAGCCCTTACCAACCGGAACAGAATGCAGAGCCTCACCAACGAGCCCCAGGGACCAGTCCTGGTGTACCGTTTGTTGCCAGTCATCAAGCATCCATCCCGAAGAACATGCCACTCAAAGCCCCAGAGATCCGCTCTGGTGTACGGCCAACATCCGAAAGCAGAGTGCGTGCCAAGGGCTTTTCAGCCCCAGACCCCATGTCTGGTGTACCGAATGCATCCGAGGCAGGAAGTAGGAAAAGCCCTTCCCAACAGGAAGAGAATGCGGAGCGTCACCAGCGAGCCCCAGGGATCAGTCCTGGTGTACCGTTTATTGCCAGTCATCAAGCATCCGTCCCGGAGAACATGCCACTCAAAGCCCCAGAGATCCGCTCTGGTGTACAGCCGACATCCGAAATCAGAGTGCGCGTCAAGGACTTTTCAGCCCCAGACCCCATGTCTGGTGTACCGAATGCATCCGGGGCAGGAAGTAAGAAAAGCCCCTACCAACCGGAACAGAATGCAGAGCCTCACCAACGAGCCCCAGGGACCAGTCCTGGTGTACCGTTTGTTGCCAGTCATCAAGCATCCATCCCGGAGAACATGCCACTCAAAGCCCCAGAGATCCGCTCTGGTGTACCGCGGACATCCGAAATCAGAGTGCGTGCCAAGGACTTTTCAGCCCCAGACCCCATGTCTGGTGTACCGAATGCATCCGAGGCAGGAAGTAGGAAAAGCCCTTACCAACCGGAACAGAATGCAGAGCCTCACCAACGAGCCCCAGGGACCAGTCCTGGTGTACCGTTTATTGCCTCCATCCCGGAGAACATGCCACTCAAAGCCCCAGAGATCCGCTCTGGTGTACCGCCGACATCCGAAATCAGAGTGCGTGTCAAGGACTTTTCAGCCCCAGACTCCATGTCTGGTGTACCGAATGCATCTGCGGCAGGAGGCAGGAAAAGCCCTTACCAACCGGAACAGAATGCAGAGCCCCACCAACGAGCCCCAGGGACCAGTCCTGGTGTACCGTTTATTGCCAGTCATCAAGCATCCATCCCGGAGAACATGCCACTCAAAGCCCCAGAGATCCGCTCTGGTGTACCGCCGACATCCGAAATCAGAGTGCGTGTCAAGGACTTTTCAGCCCCAGACCCCATGTCTGGTGTACCGAATGCATCCGAGGCAGGAAGTAGGAAAAGCCCTTACCAACCGGAACAGAATGCAGAGCCTCACCAACGAGCCCCAGGGACCCGTCCTGGTGTACCGTTCATTGCCAGTCATCAAGCATCCATCCCGGAAAACATGCCACTCAAAGCCCCAGAGATCCGCTCTGGTGTACCGCCGACATCCGAAATCAGAGTGCGTGTCAAGGACTTTTCAGCCCCAGACCCCATGTCTGGTGTACCGAATGCATCCGAGGCAGGAAGTAGGAAAAGCCCTTACCAACCGGAACAGAATGCAGCGCCTCACCAACGAGCCCCAGGGACCAGTCCTGGTGTACCGTTTATTGCCAGTCATCAAGCATCCATCCCGGAGAACATGCCACTCAAAGCCCCAGAGATCCGCTCTGGTGTACCGCCGACATCAGAAATCAGAGTGCGTGTCAAGGACTTTTCAACCCCAGGCCCCATGTCTGGTGTACCGAATGCATCCGCGGCAGGAAGCAGGAAAAGCCCTTACCAACCGGAACAGAATGCAGAGCCTCACCAACGAGCCCCAGGGACCAGTCCTGGTGTACCGTTTATTGCCTCATCAAGCATCCCCCGGAGAACATGCCACTCAAAGCCCCAGAGATCCGCTCTGGTGTACCGCCGACATCCGAAATCAGAGTGCGTGTCAAGGACTTTTCAGCCCCAGACCCCATGTCTGGTGTACCGAATGCATCCGAGGCAGGAAGTAGGAAAAGCCCTTACCAACCGGAACAGAATGCAGAGCCTCACCAACGAGCCCCAGGGACCAGTCCTGGTGTACCGTTTGTTGCCAGTCATCAAGCATCCATCCCGGAGAACATGCCACTCAAAGCCCCAGAGATCCGCTCTGGTGTACCGCCAACATCCGAAATCAGAGTGCGTGTCAAGGACTTTTCAGCCCCAGACCCCATGTCTGGTGTACCGAATGCATCCGAGGCAGGAAGCAGGAAAAGCCCTTACCAACCGGAACAGAATGCAGAGCCTCACCAACGAGCCCCAGGGACCAGTCCTGGTGTACCGTTTATTGCCAGTCATCAAGCATCCATCCCGGAGAACATGCCCCTCAAAGCCCCAGAGATCCGCTCTGGTGTACCGCCGACATCCGAAATCCAAGGTTGTGCAGATATGCCTGTCGAAGATCAGGTCCCTGCTGAGCACATCAGATCAGGAGTTGATGAAGAACCGGAAACTCCTTGCCTCTCTGACATTGCATTGCCGTGCCAGCACAAGCCCACAACATGTGGAGGGGACACACTACACGCAATTGATGCACATGACGAGCCTCATGTAGGTATCATCAAAGATGAAGTACACATTTCACAAAGTGAGCATGTAGGCAATGATCTTCAGAAATTTGTAACCCAAAACAATGATGATGAAGAATGGGATAAGGCACTGCACCACCTTTTCCAACAAACCCTGGAAGCAGAACACAAGCTGCCCGGAATGACGGCCACTCCGGGAAAACATAATGCCGTCCAAGCTGAAAAGTTTTCCGACAGAAATCAGGTCAAAGCCAAGGACCCTGAGATTGCAAGTCTAGGCACTGCAGGAACACCGCCGTCAGCTTCCCAATTGCACCCCGGAATGACGGCAACTCCGGGAAACAATAATGCCGTCCACCAAGCGCCATCCAAGCTGCCCACAGGTGCCTTGAGCTTAGCTGATTACCAACCAGGCAGGGACATCGTCCAACACCAGCAAAGCCTTCCCGGAATCACGGCCACTCCGGGGTACCATAATGCCGTGGATGTGCACACCGCAGAACCCAAATCAGACATGCCACAGACCAGTTTGGTGCTGCAAGCTCCTGCGACAGGAGGGGTTTTTGGTTTTGAAGCCAACAAGAAACGAAAAACACAGCTTAACCCCTCGATGCATGCCGAAGCTCCACCCAATGATAGCCATGCTGAATGCAGCCGAGGTGTTCCAAAGAGATCTCGTACTGAAAGCCATGAACCACGGGATGCAGAAGTGGCGCATGTTCAAGTCGATCGAGGTGCCCAGCATGATGAAGCGCCATCGACCATCAGAGCATGGACTTGCGTTGCCAATGGTCAATCGCCTCTAGTGATACGTCTCCCAGTAGGTACCACTCCGGGCCAATTGACACAAGCTGAAGCCAATCTTGGCACCATGGAACAACCGATTGCACCAAGGTCGTGGGTTAATACTCACCTACCACTGCATGATCCACTTGAAGACAGGCAAGCGGTGTTCTTGTATGATGCAATGCCGCTCGAAAGCAAGTGCCCCTTGGTCACCCAATTTTGCCAGCAACCACACATCGACTTCCCATGCACACGACTTGAAGCACTGTGGAAACAGAAATCATGGGTTGCTCAAGATGAAATGATGTTCTATCTCGCCGCAACGAAGCAGGGAATTGAGATCAACACTTTCCCAACAAACGCTTTCCTCAATGACACGGCGGTGAGATGTGAAGCTGCTACCTGGTTGCAACAAGCCATCGAATGGGTCACACCTGACAGACCATGGATCTCAGCTGCCATCGTTGCCAAGCATTGGATCCCAATCATTATCCACAGGCAAAGTACCACAATCTTCATCACGACCACTCCAGAAGGTGATGCCTTCATTGAAGCAGCCCAACAAGTCACGGCTCAAGTTGGGCTCACTCTGAAAGGGATCCAAAAGATGATGCCACAATCATTCCACGGAGATTGTGGATTCCAGGCATTTTCATGGATCATGGCACTGTTGAATCGAGAGCCAACTGACCCCATGACGCCAAGAAGAGCTGAACAATGGAGAATCCTCTTTGCAGAATACCTCCTTGCCACTTGCAAGCACCACCAAATCATTGACGACCTGGACATTGCAGGCACGAAGATCGACCCAACTCTGCACAGCCAGTTGGCTGAGCTCTTGAGCAATCATGGGGTATGGGAGGAACGAGTCAAAGACCGGTCCACAAAGCTGATCGAAGCCATCCCAACCAATGTCCTGAGGAATGTCCTTGGAGCCAAAAAAACATGGGCCGAACTGAAGAATGCAGCGAACAATGCTCAACCACCGATTAAGTTGATTCAGCCAGATGAACTTAATGCGCAGATCACAAGCCGTGCAAATCAAAAGAAAAACTATGGCCAAAAGAGCTTCGCAAAAGGGACCAAAAAGCAGATTTCCGCCCAAGACATGCCCGCACTGCGTGCAGCTGACCTCCAGGTGCCACAAGGTGTTTTCAAGCAGCAAGATGGTGTAGCATTAGGCCCTCTGAGCACTCATGATGTCGGAAACAACAGCCAAGGAGTCATCCTGGTTGACCAATGGGACGCGGAAGCACTGCTGAGACTGCAAACCCCAGTCTCGCCACATGGCTTAGCTCTGATTGTACTTGCAACCAAAGACAACAGCCAAGCCCATCAGTTTGAGCCAATCCGTTTCCCGGCCTTATGCCTTGCGACTCAGGAGCCTTTGATTGCTTCGGGCTACCTTTACCAACTTGGGGCACAGCAAGCACAAAGATTGGAGCCGTCAGTCAAGTTGGCAGTTGAGGAACATGAAACGGAAACAATCAGATGCTTAGTTTTTAGGGACCAAGCACCCAAACTTTGGGATGACATCCAAAAGCAGCCGGTCAAAGTCATTTTCAGCCAGGAGCCGATTTTGGCCCAATCCAGGAACGATCAGTCTGTGGTTATCGATGTCTGGGACAGGCAGTGGCTCTCCAAACGCTTTGAGAAACTCAAGCCATTTGCAGCTGATATTTTTGCCTTCTCATTTCGAATGATGGCAAAGCATGCCGAGAACCTAGTGGCCAAGTCGGGCCAGAATGGAATCTACTATGAGCCCAGGACCCAATGTGGACGTTTTCCAAGCCCAGATTTCCATGTCACTTGGTTACCCAATATGACGTATCAAGATGCACAGTTTGCCCAACAAACTTCACCCCATGCCACAACCCTCACAAGACATGGTGACAGGTTTGGGCTGCGAAGTGAAACCATCCATGCACAGGCAATCCATGAGAAGCACCGACCGGACACCCCACTGTTGATGGGACAGAAAAAGGTTTTGTACACAGTTGGACCCATGCCTTTCTCAGCCACCAAAGAATCCATCACCAAGCTCCTGAAGACATGGAATTGGGATGCAAGGCCACTCCAGCCACGTGGAAGGACGCCTGACAGCTCAGGTATTTCATGGTGCATCCAGGCAGTTGAGGATCCATCCCATTGGATTTACACGTTGCAACATGGTGACGTACTCATTGCAAGAATGCATGAGAAAGAACCCGTCAAGAAAGCAGCACAGGTCAATATCGTTGCTTCCAGGAAGACGATCGAGCACTTCCAGCAGACGGAGGACCCATGGCTGAGCCATGACCCATGGCAAGGACCCACCAAGACACCGAAGCAGCAGGTAGCCAGCCAAAGCAGCCAGCCTCCGACAACAGCGCAGCTTGCAAGCATCGAAGCAAACATAGAAAAACGCATCCTTGCCGCCGTCCAGAGCAAAGCAACACAGCCTGACGCAGACGTCAACATGGATACCGACCAGCTTGAAAGCCGAGTCACACAGCTTGAAAAGCAGATTCAACAAGTTCATGCCAACCAGGTGGGCTTGGACACCAAAGTGAATCAGATGCAATGCCAGCTTGAACAGCAAAGCAAGCAGTTCAATGCTTCCCTGGACCAGAAACTTGCATCGCAAATGGACAAGATCGAGGCCCTCTTTTCAAAAAGGGGCAGACACGAGTGACTGGCCAAATCCCCTAATTATGGCTCTGGGTTGCATAAGGACCGACCGGTCAAAGCCACTCCGAAGCCATCTGCAAGATTTCGACAATATCCACCTGCGTCAAAGCCAGTGGTATCCAGCCTGCACCGAAGTTTGTGCCTTTTAATTAGTGTGTTTGCAATCACCATGAGAATTGGGGAAGCAACAACGCCTGGTCCAGCACTTGGCCCTGTGTTGGGTAACATTAACCCAACAGGCCTTATGGGGAAAAGTAACGATGTAGCTCAACTTCCAGTTGGGGTATACGCTGTACAGGAAACACACCTCACAGGGCCTGGAATCACTAAGTTCCGCCAAGAGCTAGCCTGGCGCAAAAGCCAGTACAACCTTTGCCATGGAGCACCTGCTCCGCCCAAAAACAGCTCCCTGCGCACAATAGGGGGCAAACATACAGGAGTAGGTTTTCTTAGCAGTTTCCCATGCAGAAGTATCACAAATGAATGGTCACCAGAAGACTTCCAAACCGGAAGATGCCTGGCCGCAGCAGCATATGTCCAGAGTAGATGGATAAACCTGGGTACAGTTTATGGTTATAGCGAAAACCGACAAGCAGTCCAAGTCCAGCAAAACACAGGACGACTTCTAGAAGGCCTGACAAAAAGAATTGTTGATGGTGCAACTGGACTTCGGATGATTTCTGGGGATTGGAATCTACCCCGTGAACAGATCCCGCAAGCGGATTACTGGGAAGCAAAAGGATGGATGGAAGCTCAACAGTTAGCAGCAATCAAGTGGAACAGGCCAGCCCAAGCTACATGCAAACGCACCACAGTGCGAGATTATGTGTACTTGTCACCGGAAGTTATACCCTATGTCATTGATGTGCAACTTGACTGGTCATACTTCACAGATCATGCAGTGATTCAGGTACACCTAAGTGATCTTGCGAAACCTCCCAAGGTGCCAATGTGGAGAAAGCCAGCTCCGCTACCATGGCCAAAACTTGAACAACAGCCAGAATGGAACAAGCATGCCCAACCATCCCATGACATGGACCAATGGTATAAAAGTGTTTGGGAAAATATGGAGGAGTATGCCAAGGATTTTCATCAAAAGGCGGGCCAGTCAACACCTCAGCCCAGACAGCTGGGTCGTGCCACCACAGTAGAAGTCAAATGGGTGCGTCCTTTTGACACACCTGTCAAACCAAATAGAAAAGGAGACATACAGAGCAAGTTAACCACTAATAATCTGCAGCATTCTCGATGGACCAAACAAGTCCGGCGCTTGCAGCACTATGCCAGGTTTGCCTCAGCAGCTTCAGAACCGTGCGCGCCTGACCATAAGGCCAACCTTTGGAGATCAATCTTGCAAGCCACGGGCTTCACTCCAGGCTTTGGAGTGTGGTGGTCAAAACTTTATAAGAATTTTGCCAACAGCCCGGCACACCTCCCCACCTTTCCACCTAATGGGGATGTTGCCAATGCAATCTTCTTGGAATTTGTCCATCATTATAGAGAACTTGAATATAGCATCCAGCAGTCCCGAATGCATCAAGCAGTGGAGCGCAGAGCAAAGGATCCCCTGCTGATTTATAGGGATCTCCAGCGTGAACGAGCAGAGCCAGTCCAAACCATCGTTGTCCAGCAGAACATCCCAATCCTTCATGAAGAACCACGGGACCAGCAGCAGCTGGAAATGGAGCTGGCCCATCCAATGCCTGAAGGCCTGCACCATGTTGAGGTCCAAGGAATCCCCACCAACGTCCAGGTAGTCGACCCGACTCATGTGGTTGTTCCAGAAGCAGTTGCAAAGCAGTGCAACGGAAACCTGGTGGTCAAACATGTGATTGGGGATGTCCCACAAATCCTTGACCAGTTTGAAAAAGAGTGGAGTCCGCGATGGAAAAAACATGATCACCTGGATCCAACAACATGGGATACAATCTTGGATTTCATGCGTGCAGCTTTTCCCCCTAAACCCCCAGTTGTCTTCCCAAAAATAACCAAAGAAATTTGGCGAAAAGCAGTTGCCAAAAAGAAAAAATATTCGGCAGTCGGCCCAGATGGAGTTTCAAAACGTGACATGCTTCACATGCCTGATGCGTGCCTAGAAGACCTATTGGACATCATTGGTGAAGTTGAAAATGGAGCGCCATGGCCATCACAGGTGGTCACAGGAATCGTAGCAGCCTTAGCAAAAACACCTGAGGCAAAAACAACAAACCAATATCGTCCCATTTGTATCTTCACTTTCACGTATCGAGTGTGGGCTAGTATAAGAGCTAAGCAATGTTTACGGTTCCTTGAAGGCCTGGTTCCTCACACTTTACTTGGGAACATCCCGGGTAAAAGCCCGAAGCAATTATGGTTCCACATCCAGCAAGCGATTGAATACTCATATGCCCAAGGTGCCGAGATTGCAGGTTGTGTTGTGGACATCGTGAAGTGTTTCAACGTGCTACCCAGAGAACCTTTGCTGTCACTTGCCAAGCTCCTAGGTTTTCCGACAGAAGTCTTGGTCCCTTGGGAATCGGCCCTGACCCAAATGACCAGGCGTTTTCAAGTCCGAGGATCAACAGGCAGAGCCATCAACAGCTCCTGCGGATTTCCCGAAGGATGTCCCCTTAGTGTGGTTGGCATGGTCCTATGTAACATAATTGGGGAGGTCTACATGATCTGCAAAAACCCCAAAATCCAAACGTGGTCTTTCGTAGATAACCTTGAAACAGTAGCAAAATGTGCAGCAGAAGCCCTTCAGTCCATGGAAGACCTGGCAGAATTTTGCTCATTGTTAGGGTTGCAGCTCGATGCAAACAAAAGCTATGTGTGGTGTAACACGCCTGACGGAAGAAAACTCATCCGTGACCACAACCAGATTGGGAAACTCTTTGCCAGAGATCTTGGAGGCCATCTCAACTACTCCAAGCTACGAACCAACTGCACGCTCCAGGACAAAATAGCCCAGTTTGTCCCTTTCTGGAACCGACTTTGCCGAAGTTTTGCCGCAGCGAGTCAAAAAGAAAGAGCACTTGTAGTGTCAGCATGGCCAAACCTGTTCTATGGAATATGCACGGTATCTCTTGGTAATGCTCACTTTGAAAAACTTAGAACTTCTGCCTGTAGGTCCCTTAACCTAACCCAGAATGGAGTTAACCCAATGCTCCAGTTGTCCTGCGTAGGTAACCCCAAAGCTGATCCTGAATACTACTGCCTTTTCACAACGGTGATGTCCTTCCGTGACTGCCATTGTGAGAACATGACCGAGTTTGTAATGGATCAACTTATCCAGGGCCAAAACATGACACCCGGCCCATGCAGTAGTTTGCTGAGAGTTCTTCATAAGATTGCCTGGACCTGGCAGGGTGGGGGAGTCTGCCTTGATCAGGATGGACTGCCGTGCAACATTCTTAGATGTCCCAAGATGGAACTCAGTTGTCGACTATTGGAAGCATGGCAAACGAGAGTCTTTTCTCTCACCACAGCCATGCGGAAAACAATGGATGGACTTCAAAATGCAGACGCAAGACTCACCCAACAGTGCCTGCGAAGTATCCCCGTAAGCGGCCTTGGACTCATGAGATGTGCATTGAATGGCACGCAATTCACGTATGATGCCCTTGTCCACACCGGTGCTGTGGCCACAGCGCAATGCCAGTTTTGTCAGCAGAACGATAGCCAGCGGCACCGACACTGGGAATGTAGTTTCTTCAGCGACATCAGATCAAAATACCCAGACCTAGCAACGCTTCCAGCGAATGCCAAGGACTGCCTCCTGAATCACGGGTGGCTACCAAAAGCTCCTGGATTAGCTGACCTGCGAACACAGCTCTTGCAAGCCCCTGACACAACCATGTGTTATGTTCACCCGCCTGAAGTCGCTGCAAAGCCATTTTACAAAGATCTTTTCACAGACGGCAGCTGCACAATGCCGACAGACCCTCTGCTTCGATTGGCAACATGGGGGGTCGTTGAATGGACAGGAGAAGAATTCTGGCCAGTTGCAAGAGGTAGAGTAGGTGGATGGAAACAGACTAGTCTCCGGGGTGAAATAACCGCTGTAATTGCAAGCCTGAAGATAGCAGTCCGTAGCAAGCAACCATGCCGAATCTGGACAGACAACGCAGAGGTTTTCAAAATACTCCGTAGGCTCCTTGCAGGTGATGACCCACATGTTGCCAAAAAACCAGATGCAGATCTTTGGAATACAATGGTTAATCAGTTTTTTCAGTGCGCCAGCAACATCCATGATGTTTTTAAAGTGAAAGCTCACACAGAAATGAAAGACCAGGAGACCCCTCTTGACGAATGGGCAACGAGAGGGAACAACATGGCAGACCAGACTGCCAGTAGTGCCCGCCAAGACATCCCACAGGATTTTTGGCGATTGTGGAACGAAGTCTATGAGCACCAGCAACAATACCAAAAGTTAGGCCACCAAGTACACGCAATGTACGTTGAAATAGCCGAACGAGCGAAACAAACCCACACAGTGTCGGCACCACTCACGGAGCCAAGTGGATTTGAAGATTCAGCAGCCACAGTGTTGACTCAGGTATTCTCCATCTAATACAACTTGATGAAAAAGGTATTCCCAAACATTTCCGGAATGAGGAAACCTCTTGCATTTTGCGATGGCTCAAAACTATCAGTTCGAACAGCTCCGCTGCCACTTGGGTCTCATTTCACCAGCTACTGATTGATTACCAAAAATTTAGCCAGCGCCTAGGACCCAGCAGCCATAAGGGTAAGTGGATGAACACTCCTATTGACCAGCCATATAGTCATAAGCAGCATACTTTGTGGCTAAGTCAATTTCTTAAAAACATCAGCAAACATGCAGGATTTTCAGTGACCATCGAACAGAGACGTCCACCCAGCCATGTTATCGCATTCTGGAGTGGGTGTATACGGGTACATATGCCTATACAGAAACTGCAAGAAATCGACAATCATTTGAAGAACTACGTGTCCGTGATGCCAGTGCGAAACATCACCCTCCACATGGCGGAGGTCATGCCTGGTTAGTTGCCTACGTTTTACCGGGGAAAGAGCAACTGACTCCGACCCTCTGAGCAGTTGCCGCGGATTGAAATGGAGAAATGGAGAGTTTTGATCCATGGCCAAATGGCACTGGGTATGTTGAGTCCCTTCCCCAAAAAACACATCCCTGCCCATTCTCCCCCCCTAGTATAACTATATAACTAGCATAGATATAGAATAACCCTCAGACACTTTCCGGGCCTCCTGTTTTTGCACTGGCCCTTCATTTTTTACAGGCCCAGAGGGGAGGTATTTACTCTTGACCGAATGGGATTCATGTAATGAAACACCTGGAAGGTTCACCCAGCCTTTTCTGGGTACCCTCTGGTAAACTAACATAACTATGGAAAATCACCATTTTTAATGGGAAAACTCACTATACATGGCCATTTTCAATAGCTATGTTAAATTACCAGAGGGTATCTACAATCTGCCATGTTGGAATCCGTGGTTGTTTGTTGGAGCATCACACTGTAGACCTGTGAGAGTTGTCTCAGAAATTCTGCCCAGGGGGTTGCCTTCCGGACAACCCAACGGGGATGTGAACATCCCGGCACTAAACCGCCAGATTGGTAACTGGGAGGGGTAGCAATTTTTAATAATTCATGACATTTTTTTGGGGGGTACATATATAAACCGCAATTCATAGTGGTTTATTGATCCGGATTTCACATGATGCACTATCACCAGCAGATTTCAACATGGAAAACCTGACCCCTCTTGTGACACCATTATAGAAACACATATGGGTATGGATCATACCTATACATACCATTTTTAGTGGGATGAACATCCATTTACCAGCTATTTTGATGTGAACTACAGGGGTACAAGGTTTTGACACACTGCCATATCATAGCAAACATCTTTTCAACCTATTTACAATGACTGCATTCATGAATTCATCTACATGAACGACCCGTTGCCGAGAATGTCCTCCGTTTGCTGAGCCGATCTTTCACGGCATTTTTACGGACCGTGCTGTTCAGAATCCCAACATCCAATGCTTTAGATAGACTCATGTGTTGACATTGACTGATTCAACCCCATTAAATCCCATGAAACTCTACAAAATCACCCATTTTTGCATCCACTTTGCCGTATTGTTTATTGATGAATCATCATGACGCCAGGCCCCGATGCTGTGGATGCGGAGGGGGTGCAGGAGCGGGGTTGTGCGGATGGAAAAGATCAAGAGGATTTTAGAAGCAACCAATTGATTGGTTATATATGGTTATATGGGTCATATACCTTTTGAATCTACAGCAAGTAATGAAAAGATCAAGAGGTCATTTTACAATTACTGGTAAATATGGGTTAGTTATGTAATTAACCATCCATGAATTACTGGTAATTAACCAATTAACCACTGGTTGGTGGTTTGGAACCATGGAAATTTATGACTTTCCATTCATATTGGGAATGTCATCATCCCAACTGACGAACTCATAATTTTCAGAGGGGTTGTTTTACCACCAACCAGAGTTAGTGGGGTATTCATGGGGGATATGATAAATACCATCGTATTTATGTATGCATATGCATAGTTTGGGCTTAAATCCCTTCCAGCAGTCAAACTGAGGCAACTGAACATTTGAGAATAGGCTTCGCCAAGGATCTTATGTCGGTCTGTGATTGGCCCACAGGGAAAAAAGGGCAAACTTCTCACAGTTGAAGTGTCGTCATCCCAGGGTGAGCATCGTTTTCGGGTGTGAGATTCCTTTCGGTGTCGGTTTTCAAGTATGCGGGACACTTGAAGCAACGTAGAAAATGATTTACAATGCTGCAAAGACTGGACAGATGTTGGAGCATGCATACCCTCTGGTAAACGTTTACATAGCTATTGAAAATGGCCTTTTATAGTTGATTTACCCATTCAAAATGGTGGTTTTCCATAGCTATGTAAACATTTACCAGAGGGTATGTGATGGAACTTGACCCCGCTTTTCGAGGTATATCTAAGTCTATATATATATATATAGCTATAATTACCAGTGTATTATATATTGTAACCCCCAAACAGATAAAAAGATCTTAATATGTTCTACATTGGGTTGGTTGTACATACCATTCTGTATATCATCATTAGATATTGTATATATTATATTTATATATCACTATTGTATCACCATTCAATATTCACTATATCACCATGATATAGCCATTGAATTGATGATATTAATGAGTGAATTTATGATATTAATGAGTACTCATCACCACATCACTATGATATACGATTATAATCCATTATATACTAAGTATCCACTGTATCACCATCATATACCCTTACATACTCATCTGGTCGGTGGTTTGGAATATGTTTTATTTTCCCACATATTGGGAATAATCATCCCAACTGACTTTCATATTTTTCAGCGGAGTTGTTTTACCACCAATCCAGTCATTGATGGCCACATATCCCATGATTAAAGTCTCTTTTTTTTTGGCGCAGCCTTTCGACTGCCAGGGTTGGTTCGATAGCTATCTGCGGGTGACCTACGGCGAGGACGGCCGTCTCTTTGCTTTTGGACATAGGAAGACCCAGGGAACTGCTGATTGTCATCATTGTTTAGCTTTGTAAAAGTGAAAAACTGTTGGGGGATAAGGTAGCTATATAGCTTTGAAACACTGAAAGTTGGATGTCCGGTCGATGTTTTCATGGTCGAATCCCGAAAAACGGCATGATCATACGATTGATATGGGCACAGCCAAGAGACATATCAGGTATTTATTTAACTTTGAATGATACACAAATGGACCACTGCAGGGACTCTGAGAATACGAGCTATGTAAGAGACAGAGATTGGTTTTCAGACATCATGCAAACATGTGGTAAGCGATGGGACCTTCTCAAGTCAATTGATGTCCTTTTCGTGAACCCACATCGAGATATAGGATTCATATGGATTCATGTCTTTCCTTCGGATCAGCCCCTGCTACGGCCATACTATGCATCGCCGGGCGGCACGCCAGTCTTGAATGACTCGACGTGGTGTCTTTGCTCATGGGAGTTTCATTGTTTGTAGATAATTTTTAGAGAAGAGCCCATAGAACTAACATCGACCCTGAGAACAGCACATTTTTTTGAGAAAATCGTCCCCCAACACCATATTTGTCAGAGATAAGTTGAGGAGAATCCATAGTGGCTGTGATGATCCTAACTGTCAAAAAGATATTCTTGGGACAAATTGAAACCATCATGCAGAAGACGTTGTATACAACAAGTTGCAGTGTTCCAGTGTGTTGCATCGGCAAAGGACCTAAGACTTACTGTATCTTGCGGAAGATATCCAAAGTTTATATCATATTATTTATACTATATTCCGAGAATGTCCGAGAACATGTTTTGCTGCACCTGCTACATACTGGTCAAATTAACTTTAAGTCCCACAAACACAGCAATTCTTTGGAGGGCCAAACACAGCATTAATTTCGGATTTGGATGGATTTGGTATCAAAAAACCATCGAATTTGTAAGAGTTTCTCATGAATTTGGCTGGAAGAGCCACAGTTTCCCATCATTTTTTCACCTCCAAATTGGATTCAAGTCTTTGCCGCCCAACTCCAGGACAGCTTGCGCTACAGCATGATTTGCCAGGCCTGAAGCATTTTTTCGTGGCGTATCTCCAAGGTTGCCGCTGGTGAGTTCCTGGATGATACCATAATCTGGTTAATGGTTAACTACTGGTAAATATGGGTCAAATACTTAACCATCCATGAATTACTGGTAATTAACCAATTAACCACTGGTTGGTGGTTTCAAAGATTTATTATTTTCCATAATACATGGGATAATCCTTCCCAATGACTTTCATATTTTTCAAGATAGTTAAAACCACCAACCAGTAGTCCATGAAGTGGGGAACCCTATCTAACACGTATAATTGAATGACAGAAGGTTTTCAACACTGCTCACATCTGTGGTTTTGATGCTTAGCCATGATTCAATTGGGACTGCGGACTCATCCTATATAATCCAGTACGGGAAACCCTCCTTCAACCCGTAGGTCTTGGGAGAGGGTGAGGCTCTGTTTTTTTTGTGTGCAGCTTTTGATTAAAAGGTACCATGTTGGTTCTGGAAACCTATATATTATATATTATTCATATGTGTTATGTTCTTTTAGGCTTGTTGCGTTCAACCTAGGTTCTAAAAGTCCAGTTTTGTTAGTGCCAGTTGGATCCATTTGGATATTGGTAACAAAAAAGGTGGCAACAAGTCGCGCAGATGTTGAGACATCCATCCTGAAGGACTATTCAGCTGTATCTCATGACATTCTACCAGGAGTAGCCAAGTTGCAGGAACAGTTCTACCTACGGCTACAACCAACAAACATCAAACACTGAGTTGCATCCCATGTTATTTTGTAGAACTCATTTAAACATGACCATAACAAACAATCGCCGGGCTTGTTGGATTGGTTAGTTCATGCGATTTGTTTCTGGAACCTCCATATTTCTATAGATTGCTCCGTTTTTTTCCTTGGAGTCATGCCAATGAATCATTCCTTTTCTGTTTTTTTTTTCTGAAAATTAGGACATTATTCAAAAAAAACATGCTTCAAAGCTCTTCTCCGCATCAAGAAGCAACTTTGGGGTACAACTATATTTGTACATTCCAATTTATGGTGGTTTATTGGATCCCATGCCAAACCGACCACTTTTTATTGGGTCCTGTAAACATACCATATTAGTGATTATCCATAAACAGTAACATACTATTGATTATAAACATATAATATGTAAACATACCATATTAGTGATTACCCATTTTTTATGTGACACACGTTAATCCAAACGGAACCCAGTTTATGTAATCAATAAATTGATGACCAAACGTTGGACCGTTGGAGGTTGGTCATCAATCCATGGCATGGCCATGGATTCTGGGGTCCCGGGATGGACCTGACAAGCACCTCCGACTCCCATGTATCACCCCAGCAAATATGGTGTTTCATGTTATGTTTGGTTGGTGGTTTCAAAGATTTGGATTATTTTCCACAATATATATGGGATGTCATCCTTCCCATTGACGAACTCATATTTTTCAAGATGGTTAAAACCACCAACCAGATATTATTATACTTTTGGTGGGGTTAATGAAGGTGTAGTAGCCTCAACCAACAGGCTGATGTAGCCGCCAAATGTTTGACGATTGGAAACCAGCCGTCTTGCCTAGATTGTCATACGTGTTTGATATGGTTGGAATGTGACTTGGAAAGTTGATGTATCCAACTATGGGCTAGGGGCCAGAAAGCCTAGGCCCTGGATTGTTTGAGATGATATGGTACTCAACGTGGGTTGCTTCAATGGATTGGTTTAAGGGAAAATTTACGGGAAACCATGGTTTTCACCATTTTTTATATGGGGTTTTCCGGTTTCAATTTTCCCCTAAACCAATCCATTGGTTGCTGTAAATTCCACCATTTGGTTCGATGATTTATTTTCCCAGCTCTAAACCTCCGTTTTTGCTCAGGATTTCCCAGCGGTCCGCCACGATTGATGACACTGAGAAGGGTAGCGCCATTAATCACCAGTATCAACCATTATCAACCATTTTTAAGCATGAATGAACCATCATGAACCATTGATTACCCATAACCCATCCATGTTTACCAATGATTAAACTATCCATTTATGGATCATTATAGTTACCCTCTGGTAATCTAACATAGCGAACTGGAAAATCACCATGATTAATGGGAACATTCACTAGAAAAATGGTCATTTTCAATAGCTATTTTGACATAACCAGAGGGTATCATAACCCATTTTTTGGGGAGTTATCCATTAAACTGGAGGGATCTCCTTGAGGAGAACGTCCCCTTTTTTGCGATGACTTCTCCAGGCGCGTAGCATGTCGCGAGTGGTCTTCCTCTTCGAAGGCTTGGAAGATGCGGAGAAACTCAGCAAGGCGCATGGGTGGGTGAAACTCGAGCTTCATCATTGAAAACCCATTGAGTTTTCAGATAAATCAAGTATCCAAAAGTGGATTTTAAAATCCCAAGAACAATATAGAACAATGGGAATTTAAAAGAATTTAGTCATCAACAAAGGATATGTTTCACTAAGAAAAGCTGGATTAAATCAATAAACATTGCAATTTAACCAAGAAAAAACGGATGTGACGAATTGAACAGCAGTGGAAATTCTTTTTAATGCAACACATGTACATGCAAATGGTGTTTTAACCAACAACAAATGAGAGATTTGACCAACACAAAACATTGGATAAACATGTGATTTTTGATAAAACATAGGTAACTTGGTAATTACCCTCTGGTAATTTAACATAGCTATTGAAAATCACCATTCTTAATGGATAAATCAACTATAAATGGGCCATTTTCAATAGCTTTTTGTATGATTACCAGGCCGGGTAAACCCTTGGCAACTCGGATCGGATGTATCGGTGGATACATCGAAGTAGTTGCCATGGGGGTTGCCATCGAGTGCGCGTCGTTCTAAAAGGGAAGGGTACAGGGAATGGGGATGATGGGGATATGAGTTGTATGGATGCAGTATATCACATACCCAAGATGGGACATGAATATTTGATTTAAGATACTACTTATACGACTTATATGTTAAAAAAAAATGATATGGGATCTTCTTGGGCCTGGCCCCTTTCTTGACACGAAAAGTGAACAGGTGATAACCACAATGGCATCACCACGGCAGTTTTTCCCCCCTTGTATTTAACCACCAAGTCCGCTGAAATCGCATGACATTTTTTTGGAGAGATGATGAACGTATACTACCCTCTGGTAAACGTTTACATAACTATGGAAAATCACCATTTTTAATGGGAAAATCCACTATAACTGGCCATTTTCAATAGCTATGTTTGACATAACCAGAGGGTAACGGTTGGGCCAGTTTTTTGCTTCGGTCGAGGAAGTTTTGCTTTGATCAAATCATGTTGGATCCCTTCTTTTGCGGCCAGTGGTGCGTAGTAGGAATAGATGGGTTGGGAATGGGGGTTGCTGGGATTCTTGATAGTCAGTGGATCATTCCCGAAAATTCCCTACGTTTAGCACAAGTAAGTTTGTCTGCCCAATGATTGTTACTATATTGGGCCAATGTTTTTTTAGAAAAAACATGGACATTTTACCTCTGGGATTCACCATTTTATTGGTAAAATACACCTGTTTAAATGAACGCATACCACTTTTCTGGATGAACTCCATCGTTTTCCTGTTTTCCGCATGTTTTCCACATGAAACCCATGGGAACCTCACCCACTTCAGATCAAGCTTTCACCCCATTTTTTAGGCCGTTGAAAGCTTGATCCGCGTGCTGGTGCGAGCCAAGAATCTCGTGGTGCGCGTACCAAGCGACCGGTGAGGATGATGTCATTGCTATATGAAATCTGGAGAAACCGTGGAAAATTGATGGGATATCATAAATCCAACAATATGGATATGTATCATATATGGATCATCATATAAATCCCGATTTTCATGGAATATTGATGGGATATGTATCATAGAATGTGAATCAATTTGTGGCAAAAGGTAGCTATCAACCATCCACTTGCCAGCTGGTTAAGCCAGTGATTCATCTACGCCGTGACATGTGAATCAATGGAGATTTGCTGGAGATTTCATGGGATGTTGAATGGTTGGATCTACAAGCTGGTGCCCCAAAACGTTACCGAAGTTGGTTCAGTTCAGTAGCTTGACGATTGGATTTATAGTATATATATATATTGAACTATATAATTATACACATATAATCAATATATTATATATAATATACATACAATATTTTTGTCAACCAACAAGCATCATTGGTGGGCACCTTGTAGATAGAGGAATGGGCCTCAAAACAGTGATCGCTAAGTCTGAACTGGGGCCCTCTTGGATTGGTATTCCGAATTCCCTTTATGTCGATGGGGATATGTTACCCTCTGGTAAACAAACATAGCTATTGAAAATGACCATTTATAGTGGATTAGTGGATTTACCCATTAAACATGGTGATTTTCCATAGTCATGTTAGTTTACCAGAGGGTAACACCCTACCACCTCAACATCGATTGAATCACGACTGCAGTGAACTCACTGTGTGCTGCAACATGGCAAGTTCGCTGACACAATTTTGAGCCTCCCTATATTATATCTAGTTGTTTTGGGGGGGGTCTTCCGGCGGGGCATAAACAACAAACACCTTCAAGATACTGCAAGGGATGACAATGAGATATGTCTTAAGATGAACATAGCACCTTAAGATGCGCAAAAGTAATCTTCCCCAAAGCCCGGACGGAGTACACCTAGAAAGCCCAAATGGCACATCGTGCAACTCGTGACATCATCGGTGCCTCAAAAGACGAGCACATCCCGTTGATATCCCCCAAAACCCATCAACGTGATCGATATAATTCCAGTATCCCATCATATCCCACTAATATCCCATTAAATCTCCATTGAATCCCCAGCTGTTCACGGCTAAACCTTCATCATCATTATTATCATCATCATTATTATTATCAGGATTATTATCATGATTATCATGATTATTATTATTATCATTATTATTATTATTATCATTATTATATATATATATACATAAATATATACATACATACAAAATCCCAGCACATCACCCTCGATTTTACAACGTGCTTTCCCATCAGTCCATCGTTTTTTTTTCGTGAAAAAAAACGCTAGGTGGTGACGTCCAGACCACTGCTGAGTCGTGACCGCTACAGCGCCTTGGAGGTGGGAATCATATGGGATTAACCATGGATTTAACCATGAAAGCAATGGGAGATTTAACCATTAACCATATATTTATACTAAGTATGGGATTATTTATATCATCAACCATTAACCATATCATTTACTGAGATTTAACCATGCCGCAAGCACGGCCGTCAGCAGTGCTGTCAATCCTTCCACCAAAGGAGGTCGACATACAGGACACATGGTTGTTCGTGCTGGTAGGCGGACAGAAGAGTCAGGTGCGTGGCTCTGCATTGCTCAAAGCTCCAAGAGACGAGTACACGGCGGCAGTGGAGTGCTTGCGAAGGACCAGCCCTTTTTACGCAGCCGTCGAAGTGCGCCCCGATGGAGAAGATGTTCTGGATGGATGCGTGCTCGAGACCGCTGAAGATTCAGCTCTGGCACAAGAGCTGTTGCAGAAAGGACCTGCTGATGCCCAGGGGCAAGAGTCTGATGATGAAAAAGCAAGTGCAAACATTGCACATGTTGTTTAATAAAACATCCAATAAAACATGGTTTTACTGGGATGGTAATAATGTTTCCCTTGGGGGAGGGGGTTTCCCGGGGGGGATGGGGTGGGGTGGGGTGGGGTGTAATAACGTTCATGTAACTTGCGTGGAAGTAGATGCTAAGTTGATGCTACGTTGCTACTACGTTGCTGCTACGTTGCTACGTTGCTGCTACGTTGTTTGCTACGGTGATCCTACGGTGACGTTATGGGGTGGGGTGGGGATGGGGTGGGGTGGGGTGGGGTGTAATAACGTTCATGTAACTTGAGTGGAGACAACGTAGCCGAGTCCTTGGCTTCTGTGACAAAGTCACAGCTGAGACGCCACGGGTTGCAGAAGGTTGTCAACGACCCAATCGAACATCGCAACGTTCTAGCAGTGCACTATGTAAGCAAAAAACCTGGTTTGGAAAGTGTCGTGAAAGCACTCGCACGCTTTCGGCAGCTGGCAATGAAAAGTTGCCGCCAGCCAACGTTAGTCTTCAAAGAAGCACCATGGGACGGCTGAAAGAGAAAAAAACAGCTGACTCACAGCGCTGGGACATTTTGATGATATGCAAAAACATTGCGAATTCCTAATGAAAAACAGCATCACGTCAAAATACACGTGGAAACACAGTACATTATACCCTTTTCCAATGATCTTTGATGTCCACCTCGTAATTCCAATGGGGAAAAAACACACACACCAAAAAAACATGTTGTGATGGTCAAAAAACGACCTCAACTTCGACGGGCCAAAAAAAATTGATCCGTCATTGCAACACATCATGTATGAAATGAACGGCATTAAAAATCCCCATTTTACCACAGTGAAACACTGATTTTTCTCAAAGTCAATGATCCAGATTGACGTCCTATCGGAGAACCTACTCCGCCTGGCGTAATGTTTATATACTAACCATCCCATTTTAAAACAATGGGATTATATTAATATGTTGTTTATTGGAATTTAACCATGAAACAAATGGAGATTTTTGACCATGGATTTCACCAATAAAAAATGGTGATTTCACCAGCCAAAAAATGAGATTTCACCATCAACAAGAAGGGTTAAAAGGGAATTTTATGCGGATTTCACCAAGAACAGTAATTATATAATGGGATATAAATGGGATATTGGTGGGATTTAATCGGGATATAATGGACTATACGTATATATATATATATATTAATATATATATATTAATATATATATATATATATATAATTATATATATATATTATATAAGTAGCTATAGTTAAGTTGGTAAACATCACTCTACAGTGACCATTTTCGGTGATTTTGATCAGGACATCACAAATTGGAACCTACATCATGAAATATCCTCTTTTTCGGCTGGAGCTTGGCTCCACGCAAAATTGGAACTGGCGAAAGAGACTATTCTGCTTGTTCTGGGATGCTCTTCTGGTTTTTTCTGAAAATAGAGTGATGCAGCCGTCAGCCAAGGGATGACATGAGGCAGTGCCAGGAGCAAGCACATCGCCTGGGGTTGCCTCTAGTGCAGTTCAACCCGCAGCACATCCTGAACATGGCTGAGAGAAGCGGGGACCGCCACATCTACTGGTCGTTTCTTTGCTGGATGCATTGGTGCAGTTTCTTCTTTCATGTTCTTTCTATTTTTTCCCTGGGGTTTCTATTTGCTGGGAATTGGATTGGGGGAATCATCCAGCTGGCCGTATGATCACAGCCATTTTCAGGCTATTGTATCATTATCTGGTTGGTGGTTTCAAACATTTGGATTATTTTCCATAATTAAATTATATGGGATAATCCCTCCCATCGATTTCATATTTTTCAGAGGGGTAGGTCAACCACCAACCAGTTTATACTTCAGCCAGACGCTGAATTTGACAACTGACCATAAAATTTGCATGCCTTTGTCATAATTGACAAGTTAAAATTTCATGTTTGATGGGCATTTCTGCGATTATATCGATTCATGGCTACAGCTGACCACAACCTGTAATTATTTGTGCTATATATGACCATGAATTTTGCCAGACATGATATTGTTTGTTAATATTTGATGGTTATTCACTGGCCATGGATGGTAAATTTGAGAATCAGGGGACCAAAGACGTTGGATTTCTCAATGATTTAACCTTATCAGGATGGGCCATAAACCTTGGCGTAGCCTATTTCTGGACAAAGCCGTGGGAACAAAAATGCGTTTGAGGGGGAAACAATCAATTTGATTACCCCGAAAATGACGTGTGAAACCATTGACATGAATTCCTGTATGTTTTATTGGCCAGAAAGAGAAAACATGCAATTTTGGCTGCACAGTGGAGAGATGTTAAGTGCCAGGTCAAGATCTATGATTGCATGCTGGTACGTATCATGTATAGATCATGAACATAGTTGGACAAGCCGGAGACATACAGGAGAGTTTGTGGCAATCCAGGTTGGGTAGGACCGGTACGACCCATCCACAGAGATATCTATGGGTATCCCCTGGTTATCCCTGGTTTATGTGTACTGTAGTCGGAAAACATATCATATCCTAAACCTATCGCCTGGGATGTGAGATGGTCTTGCTTTACAGAAATCGTAACGCTAACGTTAGTTGCGTGGAATGCATTTCCGTTTTACTTGGAGGGACGCTGTAGGCGGTGGTCTTGGCTTTGCTTACATGGTTCGGGCGCCATCCATTCAGTGTTGCTGTATATCCATATACAGTAATAAATATACAGTATATTTGTTGATTAAGTCCTTTCTTTTGGTTGCTTCAATGCCATATCTTGTTCAGCTCCAATCTCCTTTTCGTCAGTTCCAGATTTGCTCACCTCACAATTTCGACATTTTTGTTCCATCTTAATTTAATCTTTATCCTATAGTCTACAAGTGTTTGGTTTTGGTCTTGTTTGATTGTCATATACCCTCTGGTAAACGTGTACATAACTATGGAAAGATCCACCCATGTTTCATGGGAAAACTCACTATATATGGCCATGTTCAATAGCTATTTTGACATAACCAGGCCGGGTAATCCCACCATAATCTGAACACTTGGTATTTCGAGTGTTTTTCCCTATGTTTTACTTGACTCAACTCACCCCGAAATGTGTCATCGCAGAACGAATCGGAGCTGCTGGTCACGATGCGTTTGGAAAACCTCTCGGACGAGCAGAAACGCATTGTTCGGGTTACCCAATTCTTGGGATGGTTCATGATCCTCATTTTTCATAGTTTAACCATGTTAAACCTACATAAAACCCGCATTTTCAAAGTTAACCCCAGCATTTTTGATTGTTACACCATGGGGATTGCCCTTCAGTCACTCAAACTCTGGGGTTTTGAACTTAAGTCAAGTCACACTGCAGGAAGCGGATTTCTCATCAGAAAAGATGTAAAATAGCGAAGAACTTTTCATAGATATCAGGTTGGTGTAGACCCAGGTCTGAAATTGGGGTCGATGGTGACTTACAATGCTGTTCCACCATTGTTGCTTCGATAAGGATGATTCAAGTCGTTACTACAATATGAGGTCCCAAAAACAGGTATGTTGGTTTACACCTCCAATAACTAAGGCTTAATGGCAGTTAAATGGGTTGATAGACCTTGGGTGGATGCCATGATGAACCGCTGGATGGAATGTGTTTTTTTCGCACTTGTCCTCCATTTGTTTCAGACAAAGCCATGTATGCCTTCCAAATTGAAGGCATTCACCAACCATTCACCAGGCAGCAAAGGTGAAATGATGATACATGGGGTTTTCTGGATATAGAGTAGTCCTAAATCCATTCTGGTTGGTGGTTTCAAACATTTGTTATTTTCCATAATAAAAAAGGGACGTCATCCTTCCCATTGACGAATTCCATCATTTTTCACGATGGTTATTGCACCACCAACCAGAACATCAATTATATCTTCCATTAAACCATCCATAAAATTGGTTTATAAACCCCATGAACTAATATAGATATTAGATATATATATATATATCACCTATAAACCATTGGTGAATAATACCAGATTTTAACCACATATTAACCATATATTAACCATTAGTAACCATAGTTGGATCCAGCCGGTTGGATCGGTTGGTGGTTGGAATCATCATAGGTGGCCTACGCCCGCCTCGGGGCAGCTGGTATCGAAGCCTATGACAACCTCCTGTCCAGGTCAGGGGATATGGTGCTTTCCCCTGGGGAAATCATGGGGATACCCGGCCTGGTTATGTCAAACATAGGTAATTTATTGGGATGTATAGGGATTAACCATGAAAAATGGGTGGATTTATTGGGATGTATAGGGATTTACCCTCTGGTTATGTCAAACAGAAAGCTATTGAAAATGGCCCAGTCGAAATAGTGAGTTTTCCCATGAAACATGGGTGGATCTTTCCATAGTTATGTAAACGTTTACCAGAGGGTATCATGAAAGATAAGTTCAACCTAGAAACCCCTAGGCAAATGTTGATTTCACCAAGGAATCTATGGGGATTGCCCGATTGGCATTTTGTGTGAGTTGTTTTTATCCCCCAATTAGATTCCCCTAATGGGATCCCATGTTCGATGGGTTTGAGAAACGTTGATCAACTGATTTGATAGCCGAAAAAGGGTCCTATAGGGTAATATGGAGGGGTTTTTCATATCTATGAAATCAAATGCCAGATACCCTCTGGTAATTTAACATAACTATGGAACATCACCATTTTTAATGGGAAAATCCACTATAAATGGCCATTTTCAATAGCTATGTTAGTTTACCAGAGGGTAGTAGGTTTTTTTGAATGGCCTGGTGAATCAAATTTGTTGCTGTATCCTGCCCACAAACTCAGCAGGCTGCGAACCTCTCAGAACGTCAGCGACCAGGTGCTAACTGAGATAAACATTTGGGAGCTCTGGGCAGGTTGTGGAACGGGTCAAAACCTATGACTATGACGTTCATTGATTTTTACATAAATTTAGCTGGGATGAACATCCGTAATTGTCAGATATTTTGTGAAAGTAAGAGGTTACCAGGGTTTTGACCCATGGCCATCTGAATTTCTGGCCGTTGTGAATGTAAGTGAATGATGTGATATTTTTACCCCAAATCTACTAGACCTGGCAGTGTTGGGAGCCCTGTAGAAGCTCTCCAAGTGGAATGAGTCACAGCTTGGATCATCGGCTTATCCCGTGAAGATCACGATTCGCCAGGCCGTCACGATTCGCGGGATCTTCCAAGCATATCCCCCAAATAGAAGTAGGTTCACAAACCGATTAATCCGATTAACTCTATACTAATGCTTAAATATCCAACATCCTGCAGTTATTCGTTATAAGTACTTTATAACCCCATTTATAGAATGTATAATCCCATAGAAATAACCAGTTATAACTGGTAAATGGCCATGACTGTACTAATGCTTAAATATCCAACATCCTGGTACCTTTGTTTCATTTTTCTGTTGGTGACGTGATGCTTCCATCCTGGTTGTGGCTTCGTTTTCCGTCTTCAGGGCACGCAGCAGGGGGAAGAAACCTCCAACGATGGTGCAGAGGACTCGGAATCAGCCAGAGAATGGGGAGCCTGAACTGCAAATAATGAGCAAATACCCTCTGGTAAACGTTTACATAACTATGGAAAGATCCACCCATTTTCAATGGGAAAATCCACTATTTCGACTGGGCCATTTTCAATAGCTATGTCACAAATTACCAGAGGGTATGTTTTACATAGCGAATGTGTATAACATTATATAGCCAATCCAAAAAAAGGGCTGTGGATTTAACCAACAAAAAGATATGGGGATATGACTGATATGCCCTACACAGAAGGAATTTCAGTAGCAAAATCAGGAGTGTAAGTGATATACTCTCATTTTCTTATTGTGATTTCAAAAGCCCGACATTTTGTTTGACCAACTTAAGATAGAAATATATCCAATGCAGCCACCTTTAACCCCTGAAACATTGAGATTCAGGTTGCTCGAAAGGAACTTGGGTGATGCCAACAACAGGAGGTCTTTTTCATGTGCCAGAGATGATCATATGCCCATGAGGTCACCCATTTGGAAGGTCCAGTTGGCTGGTTTGCTGCTGAATTTCCTGTGTTTGACTGCTTTAATTCCTATGGATTGGCGGAAAAATGCTTCAATTTTGTTGGCAAATGCTTCTAATTGGACAACTAAAGCGAATAATTCGTAACCATCCCCAGAACCGACTATGAACATAATTTTCTTTACATTGGTATACCCAATTGCATAAACCAAATGAGGAGATGGTGATGTTTTTTAGCATTCGATATCGCATTCTTATCCCATTGCTCTCCAATGGTCCATAATTGACCATTCTTATATTGGGTTAACAACGTGTTTTTTTTATTTATTTATATATATATATAGCCACGATATATATATATATATATGATATAACCACTATATAACCACTATATAACCACTATATAACCACTATATAACCACTATATAACCACTATATAACCACTATATATATATCTATATACATTAATGTACTGTATACATGTGCAAAAATTGGACCCCTAGCACCCGATGCAGGACGTCTTTGGAAATCCCATGATGCTCAGCATGCTCCTGTGTTACCTGCAAACCATGGGCCGACGCAGTGGGAGTTCCCAGCGATCGATGGCCTTGGACTGTTCCATCGAAAAATGTGTACTGTTTTAGGAACAAGAATCATATCAGGATGGTGGAACATTTAGGAACATTTCGGAACAAGTATCAGCTTGTGCCCATCTATCATTTTCAGAATCAATGTGTGCTATTTATTTAGTATCTGGATGGGCAGAGGATAATAATCAAACCGGATGGACACTTTATGCTGGTTGGTGGTTTGGAACATTTTTTATGTTTCCATATATTGGGAATTTCATCATCCCAACTGACTTTCATATGTTTCAGATGGGGTAGTATACCAACCAGTATGTGATTTGTGGGATTTTGACTTTTTGTTGGGTGATCATGTTTTTCCCCATCTTCAAATGGAACATGGGAATTTGGGGATCCCAGGGTCACCATGGCTACTCCCATGGCGTCGGAAACCTCAAGAAGTGTTGCTGGTTTCAACAAATGACTCCATGTTTTTAAAGAACGGGTGTCTCAAGCACCAAGCAGTTGACTGTTGGAACATCTCCCCATGTTCATTGGTAAATCAGGTACAGTAAATATCGCTACTGTTACAGGGAACAGACAATTTCGTGCCCACGGGCTGCAGAATGCCAGAATTAGCTTCGGAGAAGTTAACGTAAGAAGTCCTGGTAGGCATGACTTAGGCGCGACTTTCTCTTTTGCCTGTATGTTGGTGAGATATGTCTGAATACCCACAGTTTGCTTGTGAATTCTACATGTATGTAGGTAAATATCAACATTTTTATGAGAACATATCAAGTTTTGTTGGTTAACTCCAAATTGTCATGAGAAGAACATGTTCAAAGCAAGAACTAAACATAGGATTAACTCCCACTAGTCATTGGGTAAAATCTCCATGATTTAATTGGTTCGTCATCAGCTTTGTTGTTTCAAACATATGTGAAATCATGTAAAATCACAAGACATTTTATATCATTTTATAAATTTAAACTTCAATCCCAGTCATTGAGTTAGATCCCCAAAAAACAATGACTGGTTGGTGGTTTCAAACATTTTTTCCATAATATATGGATATATATGGGATATTAATCGTTCCCATTGACTTTTATTTTTTTCAAGATTGTTAAAACCACCAACCAAATGAGTTCATCATCACTTGTGTTGTTTCAGATGTGTGTTTTTGCAGCGAAAATCGGGACCCAAAAAGGTGAAGAATTGGAGGCAGATGAAGAAAAGGCAGAGGCAGCGAAGTTGGGAATGGGTAGCCTCCGGGATACAGAAAGATGTGGAAAATCATGTGGAAAACCCAAGGAACATGATCCACACTATGGATTTTTGATATATTTACTATATATATATATATCCCAGATGCTCCATGGTGCTGGAATATTTACCTACATGACTGGGTGATTTTTAGGGTAAATGTAGGCATATGGTTGCCCGACCCGGGTGTAAAGACACATCCATGTTAATTTCTGACATAGCATTTTGGCTTCAGCTCATGCCCCCCACCCCTTGCATCCTGTGTCACGGGAAGTGGGAGGCTATTGGTGGAGGTCTCTGCCAGGTTTGCCGGACTGTGGACCGGTTGGCCTGTCTGGTAAGGAGCCCTTACTTACCGGCGGAGACTGGTAGTGGCCTCCTGGTGCGTCTGCGAGAGTGGGTGGCGGAGATCCAGGACCTCGGCGAGCTCAGCAGAGGCGTGGTTCCCAACCCTGGCGGGAGTGTACCAGCCCCCACTCCTGTGAAGACAGAGGGCGCCGGGGAGGAGGGACCGCCTGCAGAGCCACCTGACGCACTCCCACCTGGTGCCAGTGCCAAGGCTGGGCCTCCAGAGCCGCCTGGGGCATTGCACCCAAAGGGTGAGGAAGCAAGCATTGCTAAGGGGGAAGGGTCCCCTGTGCGTGAAGGAGCATCATCGTCGCGAAGATCACCCCAGACAACATCAAAAAAGAAGAAGAAGTCGAAGGAGAAGAAGTCTTTGTCAAGAGGCCGCAAAACCAGCAGAAGATCCAGGAGTGGGAGGAGCCGACGGGAGAGCCCTCCTGTGAGGTACGCTAGTCCAGTGCGCCCAGCCGGGTCGAAAAGGGAGAGTAGTGAGTCCGACAATCGGGAGGCGTTGCCGAGGAGGAAGTTCAGACCCCGCAGCCCCTCTTTCTCTCCTCCCCGGAGGCGCAGCCCTAGACCACAACCCTCCGGCCGACCGGTAGGCCGCAGGTGGGAAGGGCCTATCCCTGCGCACCGGCGTGAACCGCCACCGGGGCAGGGTCGTCACTTCGGCAAGAACAAAGGGACTACGAAGAAGAAGCGGCGCGCCGAGCACAACAGGAGGCGTTTCTGGCGTGGAGCCAGACGCTGATGCCGCCCAAACTTCGCCGGCCGGCGGCTGTGGCGCCGCGTGCCCGGGTTAGAGCACGGCGTCCAGCAGCTGAGGGTGAAGCGGTGGGGCGAGCAGGTGGGGAGATAATCACTTGTGCAGATATCTCCTTGGCACAATGCCGGGCGTTGACAGATATCGAGGTAGTGGAAGGCAGCTATTGGGAAGAGGCTCTTCAGGCAGCGTTGCGGGTGCGAGAAGTCCACCTAAGGGGAGAAGACCTTCTCCTAAAGGCCCAGGTGCTGGGGACCCAGAACGAGGCACTGCTGCGGGCTGCTACAGCCCTGCCCGAGAGGGTCGTGGATGTCCACCTGTGCGGCGCGGGCTGCTCGGGGACCCCTCATGCCGAGGGCCTCATTCATGTCAAGAGGTTCAGGGTCCTAGGAGAGCATCGCGAGGGGTGGATGTCCAATGCAGTCCCAGGCCACGGCGGAGCTCGAGAAGGCGACGAATTAGCAGATCTTCGACGAGACAAAGGCCGTTTGGGGGGCGCCGGCTACCCAGGTCCCGGAGTAGAAGAGGTAGTCGAAAGCCCCTCCCGTCAAAAGAAGGAGGAAAAGAGGAGTCGAAGCAGGCGGAAGAGGAAGAAGGCAGAGTTGAAGATCGTGGCCCGCAAGGAGGTTACAGCAGTTCTCAAAGACACGGGGGCCGACCCCGATCCGGGAGTCCGGAAGCGTTTCAGGCGGAAGGCGGCCAAGCTGGCCCGACAAAAGAGGACAAGGTCATCAAGCAGCGGAAGCAGCTCTTCGGAGAGCGGCCTGAGTGGGGCGGCCGGAGATACGACGCTGTTTGGGTCGTCGAGCAAGATCCAAATTATTGGACGCAAACTACCGGGGGCTTTGGTTGCGGCCGCAGTGGGCGAAGCAGGGGAAGCCCTGCTGTTGCAGGACGGGGAGGTTTGGGAGCCGGACGCAGGTCCTCTCCCCCCCCTGTTTTCCAAGTACTTCCGCCAACAACTCGCCACCCGGATGAGCCCGGCCATGGCGAGAGAAGCACAAACTATCTGCCAGGCCCTTGCTTACGCGGCCGTTGCGTGGAGACGCTGGATCTGCTTTCCCAGCGGGTCAAGGCCTTGGAAATGCAGATGAGCGGCGTGCATTATACAGTGGCACAACAACAGGAATTGCTGCCCCGGGAGTTGACGTCGATCTCGACCACTCCCGAATTCCAGGAGGCTGCAAGAAGAGCCCGCGAGGAGGGCAAAGCCCGCTTAGAAGCAACTCGCCCCTACGGTGCAAGGGGGTCGAGCTCGTCCAAGGGCGAGGACTGGTCGAAAGGCCATGGCAAGAAGGGTGCTGCCAAGGGGAAGTTCTCGAAGAGCGATCCGAAGAAGGGCGACCACAACAAAGAGGACAGCAAAAAGAGCAAAGGTGGGTGACAGCGGCGTCTCCTGGGGTGACAGATGATGCAGTGAGCGAAGCTTTACAGACTGAGGCTGGTTGGAAGGCCCACTCCTCTGGAGATCATGGGAGTGGTGAATCATCGGTGGGTGTAAGCTTGGGAGGGTGGCCACATCACGACTGGCAGCGCTGCTCTCCTGCGGGTTCTCCCACATGGCATGGGAATTCAATAGAGGGAGCCCTCCTATCACGGAGTGAAGAGGCGTATAAGGGAGGTGCTCCTGGCTTGGGCGGTCAACCTAGTGAGCCTGCGAAGTCAGGCCAGGGGCCGCGCGCGTGCACAGAAGCTGGAGCTTCTCCAGTGGGCCTAGCTGGCCTTACTTTTCCGGCACTAGGTGAACATATTTTCCAATCCTTCCAGTTTTATCAATGGAAGCGCACTAGCAAGAACTTGACCACGGCAAAGGATTTTCTTTTTCCCTTGCCCCTGGGGGATTGGTACGATGTTCACCCAGACATGAAGGCATGGTTGAATGCAGTTCTTCAAGGTTTGAACTCGTTGTATGGTTCAGGCCGACCTTCAAATCGGTCCCCGTCGGATCTGCAAAAGAGGGTTGCAGCTACAGTGGTGAGTTTTCTTCAACGTTTTTGGGAATGGTCTGACACGGTTCCCCCTAGTTCGTTTGAGGAGCTTTTCTCAATCAAAGGGGTGGATTACCGGGGTGAAGAGATCAAGTTAGCTCGTTCCTTTAACTGGAAATCTATTTCAGCTGCTTTTCCTGATGAAGTAGGTTCTTTGGCAATTGAACAGTTCTGCACTGGTGGATGTAGAAACTATATAGAAGATTTCGAAACCTTTCTGTTGCCTCAGGAACAACAACGTCTGGGCCGTCCACCCCGCACAATGGTGGCCGAGAGCGACTGGCCCGAGGTATGCGCTGGGCTGTTGCGGCTGGGGATTTGTGGCGTTTTACCTCGTAGTTGCCTGTATCATGTGGGATCAACCCCCTTACTCAATGGTTTATTCGCAGTCTCAAAGAACGAGTTCAAGGATGGTGTTGAACTTCATCGTTTAATTATGAACTTGGTGCCTCTAAACCGGTTATGCCTCCCCTTTAAGGGAGCGGTGGACACCCTCCCAACCATTGCGGGGTTGAGTGCATTTTATTTGGAGGAAGGGGAAGTGGCCATGATGGCTAGTGAAGACATAAAATGTTTTTATTATTTGTTCCGGATCCCCCCGTCGTGGCATCGTTACATGGGGTTTGCAAGAGAGGTTCCCCCTCACCTTTGCCCAAGGGAGTTCCAGGGTGAACCATGTCACCTTGTGTCACAGGTCCTCCCAATGGGATTTCTAAACTCAGCAGGGTTGGCTCAACATATTCACCGCAATGTTGTTGCCTGGACCTTGGGGCGTGAGCCTGCTCCTGGCGGTGGGGAGCGGGAACTCAGGAGGGACCGGCCCCCCACGGTGGCCAAAAACCTCTTCCGTGTCTACCTGGACAATTGGGATCAAATCCGAAAGGTGGACAAGCTTTTGGCTGCTGAGATAGAGGGCCAGCCTTCTCCTGATCAGCAGGCGATGAGGGAGACGTATGCCTCCTGTGAGCTGCCACGCCATCCGAAAAAAGCAGTGGAAGGTGCTTTGAAAGCCGAGATACAAGGCGCCATCATTGATGGCACGGCAGGAGTAGCCTATGCAAAGCCCGACAAGATCCTTAAGTACTTTGGCTTAGCATGGGAGTTGGTCCAGCGAGGCAGTGCAACGCGGAGGGAGCTTCAGGTGATTGCGGGGGGACTGGTCTATATCAGCATGTTTCGCCGTCCCCTGTTATGCGGGTTAAATGCAATTTGGGCTCACATAGAGGACCTCAAGGTTGGGTCTCCTCTTCGACGGATGGCTGTTCCGCGCGATGTGAAGGGGGAGATCCTACGGTTCCTTTCATTGGTGCCGCTGGCGCAGATGGATTTCAGACTACCTATGGAATCTCAGGTGACTGCAAGCGATGCCTCAATGTCAGGAGGTGGACTCTGTGCCTCGGTTGGTTTGACCGCCTTTGGGCTAGCCGCACAAGGGGCGTTAGTCCGTGGAGACGTTGAAGAACCTTTCGAGGTCATGGAAGTAGTCACGGTAGGCCTCTTTGATGGCATTGCAGCCTTGCGGGTGGCGGCAGAGGTGCTCCACCTGCCGATCGCTGGGCATATCAGTGTGGAATGCAATGCAGCAGCGAATCGAGTAGTTGAGGCCTGGTTTCCAGACGCGTTGCAGTTTCCCTCAGTGGAGGCGGTGGATGCCGAGATGGTGCGCCAATGGGCCTGCATGTTCCCCTCAGTGGGGGTGGTACTCCTTGGGGCAGGACCCCCCTGCCAGGGAGTAAGTGGGTTGAATGCAGACCGCAAAGGTTCCCAGAAGGACTTGCGGAGTTCCTTGTACAAGGAAATTCCACGCATTCACCACCTGCTGCGGCGCTACTTCCCATGGGCCCAGGTCCACCTCTTTGTCGAAAGTGTAGCATCAATGGATGCTCAAGATCGCTCGGCAATGTCACAGGACTTGGGCTTAGTCCCTCATAGAGTGGATGCCGCTGGGGTCAGCCTGGCTAGACGGCCGAGGTTGTACTGGTTTAGCTGGGAGCTAGTGCAAGAAACAGGTCTGGCCTTATGCCCAACAGAGGGACGCGACTGGTCAGCGGTGCGAACAGTGGAGTTGGCTGCGGAAGTGGATCAAAAGGACTATTTGCAGTCAGGGGTGGAAGTTACCGCCTGGGCACCGTTTCCCAACCTTCACCACGGATCGCCCATCTACTAGACCAGGGCGGCGGCCCGCGGGCCTTCATCACTGTGATGAGCAAACGCGTCAGCGGTGGGAGGCGGACAGTTTCCGTTACCCTCCTTACCAGTACAAACCTGAGTACTGTGCTCACCACTCTAGCGGCGATTTACGCATGGCTACAGTGACGGAGCGGGAGGTAATCCTAGGCTTTCCTGCCGGATATACAGAACAATGCAGGCCAAAACAAGCCAGGCATGGCGTGGATTTCCTAGACCAGAGGATGAGTTTACTTGGCAACTCTTGGTCGGTGCCGGTGGTGGCCATTTATTGAAGCAACTTTTTGAACGATTGGGGATGGTTTCGCCGCTGTCGGTCCAGGAAGTGGTCACCCGAGCTGCTCCAGGCCGAGGGCGTCACTTGCAGACGGTGCTTCAGCGGCCGCCGGTACGTCGGGAGGATTCCTCCTTGCACCCCGATGCCGGGCTAGCCCGTAGGCTTTCAGGCCTCACCTCCACAAAAGGGGATGACCTGCTTCTGCAGGCAGAATCGGCAGGTTTGGTGCGCCACCAACGTATCCGCCAGACCATCCCAGCACGGCTGTGGAAGTGGAAGGAGATTACAGGCTGGCAATGGAAATCCCCGGGAGAACATATTAATCTCCTGGAGATGCGTGCAACGTTCACAGCCATACGATGGGTTCTCCAAAAGCGGAAGACCTGGGGGTGTCGCATGATACACCTGACGGACTCCCTCGTAGTCTTGCACTCGCTGACGAGAGGGCGGAGTTCCAGCAGGCGGCTCCGTCGAACCATTATGAAGATCAACTCTCTCTTACTGGCAACCAACCTTCATCCAGCATGGACCTATGTCCATACAAGTCTTAACCCCGCCGACCGACCGAGTCGGCGTATCAAGGTGCAGAAATGGCGAAATCTAAAAAGCATTTAGAAGGTCGGTCCAGGAGAGAGAGACAGAAGGTTCGACAGAATTTGGGAACCCTCAAAAGCCTGACAATCCAACCCCGAACCCGAGCTCGTTACGACAAAGCTAAGAAGCGGTTCTATGCCTATTTGGATTTCAACCATCTAGAACTGCCCACACAACGGGCACAGATGGACACCCTCATGTGTGACTACTTGGAGGAGTTGTGGTCCTCTGGCGAGGGACGGGCCCTAGCCTCGGACACGTTAGCGGCACTGCAAGACGCAAGCCCTAAGTTGCGGGGGAACCTCCCTGCCTCATGGAGACTCCTCAAAGCATGGCATGTGAATGAAATCCCAAATAGAGCACCACCGTTTCCTGAAAAGGTCTTGCAAGCCCTTACAGGTTACTTCATCTTTCATAACAAGGCGACAATGGCGCTGTCCGTCCTGTTAGGTTTTTATGGAGTTTTACGTACCGGTGAAGTCTTGGGTATTCGTAACAAAGACGTAACGGTTGATTCCTCCCTCTCTACTGCAATCATCTCCCTCGGGATGACCAAGGGAGGTAAACGCACAGGAGCTGCGGAAAGTGTGTCAGTTTCAGTGAGTGAGGTAGTTCGTAGGTTGGCTCAATGGAAGCGTTCTACTTCTGCGGGGAGTCTTCTGACTCCTAGCCCTTACTCTTGGAGAAAATCATTTTCTGAGGCACTTACTGCCCGTGGTCTAACGGAGTGGGAATTTCGTCCATACTCGTTGCGTCGTGGCGGAGCCACGTTCTGGTTTGGTAAACATGGGTCTTTAGACCGGATCCTAGTGCAGGGGCGATGGATGGCCGCCCGCACTGCACGAACTTATTTGAATGAAGGCCTCGCTGTGTTAGCAGAAATGAGTATTCCCCAGTCAAAGTTGCTTCCGTTTCACCGTGTGTATCTGAATGCACTCCGTACCAAATTACCTCCGTGGTAAGCTTAAAATGCTTGAGCGTTCTCGATTTATCGAGAAGATTGGGGGGACGTGGAGAACTCTCCTTTTTCGTTGTGTCTTGTGTTGATTTCTATTTTTTGATTTCGGAAAAGGTGCCCTGAAGGGGGCTTGGCACACTCTGGGAGTGAGTGAGAAAGTGATATGAGTATACTGAGTCTTACTCTCCTCGACTTGGCGAGGAGGGTAGGAAGTATAGGGGGGCAACCTTTTCCCCTCGGATAGGCGGGGGGTTTTGGTTGTCGGGGCCCCTCTTTTCTGTTGGTAACTGAACATCCGGGGGATGGAAATTGTTTCTGAATTGTTTAATATTATGACAAAAGTGTTCTTGCTGGTGCTCAGAAAAGAGTGGATGCTGTCTTTGGTTGCCCGACCCGGGTGTAAAGACACATCCATGTTAATTTCTGACATAGCATTTTGGCTTCAGCTCCCCCCCCCCACCGCTGGGGGAGAACTCTCCTTTTTCGTTGTGTCTTGTGTTGATTTCTATTTTTTGATTTCGGAAAAGGTGCCCTGAAGGGGGCTTGGCACACTCTGGGAGTGAGTGAGAAAGTGATATGAGTATACTGAGTCTTACTCTCCTCGACTTGGCGAGGAGGGTAGGAAGTATAGGGGGGCAACCTTTTCCCCTCGGATAGGCGGGGGGTTTTGGTTGTCGGGGCCCCTCTTTTCTGTTGGTAACTGAACATCCGGGGGATGGAAATTGTTTCTGAATTGTTTAATATTATGACAAAAGTGTTCTTGCTGGTGCTCAGAAAAGAGTGGATGCTGTCTTTATATATATATATGCATATATATATATATTCCATACATGGAGCATATATGGGTATTATTTTTATATGTGAATCTGCTGGTGGGTAACGTTTGTGTGTTTGCCTGGTTTTTGATGTTGGAAGTTCTGAGTACACGTGGCTATCCATAACCCACGGTGGGATACCGTCTTGGCGCGGTTTTAACCTTCGAATGCTGGGCTGAATTTAGTGTTTCAATACAGAGAAAGAGACACTCAACATCGGAACAGGGGATAAATGTTGGGATTACAAACGCAACCATGAGCATGGCCACTATAGAAATGGAATCATTCTGGTGGTGGAGTCATTTCCATTGATTTTGTCATAGCATGACCAACAGCACGGCTTGGAGCCGGCACAGTCTACGACATGTGGCAGGATTTTGGAAAGTAGGTTGGCAACATACACTGCTTAAAGTGGCCACAATCACCGAAAAGGGGCTTGAACAACTGAGTCCCGGCGGAATCAGACTCAATTGATCTCAATTGTGAATCGATGGTTCTATTCAATTCTATGTGTTCTATCCCATTATTTATAGGTTTTCTATGGTTTTCTATCATCCCAGGTGCAGGATTTCGCTGGCCCACAGTTTTGGTGTTAGGAATCCGAAGAAACCACCCTGACGGCTGTCTACCGCGTGGCTGTGGATGTGCACTGGCTCAGTGCTTGTGGGTTTGGGGTTGGAGTTTCAGGGGATGAACATATGGTTAATCATAGTTACCCTCTGGTTATGACTGACATAGCTATTGAAAATGACCATTTATAGTGGATTTTCCCATTAAAAATGGGGATTTTCCATTGCTATGTTAGTTTACCAGAGGGTAATGGGGATTAATGGTGGTTAATAGTGGCTAATAGTGATGAAAATTATCTGGTTGGTGGTTTCAAACATTTGGATTATTTTCCTTAATAAAAAAGGGATAATCCTTCCCATTAATATTTTTCAGAGAGGTAGGTCAACCACCAACCAGATGGGGATGTCACCCACAAGTCATGGGGACAAAAAATGAAATCAGAACGGCTTTATTCTTAGAGATGTATGGTTTCAGAAGCCAAGACTTGGTGAAAGATGAAACACAAGAACATACCTTTGGCAGTTGTTTAAGCATCAATCATCCAAATTTTGCGTGCATTATTCCTACAACGACCGGCGCCCAAGTGAAAGGGTCACTTACCGTACCAAACATGGAGGGTAAAATATCCCGAAAAGATGTGAACAATGAGGAGTCCAACATGGCAAGCTCACACAATTGGAGACAAGGAACTTCAACCCTGGATGGATAAGCCTCCAAGTTCTTGTCCACTTTTTTCGGGCAACGCCTGCATCAATCAGAGTGACTTTAGATCAGAGATTGGGCTTGACTTGCCAGCAGTAGTTACAATTTACTTTCCATTTTTATTGGAGAAGGTAATGAAAATGGAGTAATGTGATAGTCCTCACTGGAAATCATCTCATGGTTTTGGTTTCTAACGATATCATCCCCATTTGGAGAGTTGCGATTTGCAACGTTCATGGTAATAAAACATGCCTTGCTGGGACATCCCCACGCTTGTTTTGGGCATGCCAAGGGGAAAATCATCGGTTTAAATGAGTGGTTTCCCAGCAAGCCATGTTTGCTTACCATACGGTGCATCATCTTTCATCCTGATTTTTTGGAGCGCACCCAAGGTGAGTTGTGAATTGGATAAACCAGTGTAAACCTTGGAAGGGTCGACTTACTATTTTTTTTTGCCACAGATTGGGATATACATCTTACTGTAGACATGTTTAATTGATTGGTATATATAATTCATTAAAATTTTACGACCCGCCGTATCTCAGCTACTTGAGAGCTTGTTGCCATTTCGCCGCAATGGCGGGCCTTCTGCTATTGCTTTGTTGGACGCCCTTGCTGGGACTCTTGGACCCATGAAAACTCCAGAAATTCGCAGAAGTCTTTGGGGAATACTTCAACAGAATAAGGATCAACTAGAATTAAATCCTAGCTTATGACTACAATGTGAGGCCCCCAAGATTGCTAAGTTGATTTATAACTCCAATAACTATGGTTTATGGTACCTATAACTATAGTTACTGGGGCTTATAAACCAACTTATAACTGGGGGGGGCACATTGTAGTTTTAGGTCCAAGCGACTACTTTGATAGGACATATCATGTTGGTCCCAGTAATATTAATATTGCTGAGTTGATCGTAGTATTATAACCCTGCTAGGGTAGCTAGAATCAAGTTATACCACCAAACATGGGGTCTATGATGGGTATATATATATGTATATATATATATATCACAAAGTCTGATATTTGGAGATTGGTACAATGTTTTAGCAGGTCAGCCCAAACATTGGATGGTTTATATAGGAAAAACGGCGAATTCTTTGGGACCCAGCTTGCCACATTTGAGTGCTGAAAGGCCGAACGGGTAAATCCCATGAATCACCATTGATTACGATGATTGACCATTATTGACCGCTGGTAACCGTTATTAACCACTATTAAACATGTATGAAAACCAGCAGATTCACCATAATGAAGCACTAGTAACCATTATTTACCATTGTTTTTACCATCATTAACCATGATTGACCATGAGTACCCTAGATATTGAAACCTTAGTCTCCCAGTCTTGAGCATTCGAGGACCTGGTTTCAAGCACTCGTTGACTAACCTGGTGGGAGATATTGTCAATGTTGAGTCGAGTAAACCGTGAATACATCCAATGATACGTATGGAATACATAAAAAAGCTCAGCAGTTTATACCTTCACCATGTTTTTAGTTAGTAATAAAGGTTTGTGTGTTGTCCCAGAAACTGTATAGTTGAGGAGGGAGCTCAAGAACTGTTCAACAGAGCAAGGTGGTTTCACATATGAAGTGCTGGATAGAGTACCTCGGGTTGATCAGGGAATATAAATATAGTTTTCATGGGGGTTATAAACCAACTCACTGTAGCTAACGTTCGGGGGCCCCAGCTTGAATGGTGTGTTTCGGCTTCACCGCCATCTCTTGCATTTACATCGGTGAGGCGTTGGTGCGATTTTTTTTTAGGCCCTTTTCATGGACGACCATGGCATATCCCACCAAGAAGAATCACAACAAAAACTTGCTGGAAAGGCAATCTTTTGCATGTTCTGTTTTTTGTTAGAATACGCAACAATTCAAACCACCCATATGTTTTGATGGTATAAAATACCACCATATACCACCCATAAAAATGGGTGGATTTTGGGGATGGTGGATCCTATTGCTCTCAGGAGTCCTGGGCAGCGGCACCAGCCCCAACGCTGCGCCGTGTGCGTCAACAAAGGACTGTGGGGATGAAGCCAATTTGCTCAGCTGCTTGGAAGATCTGGGATGTGAGAGGATACCCGGCCTGGTAAACTCACACTTTTGCTATGTAAAATCACAATTTTTAATGGGTAAATCAACTAATATCAACTATTTCTATGGCAATTTTCATCAATGTTCCAATAAATAGTCATGTTAAATTGTTAAATACCAGGGGATATCCCAAATTCCGGTGGTGAATACTGCAATTGGATGATTTTTCTTTGATTCAGAGGGTGTGAGTTAGGAAGCGGATCATTGGATCCCATGAATTCCCAAGGAATCATGCGTCTTGGTGGGTGAGATCCTAATTTTTCCATCCCCGTTGCCGCCCAGGCTGGAAACGCCACAAGCGTCCGCACTACGGCCCTCGGGGTCGGCGCCGGCCGCGCTATGGCTCGGACACGGACGACAACTTGTTGGGCGACGCCTCCGGGCACTTTGGTGCCACAACGGAGTGACGTTGGGTTGGGGGGCTTGACAAGCCATGAAAAAATGGGTGATTTCATGGGAATTCACCAAGGAAAATATGGTGATGTCATGGAATAATATGGAATATGAATTAGAGATTTCACCATGAATAGGTATACTTAGTGGTAATGGGGATATAATGGGGATGTTAATGGGATTTAATGGAAATCAATGAGATTTAATGGGGATTTAACCAACTAAAGATGGGAAGACCTCCAGTAAATTGGGAACTTGAACACATGAAAAAAAACTGGTAAACTACCTATTCACAATTCATGTGTGGTACATGTAGGTTTACACAAATAGTTGTAAACTAACTAAAATAGTTTGCCACAATCTAGGAGGTAAACTGGTAAACTACCTACTGTTTTGATGGCTACGCGTACATCGGTCTAAATCTCCGGCCCACCGTTAGGCTTGTGTCTTGCTATTACTCCAAGCGCCTTGGTTAAAAGAGTCAACGACTGAGCCGACTTGACCCAGCCATGCGAAAACTACCACGAATGATGGAGGTTTTCTCAATTTCTCCTATGAATGTTGGGAGTCAGTTGGTGGAGGAAGATGTTTTTCTTGCATTCATTCTTACCCTTAAGAATCTTAAGACGGACAGATGTTTGACGATCTGCATGGCAAATCATCTAAGAATCAACAATGATATGGCATATAACATTAACAATGGCATCAAACCCACCATGAATGTAGATCATGTTCCGAACGAGAAACCCACCCGGTTTATCCGGTTTTCCATTGCAAAAAAATACCAGAGGGTAACTCACGGCATTTAACATGATCCAACCACTGACCTGCTTAGTGTTCGGTTCTTGTTTCATGATGTTTTTTTTTCTTCAGTAAATACCACCAATATATATATATATATAACAATGTGGCACCTCTCCAGGTATCGTTGGTTTACAAGCCCTTTTTCAACTATAGACTCTAGATATTGTTATCATGAGAATTCATGATATATCTACCGTTAGACCATAGGTAACCCAGTTGTTTGCACCAGCTTGACATTTTTGGACGCATGGATGATGTCAGTGCCAAGAACTATCAACAGATGATGTCACCCTGAACAAAATTATACTGGTTGATATGAACATTCCAATCAAACGATGTTTTTCACAACCATCTGTTGCTAGTTTATTGGTTATTTATAATTAACCATGAAACATATTGGTTATTTAACCATTCATATTGGTTGATATAACCATTAATATTGGTTAATATTGGTTAATATTGGTTGATATAACTTATGGTTTTTGATCATGCACCATGCAGATTTTCAGTGGTGAAATCTCGTAGGATCTTATTAGTTGGGATGAAAGTGGTGGGTGGACCTCCTCACAAAATTCATTGGTGGCCTATTGGGGCTTTCATGTGATGATCAACCCTGAAATTTCGGAGTGTTCCCATGATTTTCAGAGAAAGCCATAAAAAATGAGGGAGATAGAGATGTGAAAAGGATATGTGTCAGGATCAGACTAAGAGGGTATCCTGATCCATGCCCAATGTTAGTGTGTCATCTTCTGACTGGCGGAATATCTGTTCCAAAGCACCAGCTAGTTCCCAGTGGCGTGAAGCAACATTGAAGAAGTTTTGACTCAACAGCTTTAGTGCGATGCTGCCTTAAATTAGGATTATTCTCAACTTAGGTATATACACATCAAAACACATCCCAAATTCCAGTTGCATCAAGTTGCACACAATCATCCACCATCCTCGACTGAGGACCTATGAATATCCAGCCGGCGTGAATCAATCGGATCGCACCAGCTTTGCTTAATGATGTGGGTTTGCCTGAAAATTTGGGGCATATATCCCGGAAAATTGCAATTTTAACAGGGAAACTGACGATGAATCATCAAATTTATGGGCTTACGGCTGATTTTCAGACAAACCCATAGCTGAGATCTGTTGTTAAAGGCGTACGACCTGGTAGACTGTTGAACTGATGTAGTTAGTCATACTTTTGGCAGATGCCTAGTCCATGGTACAGGTGAAGTTGAACATATACCATCCATGGTGCAGGTATATTTGCCATTATTTGCCTATATTTGGCTGATTTTCCTATCTTCTTATGTGAAATAGCATTGTGATGTAGGCACCTATACCAGACTGACAAGTCAACTGACACGCTTGGGAAATGTAGAGTCATACTGTTGCAACCCCTGCCGAGCCCCATGTTGATGCTGGTTAGTGGAAAAGGGTGGGGGGAAATCATCCCAAAGAATGGCAATTTGCACAGAAATCCGATTCAACCCTGCTGCTCCAAATACCTTCTGAGACTGTATTTGGGGCTAGTTTTTGGGGGGTCCAAACACTGCAGCTCAGAGGGTATTCGGAGTACAGTAAGGGCAGCTGATGTCTCATTCTGTTTCAGTTGGGTTGAAACCTACCAATGCATGTTTGTATAGGGCGATGTTTGTCGGGTTATCTTTCTTTCCACTTGAATTTTGGGTAAATCCTCATTCACCATCCCGCACACTAACATATATAACACTAATAACAACAATAATAGCAATAGTAATAGTAATATATAGTAATGTTAATGATACCATTAAAAAAACAATAATAATAATAATATATAATAGTTATTTTTGTTATATAACTACTACGTATTTTAACAATAATAACAATAATCATAATAATAGTAGTAAAAACAAAGTGAATCACCATTTGGGGGGTTGGAATGGTAGGAGGGCACCAATTTTAATAGTTGACATTCATCCAGATGTTCCCATTCTATTCTCATTACACCCCCAAATACATGCCATGAAATCCCACCATTTTTCCATAATTTCCAGGTTTCCAACATTTAGATACAGCCTGATATAAATATTATGTAAATGTATAATATACATTCACAATATATATATGTATATATATATATATATACGTGTATATATATATATATATACATATATATATATACATATACATACAATTATATACAAGATTATACTAGATTGTATGAACATGAAGCCCCCAATGTTGATGATTTTTTGAATATGCTACGTATTCCTATGACATGCCCAGTATATTTCACCATTTCCGTTGGTGAAATCAGACCAGCTGAGGATTCGAGTTCTATCGACCAGTTGGACTCGAGGCCGGCTGGGACTTCACCATATGCTATTTGCTCACCATTTTTCACCTGCATTTGGGTCATTTTATGAAAAAAACTTGGTAAATATTGCATATATATATATATTGTCATATACCATACCTATATTGGAGCATATGGGATAGATTTGTTTAACGAAGCAAGAGAAAAATACCAAATCTGAAACGCTTCGGATGGAGATCAAAGAAAATAAATCGGAAACGCTTCGGATGCCGATGATTGCCATGAGCGGCTCGGGTCGTTGCGTCGTTGGGATCCAACTGGGAGGTGAGGCCGCAAAAGACGGCGAATTTACCCTCCAAATCCCCGCAATCAAGATAGATATGGAAGAGCTACCATTGATTATAGATCACGTTTCTCTATTTTCCTGGGGAAACCCTATATTGTCAATGTACCAAAGGTTAATCAACAAAACCAACAATCATGAGAGCCCATCCCACAGCAACTTCGGAAGTAATCAGCGTTCATGTGGATTTGAATCCACAGATACTGTATGTGGAGTGCAGGGGAATGCCACCTGGTGATTCGAGCAAACTTTAACAACATCAGGTACCATCACAAAGAGTTATATAATAAAGGGCATCACCCCAGATTCACCGACTGGTCAACATTTTATGGTGAATCATGATAATTCAGCAAAACAACATGGAACATATCAACTGAAGAGATGTTCAATCATTTTCCACTAAAACATACTAAAACCTGTTAGAGGATTTTATTTTTCACTTGAAGACATAGTCATGCAGCATCTCCTTTCCCGTGGTTTAGGTAGAGCTAGTGTCAAGTCATTGGGAGTTCTCTTAGCCAAATACTATGCCTAGATAGCTGCCATGGTGGAGAGCCCTTGGTGTTCTTCAACCTGCTCCGTTCTTTTGCCCATCGTGATATGCATGATCCCTCTTCCGTTGCTTTGGCTACTTCTAGGGTGGCTACAGATGCTTTGTTTGAAGACCTACTTGAAAAGGTTGGAAAGGAAACAGGCCTATTATGAGTTACATAGTCTGAGTCTTCATTCCGCTTTTACTTGTACTCCTATAAAATACGGCCCTTGGTTTCGGAGAGCTTGCGTCTTGCTCCGGAACCAAAAACAGCTGATCAAAAGCAACTCCAAGCAGCTTGGCACTTCCTTCCGCTTTGCCCTGGAAGAACTTGAGCCACTCTACAGGGAGAAAGCCGAAGAGGCCGAATGGCGTCTTGACGAATGGGGTCCAGCGACAAAGTCTGAATTCTTGGTCAAAGTTCGCAATTGTGGTTTGAACGTGGACCCTGTGGTTGCTTGGGGTGACTTGGCTGTTTGCAGCCCCGCTGAAAATCCCAATTTTCACCAAGTGGCTGGCTTGCTGGCCTATGGTCCACATGCCTTGGGCAAGGGCCAAATCTGTCCTCGTGATGGACTCGAAGATTGCAGCGTGGTCGATGCATTGTTGAAGCAAAACAAGAGTGCGAAAGCAAACTGGTTCTTTTCTTGGGTTTGGGGCTATAGACTTCACACTGTGCTATCGGCCCTAGCAGAATGGAGGCGGAGGTATTGTTCCATGACAGGTTCGAATGACCACGATATTTATTTGTGGTGGGACCTTTTCGTGGACAACCAGTTCAGAATTTTGGAAGAAGGACAAGCAACAGCGGATTTTTTTGACGTGTTCACTGATAGCCTACAGGGCATTGGAAGAATGATCATGTGCCTGGACACGATCCATGAGAGTAATTATACCTGCTGCATTTGGACCCTTTTTGAGGTTTACATTGCAATTCAGCAGCACATTAAGATCACCCTAGCCATTCCTCCTGATGCGCTTGACATCGATGACATTTGCAGTCAGGTAGGTTCTTTGCAAGATATATTCGCTTTTTGCAGAGTGGACAGTGCCAAAGCCGCAGCCAGTAGCCGCAGCAGCCAAGCAGACGCAGAGTTTCTCAAGCGCAGGATCTTAGAGGAAGTTGGCACGTTTTCTTTTTTGAATTGGACCGTGGAAGAGTTTCTTGTGTCGGAGATTCTTCAACTGCTGAGATCTCACAACAAAGCTTCGGGGTTTGCTGTTGAAGTCGACCAGAACCAGGAGGATTCCCGGTATTTCGGTGTGTCTCTGGATTTTGTGCTATCCGAATTCAAGTGTATGTACAGAGACAAGGCTCCTGAGGCTGAATGGCGCCTTCACGACAGCTGCGAAGTGACAGAGCCGGGTTTCATTGTCAAAGTTCGAGATTGTTGTGATGTAGAGAGCGGTGTGGTCGCTTGGGGTGACTTGGATGTTTGCAGACCTCCTGAAAATCCCAACTTTTACCAACTCGCTGGCTTGCTGGCTTATGGTCCACATGCCTTGGGCAAGGGCCAAATTTGTCCTCGTGATGGACGCGCAGATTGCAGCCTTGTGGATGCGCTCCGCAAGCAGAACAAGAGCGGCCAAGCGAACTGGTTCCTCTCCTGGGCATGGAGCTACTCGCTGGATGTGGTTCGCAATGCACTGGCCAGATGGTGGGACTCACATGCTGCTGTGGTTGCTTCTGAGGCATGTCCAACCGGCTCAGTCTATTTGTGGTGGTGCTTCTTTGTCAACAACCAATTCCGCATGCTGGAAGACGGCATCACGCAGGACACAGATTCACTGCTGAGGGTGTTTGCAGAGCCTCTTGAAAGAGCCGCAAAGGTGTTGATGTGCATGGACAATTTTCAAACACTGAATTGAGTGCAGATGGTGTTAGACCATCCGTTAATGTACCCACGCCTTGATGTGAGGCAACTTCTGCTGTGGCGGAAGTATGTTTGGCGATGCCTGTGCGCTGTACCTAGTACAGCATGTTGGTGACTTGATTTTAAGGTTGGGTTGCTGACCGGTTTCGCCGGTCATGTGTGGAGTGACCGCTCCGCTGCTGGGCAACAAAGGCGTCTTAACTACTTCACTTCTGTGAGGAGCAGGTTGACGTCCGATACCAACAACAACAACTGCACTTACACAAAGCGAATTTGGTGTATCTTCGAGATTTTTTCTGCAGTTCGTGGCAACATTCCAGTGACCTTGATCATGCCTCAGCTCGAATTGGAGCAGGAAATGGAAACACTGACAGAGATGGTCCATGCTTGTCGTGTAGACGCCTGGCAAGCCACAGCTTCCGTGAAAGCTGATGAAGAGAAGATCAAAACCAAAATTTTGCACGAGTTGAAAAGCTTCAAACATGTGAATGAGACTGTGGAGAAAGCCCTTTGGATTGAAATGATCAAAATGTTTAAAGATAGAAAGGACAAAGCATCTTTCCGTCAGTCCTCTTCTGCGTTTTTGGACCCGCAGCAGATTGCCTCATGGTTTCTTTGTGATGTCAGACTTGGCTGGGTCTTATGCAGGTATCAGCCCCTTTATTTCCAACCGGCGCAGGTTTTGCAAAGAATTGGCAGCGTCTGCATCGTTCCTCAAACCCGCCTGGAACCACACAAAATCAGAAGCAGATGGTTGTTTCAATCCGGTAAAAATCCCGCATCACAAGGAATATGTTGTTCCAACATGTTGAAACTGGGGAAACTGACTTGTTGTAGCATGTTGTAGCCATTTATCAACAAAGGCACAGGGTGTTTTCCAGATAGCCATGTTTGATTTCCGGCTATTTTGGGTGGAAATCGCCGCAGGTGTGCTTCTGACAGCTATGTGAACAATGACAGCGTGGCCACCTGTATCTTGAATTCGAACGCAGCCGGCTATGACTATGACAACTCGAACATCAACAACGACTCTGTTTCTGCTCGGCGTTTTAAGAGATATCTTGCTTTATGTCTCAGTGTAATGAAGCATGTTTGAATCCACTTGGTTTAACGTGTTTTTAATTAATTGTGTTTTCTACAAATTTTATTATAAAATGAAGATGATCATCCCACGTGACTTGTTGCAATTGGGATGGACGGCACAAGAGACCAGGTTTGTCCCTACTATTCTGAGTCGACAGAGTGTCCTGGCACACTGTGGGTTTTGGTGTAGGAGAATCTGGAACTTTTATGAACTTGTTTATATGGAACGTATGAACTTGTTATATAGGATGCGTAAATCCTAAAAAGAGAAGCGCAGTAATTAGTTCCAGGACAGTAATAGATGACCCTTTCCATCTTTGTTTTTAGAGATTCATATAGTTTTCAGGTAATATCCAATTTGCAATTTTTCTTATTTGTTTTTGAGGATGCTATACTTTTCTAGCCACTCAATTGTTTGAAGGCTATCCAGAATTCAACTTTCCGGTTCGCCATGAAAGATAATTGTTGGGTAGGCCACTGCCCCAGGGTCAGAGAATGCCAGCAGTTTGGCTAAGGTATCCGACTGTGACCACTCCTGCGTCTTGTCTGCGATGGGTCAAAGGAAAGGCTTCAAGAGCAGATGGTTCATGTTTTCTTTGCACCTTCCCGGCCTTTGAGTTCGAATTTTGAGCAATGCCCGAAATAAACACCGGCAAAGCCTCCAGATGCCTCCAGTTTCGGATGCACCTGCATTTTGGATGTTTTTCATGTTTGATCCCATCCATTTCTGAGTTTAGCCATTGGGGATGCTTGAGGCTTTTGAGTTTACCAGATTAGACATTAGACGTTCCTTTTGAAATTGCTTTGTGCAGGAGAAAAGAGCCGACACGAAGAAACCATGTATTCCCATAGATTTCAACTTACCAAATGTTCCACAAGGGTTTCTTGGAATCCGAATTTGATTGAACTGGGTATCTTTTATCTGTGACATTGCCCAAATGCCTGGAATATTTTGAAATAATATGAACTAGAATACCCCCCCAAAAAATAAACAAATACTGATCAAAAGATCAAAGGATGGTGACAACAAGTTTTCCCGCTATGTTCCACATTATGCCACCATATCAGCATTATTGTTGCTTAAATCACCAAACCCCCAGCCAAGTTCCGGTCGCTAGGAACAGTGCAAGCAGTACTTCACGCAGTTCATCGCCTTGGGTCAAGCTGTTAACGTCACGCTGTGCCTTGGTGATTTTTCAGGATCAAACATGGGGACTCAGCCATCAAAAATGATGATTTCACCATGAAAAATGGGGATTTTTCACATCTGGGGTTGAACTGAAGATTGGGTTTGTTCAGAAAGGGTGGCAATCATACCCAAAAATGGCAAGTTGGGGAAGTTATATGGTAAGCTATCAAATCTGGGAGTGTGACCAGAAGAACTCAATTCATCAAGACAACTTGTGTGATTATAACCTCAATCGAATCACAAACGAAAACAGCTTTCTGGGTTGAAGCGCAGCTCTCAGCCTATGGATTCTTCTATTGAAAAATGGGATATGGCTCAAACTTATAAACCTCGTTTTGGGCTGGCTAAACACTAAAAAATCTAAAGGTGATCAAGTTATGAGATGTTATGGGTCCATTTGAACACCATTTTGAGTCGTAACCCGTAACCAAATAGTGAGGCTTCAGAGACTGCAAGGGTCGTCCGGGCAGTTTTGGCCATTTTAAGGATGAAACTCTGATTCCTGGATGGCCCTTTGAGTGGACCATGATTTTGCATACTGGTGCTCCTTCATGGTTTCAGCAACATGTGATATTAATTACATGTTTTCTTTTTGATCCCTACCTGAGACAATTGATCAGCCATTGACCGAGATGGAGGTTGAAACCTGTGGAAGTTTGGTTTGGTTGGTTAATAGTTCAGAGTTTCGCTGTAAATGGCTGTAAATGGCAAAACCTTGTTCAGCAAACACACAATCCCATTGCATTTTGTTAGTGGATGACTAAGATGAAATTAAACCTATCAAACTGAAACCACTACAAGTTCTCCATGCCCGCTCACATTTTTCCATTGAAATTGATCCAATGCTCCAATTCCATGAAGTAATCATCAATCAATTTGGCGGTTCATCCCAGGTAGAAATTCGGTGCAAGTAGATTCTATACCTTGTTGTGAGTAGGATAGCCAAGACTGTAGCCTAACACCCCTAGGCCCCCAAGTGCTTGGTAAAGCTTCATTGTTCTGATTTGGTTGGTCGCTTGTGGAAGTTTTGAGGGACCTCCCAGAATAACAGCCCCTTCCAACAATCTTGTGATACCATTCCCAAAAGAAACCCGAGTAGTATGCCATGCGACGGGAAGCTTATGGGAGTTGGGGTCCCATCATTGGGATCCCTAAAACAAGTGTTTCATGGGTTCATAATGTTATTTCTCGGAGGGTATCTATCCCATCCGATATATCCCATTGGCTTCGATGGCAAACTCTGCAGGTTTTCCCCTCTCTGTTTGGGGGTATATAGCACGCGTGGCAAGACACGCTTGGGGGTTTAAAACCAGCCAGGTATGGGGAGAACTACGTGACAGGCATCGGACATGGCGTTATCAATGGAGTGAGGGGAAACTGTTGGATCATGAGTGCCTTGGACTTGACTTGGACCATTCTTGTGAAATTGGTTTGGACAATACTTGATAGATCTCAGTTGGAAGTAACAATTTAATTCCACTTAAACCATCCAATATCATGTGTGAGAAGTGGGGGAAGTGGATGATGACCATCAAGTACAGGGGGGTTTAGTAGACCGTTCTTCCACCGACCTCGGGAAAGTTAAGAAAATCCTGGTGGATTGGAATAATGATGAATAATGTGAGAATTGATGAACGTTGTGACTTTGAATATGCAAATTTGGGTACCCATGTAAGGACAAGACTGGTAAACTTGGTAAACATTCTTCCGCAGTACTAGAGAGCACTAAAACCACAATTTTGGGGTGAATCATTTTGAACCATGCCTACAATATGTTTGATGGCTAGTCGTACCTACACGAATTGTTTGCTTTGGGAATATGCCTGGCAATCACAGATCTAAACATCACAAGTTGTGGACTGCTGACTTACGATCACCTTTCCATGCTTTGTGGATCCATTGAAACCACCAACACGCCCATGAGGGTTTGTCTGAAAAGGGGGCATCACCCCCCAGTTTTATAAACCCTAGTAATTGGACTTGGTAAACCGACTTGGCTCTCATTATATATATATATACATACATACATACATTCCTGTTGTTTTATGGTTAAATGATGTAAAACCACCTATTTTGATGCTTATTGATGGTATTTACGTGCTATGTAACTAGAGGGCCCCACCTTGCAACATCCCAGGCTACGAGGGCCGGAAGGCGGTGATTTTTCAAGTGGACATCCGTTCTTGGTCGTCGCTCGATCGCAGCCATACGTTGTGGATGGGTGATGATTAGGATATGTGATATCTGCCATTAAGTGACATTAGATTCACACATTGGTGATATATTAGTTGTGATATATGAATATGTAAATTGTGATATTGGTGTTTCTATTGCATTCTATTGCATGTTTATTGATTCTCTATCTTTAGACTATCTGGATGATTATTTGTTTTGTTCATGATGAAGAGGACCCGCAATGGTCCATAAAGCGGGAGGGTGAACCCTATCCAAACTCCCAGGTAGCAAGTCTCATGGGGAATCCCACATGAACCATCCACAAGATTAAATGGGGTGTATAATGAGGAGATCTATGCGGTAGAATGGTATACGTTTTTGGGGATTTATGGAAAAGTTTGGTGGCGTTGCTTTCAGACATTGTCATTGATGGCACGACAAGAAATACAATATTTTGGGGCGTATGAACATCCATTCAGATGAACATCCATTTGCTAGCTATGTTGCTTTTTAGTGGGGTACCAGTGTTTTTGCTAGAGACATTGCTTGTTGGGGATCAAACACTGCAAACATTCCATACCAACCCGGAAAGAGCAACTGTCTTCGAGATTCATGATGTGCCATGATGTTTTTCTTTGGCGTTTAGACTCCAAAAAAAGCTGACCGAAGCCGAAACATGTTATAACATGTCATAACAAACACATCGAACCAGACCCAAGACACGAAACCAGGAGTATCACCTCGTCACCCCACGCAAGGCACACTATAATTCACTATAACCTGTACAAGGGGCTCAAACCCTCAAGTGTTTTTTGATTCTGTGCGGAATCTATTGCGGAAATGTTGATTTCTGTTTCTGGAGCCATAGCAAGTCGGAAGCGCTGACTCGAAACGAAGTTCATCGTGTCATCGTCTGAGGTTGGAAATCACCTATGACACGTTGATGTATCTCACGAACAATCAAAATCCTGGCCGCTTGGTCAACAATCTTTACCCATGTTCCTGATGGTGGCATATTAGATGTTTGCCGCTTGGTATTGGCATTTGATTTTTCAGGTTTGAATTCACCCAGTGATTCGGAATCTCCAGAAACCGGTGCAAACTTTATACATTAACCAGTGAGGTGGTTGCACAGATTTGCTGCACAAGACAAGCAATCTTGACCGATACCAAGACTTGGTTTTGCTGGATGGTCGGGTGAAGCCTTTTGGGTTTCACCAAGCAATTCAACTCTGACTTCCGGAGAGCCGCCCACTGTCAGTGGCCGATGGCAGAACACATACCATATGCCATAAAGTTAAAAGAGCACCGGATCAAAGTGTATCCTAACCTAGGAGAAAAAAAACATGTTCCAGTCCAAGGGCTTACGAATTTGTGGAGCTTGACCTTAACCAAAGGAACACATCCCAAGGGTTGATGAATCCAGGATCATCGAAGGCTCCGGGGATGAATTCCGCTCATTTAGTCACTGGTTCCCTGATTCTTGAGTCATGCCCATACACATGAGATACACAAACTAAGGTTTTGGTCAGTTTGAGTAGTACGCTTTGTAGTCATCCTTCCCCAATTTTGGAGTATATTGAATGACTCAAGCCACACCCAACCTCGCAACAGCTTGCTGCTGGCGCCTAGGAGGAAACTGTTTTGTTCCCGATGTCAAAATCATCAACTGCACCGATATTCCGGGCGTGGGGTAGGCTGGGCCCAGTTCTGTGTGTTATGGGCATCGCAAAATGCTTTGTGTTTTGGTATCGAAATGTTTTGGTATCATGAATCACGAGTAACAATGAAGTTCTTATTGCTATGCTCAGTATACTTAATCTGCGTGTATTTTATTCCGTTGTGTGCTGCGTAATGTTGATGGTCAATATATTCAGGTTTCATTTTAATATGGCTATGGATCAATACCTATACATACCATTTTTAGGGGGATGAACATCCATTTACCAGCTATTTTGATGTTCACTAGGTACCAGGGTTTTGACCCATCCCCATATATCTTAATATGGCAACAAATCTACCTGTCAGTTTCAGATTGGGCTGGCCTCTTACAGTCTTTCCCGACTCATGGCAGGACTGCGCCGGCGGAATGCGGAGCTGGGGGCAAACTCGGATGCGTTCCGATTTGTTTTGAAGGGTGGGGCCACTGAACCAGGTACAGCAGAAATCAGAACTTTAGGGAGAAAACATGATGCTCTATAGTGACAACTGATCATGTTCTTCCAAAAATACATCCCTTGTTGGGTTCAGATATCAAGTTTCATCCCATGCTTCTTGAACCTTCTTCTTCGATTGGTCACTGTAAACCATCGTTTTAAGGTGCGAGTACCAAAGTGTTCCCTTTGGATGCCCCAAAGTGGGCAAATTCAAAAGCGCCTGGCAGAGGTCTCAATATTTCGCGACCCTGTAATTGGCAGTTATCATTGGCCGGTACATGCAGCTGGGGGTTCTGTATGTTTTTTTCCCACTGATATGTTGGATTGAGCTCGTGTTTGAGCCCGCTAGATGCTAGAAACAGCTGATCAAGACGGTTTTTTACCTTGCTGGCAGCGAACCCAAGAGTGAAATATATGATATATGATATCTATGTTTGTCTGAAAATTGGGTACCCCTAAATCCACTGGTTTATCATCATTTTCCTCATTAAAATTGCTATTTGAAAGGTACACCCCCATTTTCAGACAGACACATATCTGACATAATTTTGATCACGTGTGTTGCGTGCTGAAATGAGCACGGAACAGACTTGTAGAGCTGCGCAGAGGATGTGTTTTCAAAGATGTGCGGCTTTGACAAAAAGCGCCGTGGTGAGGTATCAAACCGACTTCGCAGGAACCACATGGTATATCTGGTTGGTGGTTTCAATCATTGTTTATTTTCCACAATATATGGCATAATCCTTCCCATTGACGAATATGTTCAAGATGGTTAAAACCACCAACCAGTATATGAATGGTATATGGTTGGCGGAGGGAGTCAGTATGAAGATGGCTATTGATTCTTGCAAACATGCCAGATATCTTGCAACTGGTTTAGGGGGGTATACCAATGGAGATTGCTGTAAGGGTGATGTTGGTAATCCAGCATGGGAAGCAGGAAGCATGACAGAAGGTTTCGGGCACTGTTCAAATGGTGTTTGGTGCCAGAGCGATGATTTGTAAATTCCGGGTGTCTCTGGCTTCTCTGATGGTGTTGGGATCAGTCAAGACTTGACAACATGTATTGGGCATGACAAGCACATATGTTCAAATATGTCAACGCACGGATTTTTTAATCAATGGTTACTTACCTTGCAGTTTGAAGTATATCACACTACATTTTCCCATAGTACATGTATTTTGCAATGTTTCGATTTGAATATGATCTTTCAATATGAATTTCTGTGGTTGCTTCAAGAGTCTGTGCATCCATGCCAGTGCCGTCCAACCACAGACGGTGCTCCATGCGGCGCTCCATGCGCTGTGACGGCGGAGTGCGGCGATGACGCCAATCTGCTCCGTTGCTTGGAAGATCAGATCTGAGATCTGGGAAGATCTAGTAGGAAGGTCTGCCGGGACAGCCCAAAGTCCAGTGGTGAAGTGGTTAAACATTTGGATTGTCTGAATGAAGTGGACATAAGTGACATAAGATATTGATCGGGATTGTCTGAAGTAAACGATCTACTTATATATATATACACAGCCCAAAAAAATTGTCTGATGGAACCTGAATAATGTAATTGTGAGACGGCATTCTTACAGGTTTTTTAACTGACAGAACCTAACAGCTTTTTAATATTGGTTATTAACAATTAATATTGGTTATTTAACCATTAATATTGGTTAATGTTGGTTGATATAACTTATGGTTTAATTGATCATGAACCATAGGGATGTTTTGTTCATCTCCCAGTCGTCCATCGAATTTTCTGCCGGCACAAGAAGTATCTGCAGTCTCCCCATTTGGGATGAAAGTGGTGGGTGATTCCTCACAGAATTCATTGGTTCAATGGGAGCTTTCATGTGATGATCAACCCATGATCAACCCTGAAATTTCGGAGTGTTCCCAGGACTTTCTGAGAACGCCATAAAATATGAGGGCGATAAACATGTGTCAGCACCAGACTAAGAGGGTATCCTGATCCATGCCCAATGTTAGTGTGTCATCTTCTGACTGGCGGAATATCTGTTCCAAAGCACCAGCTAGTTCCCAGTGGCGTGAAGCAACATTAAAGAAGTTTTGACTCAACAGCTTTAGTGCGATGCTGCCTTAAATTAGGATTATTCTCGATTTAGGTATATACACATCAAAACACATCCCAAACTCCAGTTGCATCAAGTTCCAAACTCTAGTTGCATCAAGTTGCGCACAATCATCCACCATCCTCGACTGAGGACCTATGAATATCCAGCCGGCGTGAATCAATCGGATCGCACCAGCTTTGCTTAATGATGTGGGTTTGTCTGAAAATGGGGCATATATCCCGGAAAATTGTAATTTTAACAGGGAAACTGACGATGAATCATCAAATTTATGGGCTTTGTTGATTTTCAGACAAACCCATAGCTGAGATCTGTTGTTAAAGGCTAACGGCCTGAGTTTTGAGACTGTTGAACTGATGTAGTTAGTCATACTTTTGGCAGATGCCTAGTCCATCCATGGTACCGGTGTAGTTGAATATATACCATCCATGGTGCAGGTATATGTGCCATTCATTTGTTTGCCTATATTTTGCTGATTTTCCTATCTTCTTGTGAAATAGCATTGTGATGTAGGCACCTATACCAGACTGACAAGTCAACTGGCACGCTTGGGAAATGCAGAATGTAGATATACTGTTGCAACCTCTGCCGAGCCCCATGTTGATGCTGGTTAGTGGAAAAGGGTGGGGGGAATCATCCTAAAGAATTGCACAGAAATCCGATTCAACCCTGCTGCTCCAAGTACCTTCTGAGACTGTATTTGGGGCTAGTGTTTGGGGGGTCCAAACACAGCAGCATACTGCGGGTATTTGGAGTACAGTAAGTGCAGCTGATGTCTCATTCTATTTCAGTTGGGTTGAAACCACCTACCGATGCATGTTTGTATAGGGTGATGCTTGTCGGGTTATCTTTCTTTCCATTTAATAATGTTGGGAAAATCCTCATTCACCATCCCCACACTAACATATATAACAACAATAACAACAATAATAGCAATAGTAATAGTAATAGTAATGTTAATGATACTGCAATAACAATAATGATAATTATTATTGTTATAGAACTATTACGTATTATAACTATAATATCAACAATAATCATGTCACAATAGTGGTAAAAACAGAGAGTGAATCACCATTTTGGTGGTTGGAATCATAGGAGGGCACCAATTTCAATAGTTGACATTCATCCACATGTTCCCATTCTATTCTCATGAAAAAAACCCAATTACATCCCATGAAATCCCACCATTTTTCCATATGGATTCCAGGTTTCAAACATTTACTGTAGATATAACATGATATAAATGTAAATGTATAATATACATTCACAATAATATATATATATATATATATTTATAAATATATAAGATTACACTAGATTGTATGAACATGAAGTCCCCCATGTTGATGTTTTTGAATAGTCTACTAAGAAAATTCCGATGACACCATTTCCGTTGGTGAAAATCAGACCAGCTGAGGATTTTCTTGGAATATCGACTAGTTGGACTCGAGGCCGGCTGGGACTTCACCATATGTTATTCCCGAGAGCGTCTGAGCGAAGGGTTCTTCTAATAGTTGTGTCTGTCATTTGCGTCTGTCATACATCTTCACATCTTCACATCTTCACATCTTCACTCACATCTTCACTCACATCTTCACACTCACATCTTCACTCACATCTTCACATCTTCACATACTCACATCTTCTCTTTCTCTCTCTCACACTCACATCTTCACATCTTCACATCTTCACATCTTCACTCACATCTTCACACTCACACACTCACATCTTCACTCACATCTTCACATCTTCACATACTCACATCTTCTCTTTCTCTCTCTCGCACTCACATCTTCACATACTCACATCTTCTCTCTCTCTCTCTCTCTCCTCTTTCCTCTCTGCTTTCTCTCTCCCTTTTCTCTCTCTCGCCTTCTTTATCTTTCTCTCTTTAGGCCGAGGGTGGTGCTGGCGAGGAGTCACGAAACGTCAACCCTTTCGCACGGAATGAGGGTCGATGCGCAAAAACTGAGGTAAAATTGCGATTGTACTTGTGCCGGAGCAACCCTTTCGCACGAAATGAGGGTCGATCGTCAAAAATTGAGGTAAAATTGCGATTTTACTTGTGCTGGAGCAACCCTTTCGCACGAAATGAGGGTCGATCGTCAAAAACTAAATTGCGATTTTACTTGTGCCGGACTTGTCCCGGAGCAACCGTTTCGCACGAAATGAGGGTCGATGTGCAAAAACAGGTAAAATTGCGATTTTACTTGTGCCGGAGCAACCATTTCGCACGAAACGATGCTCGATGTGCAAAAACAGAGGTAAAATTGCGATTTAATTGGTGTTGGATGTAAAAGGGTGTGAGTGTAAGAGTGTAAGCGTTTGTGTGTAAGAGGGTCTGTGTGTAAATGGGGTCCGTGTGTCGCAGCTTCTGTGTGTCAAAGGGTTTCTGTGTCAAAGTGTTTGTGTGTAAAAGGGTTTGTGTGTAAAAGTTTCTGTCTGTGTGTAAGAGGGTCTGTGTGTAAAAGTGTTTGTGTGTAAAAGGGTGTGTGTGTGTAAAAGGGTCTGTGTGTCAAAGCGTCTGTGTGTCAGAGGGTCTGTGTGTAAAAGTGTTTGTGTGTAGAAGGGTCTGTGTGTAAAAGTGTTTGCGTGTTGTCTCTGTAAAAGTGTTTGTGTGTAAAATCAAGTGTTTGTGTGTAAAAGGGTCTGGTGATATAAGAGGGTTTGTGTGTAAAAGCATTTCTGTGTAAAGATGTTTGTGTGTTAAAGCGTTTCTGTGTAAAGATGTTTGTGTGTAAAAATCTCTGTGTGTAAAAGCGTTTGTGTGTAAAATGGTGTGTGTGCAGAAGGGTTTCTGTGTAAAAGGTGTTTCTGTGTGACAGCGGCAATGTGTGTGTAAAAGCGTTTGTGTGTAAGAGGGTCTGTGTGTAAATGGGGTCCGTGTGTCGCAGCTTCTGTGTGTCAAAGGGTTTCTGTGTAAAAGTGTCTGTGTGTAATGTTAGCACCTGATTAGTAGCATGGTACTCTATTGTGGCAACAAAATCCTCCTTATTCAGTTCCATGCTGTTTGGGGTGGCGGCCTCTATTGTGGCAATTTTTCCAGATTTATTATTATTATTTTTTTTTAATTGTTCCTAATTAATTAATTTTTGAATTTATTTTTAAATTAGTTACTTAAAAATGCTTTTCTGTTTTTCATTTTTTTGTATTAAGGCTTTCAAATGCAACGTTTTCCAAATAATTAGATGCCTTATTCAACCCTTATTAAAAAACAGCTTCCAGACAATTTTTCAAGGTGGTACCCCATGAGTGGCTGAGTTACTCAATAATATGAATGTTTGGATGGTACTCTATTGTGCCCAAAAACTTTTGGGGTTGAAAAAAAACAAAAACCCTTTCCCCACCTTTCTTTGAGTAAAGCTGGTCCATTTACTTTAGGAAACCATATTTGTGATAAAGTTTTAAAATGCAAGGTTTTCCAAATGATTAGATGCCTTATTAAACCCTTATTAAAAAAACAGCATCCAGACAATTTTTCAAGGTGGTACCCCATGAGTGGCTGAGTTACTCAATAATATGAATGTTTGGATGGTACTCTATTGTGCCCAACCACTTTTGGGGTTGAAAAAACAAAAACCCTTTCTCCACCTTTCTTTGAGTAAAGCTGGTCCATTTACTTTAGGAAACCATATTTGTATTAAAGCTTTAAAATACAAGGTTTTCCAAATAATTAGATGCCTTATTAAACCCTTATTAAAAAAACAACACCCAAACAATTTTTCAAGGTGGTACCCCATGAGTGGCTGAGTTACTCAATAATATGAATGTTTGGATGGTACTCTATTGTGCCCAACAACTTTTGGGGTTGGAAAAAAACAAAAACCCTTTCCCCACCTTTCTTTGAGTAAAGCTGGTCCATTTACTTTAGGAAACCATATTTGTATGAAAGCTTTAAAATACAAGGTTTTCCAAATAATTAGATGCCTTATTAAACCCTTATTTAAAAAAACAGCATCCAGACAATTTTTCAAGGTGGTACCCCATGAGTGGCTAAGTTACTCAACAATATGAATATTTGGGTGGTACTCTATTGTGCCCAACAACTTTTGGGGTTGAAAAAAATCAAAAACCCTTTCTCCACCTTTCTCTGAGTAAAGCTGGTCCATTTACTTTAGAAAGCCATATCTGTGTTAAAGCTTGAAAATCCAACCCTTTCCAAATAATTAGATATCTGAAAAACCCATGAAAGGTTCAGATACTCAATAATATGAATGTTTGGATGGTACCCTATTGTGCCCAACAACTTTTGGGGTTGAAAAAAAAACAAAAAACATTTCCCCACCTTTCTTTGAGTAAAGCTGGTCCATTTACTTAAGGAAACCATATTTGTGATAAAGCTTGAAAATGCAAGGTTTTCCAAATAATTAGATGCCTTATTAAACCCTTATTAAAAAACAGCATCCAGACAATTTTTCAAGGTGGTACCCCATGAGTGGCTGAGTTACTCAATAATATGAATGTTTGGATGATACTCTATTGTGCCCAGCCACTTTTGGGGTTGAAAAAAATCAAAAAACATTTCTCCACCTTTCTTTTTGTAAAGCTGGTCAATTACTTTAGAAAGCCACATGTGTGTTAAAGCTTGGCGATCCAACCTTTTCCAAATAGTTAGATGTCTGAAAAAACCATGAATGGCTCAGATACCCAATAATATGAATGTTTGGATGGTACCCTATTGTGTCCAACAACAAGTTTTGGTGTTGAAAAAATAAAAACCCTTTCTCCACCTTTCTTTGAGTAAAGCTGGTCCATTTACTTTAGGAAACCATATTTGTGATAAAGCTTGAAAATGCAAGGTTTTCCAAATAATTAGATGCCTTATTAAACCCGTATTAAAAAACAGCATCCAGACAATTTTTCAAGGTGGTACCCCATGAGTGGCTCAGTTACTCAATAATATGAATGTTTGGATGGTACTCTATTGTGCCCAACCACTTTTGGGGTTGAAAAAAAAACAAAAACCCTTTCTCCACCTTTCTTTGAGTAAAGCTGGTCCATTTACTTTAGGAAACCATATTTGTATGAAAGTTTTAAAATGCAAGGTTTTCCAAATAATTAGATGCCTTATTAAACCCTTATTAAAAAAACAGCATCCAGACAATTTTTCAAGGTGGTACCCCATGAGTGGCTGAGTTGCTCAATAATATGAATGTTTGGATGGTACTCTATTGTGCCCAACCACTTTTGGGGTTGGAAAAAAAAACAAAAACCATTTCTCCACCTTTCTTTGAGTAAAGCTGGTCCATTTACTTTAGGAAACCATATTTGTGATAAAGCTTTAAAATGCAGGGTTTTCCAAATAATTAGATGCCTTATTAAACCCTTATTAAAAAAACAGCATCCAGACAATTTTTTCAAGGTGGTACCCCATGAGTGGCTGAGTTACTCAATAATATGAATGTTTGGATGGTACTCTATTGTGCCCAACCACTTTTGGGGTTGACAAAAATCAAAAACCCTTTCTCCACCTTTCTCTGAGTAAAGCTGGTCCATTTACTTTAGGAAACCATATTTGTGATAAAGCTTTAAAATGCAAGGTTTTCCAAATAATTAGATGCCTTGTTAAACCCTTATTAAAAAAACAGCATCCAGACAATTTTTCAAGGTGGTACCCCATGAGTGGCTGAGTTACTCAAAAATATGAATGTTTGGATGGTACTCTATTGTGCCCAACAACTTTTGGGGTTGAAAAAAATCAAAAACCATTTCTCCACCTTTCTTTTTGTAAAGCTGGTCCATTTACTTTACAAAGCCACATGTGTGTTAAAGCTTGGAGATCCAACCTTTTCCAAATAATTAGGTGTCTGAAAAAACCATGAATGGCTGAGTTACTCAATAATATGGATGTTTGGATGGTACTCTTTTGTGCCCAACCACTTTTGGGGTTGAAAAAAAACAAAAACCCTTTCTCCACCTTTCTTTGAGTAAAGCTGGTCCATTTACTTTAGAAAACCATAATTGTATTAAAGCTTTAAAATACAAGGTTTTCCAAATAATTAGATGCCTTATTAAACCCTTTTTAAAAAACAGCACCCAAACAATTTTTCAAGGTGGTACCCCATGAGTGGCTCAGTTACTCAATAATATGAATGTTTGGATGGTACTCTATTGTGCCCAACCACTTTTGGGGTTGAAAAAAAAACAAAAACCCTTTCTCCACCTTTCTTTGGGTAAAGCTGGTCCATTTACTTTAGGAAACCATAGGAAACAATATTTGTATTACAGCTTTAAAATGCAAGGTTTTCCAAAGAATTAGATGCCTTATTAAGCCCTTATTAAAAAAAAACAGCACCCAAACAATTTTTCAAGGTGGTACCCCATGAGTGGCTCAGTTACTCAATAATATGAATGTTTGGATGGTACTCTATTGTGCCCAACAACTTTTGGGGTTGAAAAAAAACAGAACCCTTGAATGTAAATTGAAAGTAAATTGAAATCAATTGAAAGTAAATTGAAATCAATTAAAGGTGAATTGAAGTAAATTGAAATCAATCAAAAGTAAATTGAAATCAATTGAAAGTAAATTGAAATCAATTGAAAGTAAATTGAAAGTAAATTGAAATCAATTAATTAAAAGTACATTGAAATCAATTGAAAGTAATTAAATTGCAAGTAAATTGATTTCAATTGAAGGTAAATTGAAATCAATTGAAAGTAAATTGAAATCAATTGAAAGTAAATTGAAAGTAAATTGAAATCAATTAATTAAAAGTACATTGAAATCAATTGAAAGTAAATTGCAAGTAAATTGAAATCAATTAAAAATAAATTGAAATCAATTGAAAGTAAATTGAAATCAATTGAAAGTAAATTGAAAGTAAAATGAAATCAATTAATTAAAAGTAAATTGAAATCAATTGAAATCACACGTATCAGTCGATAACATTAAAAGGGTTTGTGTGTTAAAGCGTCTCTGTGTAAAATGGTGTGTGTGGAAGGGTTTCTGTGTAAAAGGTGTTTCTGTGTGACAGCGGCAATGTGTGTTGATTGTTTGGCATGTTTGTTTTCCGGCCTTGCTGGCAAGTTTTAAGCAGTCCTGACTTGTTTGCTTGGCATGTTTAGTAGGAATGCTTAATTTTACCCCGAAAGAGATGTGAATAGATTAATGAGGTTACATTGGGATTCACTGATTTTTGGATTGTGGAAAGCTGCAGCTTTAGTTGAATGGCTGTCGCACATGTGTTTGAAAAGGCTCTGGATTGACCTGTAGCAAATAGCGTTTCGCATCCAATACAGCGCATGGATATGTGTAGCCATTGGTTGATCCCAGTCCATACAGCTTCTAGATTTCCACCTGATGATGCTGAGAGGATGGATTAGATGCATATATGAGTGCTGATGTGATTCGTGTCTGCATCTGTTGGAGTCAGGAGAAATGGTAGAAGTTCACTAACACGGGTCTCTGCTGTGGAAGCATGGACAGTTGCATTACTGGAAGGCATCAGTACCACTTCGTGTTGGTGGCGGCTCAAGCTCCTGGAGAACAGTTTGTGAGCAGCTTAGCTATTTGATTTTCAACTTAGCTATTTGTTGTATTGCAACCAGAGCTGTCTGAGCAATACTTCTATAGCCTGTACTATATTGAATGCATGTCCACCAAATACATGGTACGAACTTCACCCCTCCGTCGAATTGCTGAGGTGGCCACGACAACGATGACTTCACTGTGACTGCGTGAACATGGGCCGGCCTGTGTGTAAAAGCGTCTGTGTGTAAAAGTGATTGTGTGTAAAAGCGCTTGTGTGTAAAACCGTCTGTGTGTAAAAGCGTCTGTGTGTAAAAGTGTTTCTGCGTAAAAGTGTTTGTATGTAAAACCGTCTGTGTGTAAAAGCGTTTGTGTGTAAAAGCTTCTGTGTGTAAAAGCGTCTGCGTGTAAACGCTTCTGTGTGTAAAAGCGTCTTTGTGTAAACGTGTTTGTGTGTAAAAGTGTTTGTGTGTAAAAGTGCCTGTGTGTAAAAGCGTCTATGTGTAAAAGCTTCTGTGTGTAAAAGCTTTTGTGTAAAAGTGTCTGCGTGTAAACGCTTAACTTCTGTGTGTAAAAGCTCCTGTGTGTAAAAGGGTCTTCGTTAAAAGTGTTTGTGTGTAAAAGCGTCTGTGTGTAAAAGCTTTTGTGTGTAAAAGCGTCTGTGTAAAAGCGTCTGCGTGTAAAAGCTTCTGTATGTAAAAGCTTCTGTGGGTAAAAGCTTTGTGTGTAAAAGCGTCTGTGTGTAAAAGCTTCTGTGTGTAAAAGCTTTTGTGTGTACAAGCGTCTGTGTGTAAAAGGGTCTGTGTGTGAAAGTGCCTGTATGTAAAAGCTTCTGTGTGTGAAAGTGCCTGTATGTAAAAGCTTCTGTGTGTAAAAGCTTCTGTGTGTAAAAGCTTTTGTGTGTAAAAGCGTCTGTGTGTAAAATCTTCTGTGTGTAAAAGTGTTTGCGATGCAAACTATTGTCTTGCACTTCTGCTATTTTGTCTTGATACTCCTCTTCTTGACTGCCTATAACACATCTTTAATATTGTTTTGTAATATGGTGTCTCCATACTAACAAGAGAAGACCCTGCTCCTCTACGCTCTAGGGCCATCCGTCGTCTAGTTTTTCACCATTTTTCACATGCATTTGGGTCATTTTATGAAGAATTTCTTGGTAAATATTGCATAAATATTGTCATATACGAAGCATATTATGGGAGCATAATTATAGATTTGTTTCTCGAAGCCGGAGATCAAATAAAATAAATCTGAAACGCTTTGGATGCCGATGATTGCCATGAGCGGCTCGGGTCGTTGGGTCGTTGGGATCCAACCGGGAGGTGAGGCCGCAAAAGACGGCACATTTTCCCTCCAACCATGGATAGATAGATAGATAGATATATATATATATATATATGGAAGACCCACCATGTGTAGATCATGTTTCTAATTGTTTTTTCTAAGGTAATCGGAAGAGAAATCAATTCCATATGTGAATGTCAGGCAAGGTTCAATAACTTCGTGATGATCACCATGAGCAGTTATATAGTACGGGGCATCATCACACATATCCTACAGAGTAGCAGTTCAGGGTTGTGAATGATTACAATTCAGCTAGATTTGGAACACATCAAAAGTAGACTTGTTTCCATCATTTTTCATTAGGATTCTATTTGTAATATATTAATGCATATTTCTTCCCAAAATACCCTTTTCTGAAGCTTAGATAGAGGTAGTGCCAAGTCATTAGAAGTTTTCTTAATAAACTACTATGCATACTATACCTACATAGGTGCCGTGGTCCCTCCTGCAATGATGGAGAGCCCTTGGTGTTCTCCAACCTGCTCTGTTCTTTTGCCCATCGGGATAGTCGTGGTCATTTTGCCGTTGATCTGGATACTTTTATGGTGGCTGCAGGTGTGCTTCTTGAAGCGCCACTTGAACAGGTTGGAAAAGAAACTGGCCCATGATGAGTTACATAGTCTTCATCCTTCCAGTATGAAGTACGGCCCTTGGAAAGGGAGAGCTAGTCGTTTGCTCGAAGACAAAAAAATGGAAATCAAAAGCAACTCCTTTCAGCTTGGTATTTCCTTGCGCTTTGCCCTGGAAGAACTTGAGCCACTCTACAGGGAGAAAGCCGAAGAGGCCGAATGGCGTCTTGACGAATGGGGTCCAGCGACAAAGTCTCAATTCTTGGTTCGCAATCGTGGTTTGAACGTGGACCCTATGGTTGCTTGGGGTGGCTTGGCTGTTTGCAGCCCCGCTGAAAATCCCAATTTTCACATGCTGGCTGGCTTGCTGGCCTATGGTCCGCATGCTTTGGGCAAGGGCCAAATCTGTCCTCGTGATGGACGCGAAGATTGCAGCGTGGTCGATGCATTGTTGAAGCAAGACGAGAGTGCAAGAGCAAACTGGTTCTTTTCTTGGGTTTGGGGCTATAGACTTCACACTGTGGTAAGGGCGCTAGACTTATGGTTGAGGAGGTTCGGTGCAAAGACCTGGTGTAATGACCGCCATGCTTATTTGTGGTGGTGTGTTTTCGTGAACAACCAGTTCAGAATGTTGCAAGATGGAGAGATAGAAGAACCGGGGCGTGATTTCGGCAGACTACTAGAGGGCATTGGAAGAATGATCATGTGCCTGGACACGATCCATGAGAGTAATTATACCTGCTGCATTTGGACCCTTTTTGAGGTTTACGTTGCAATTCAGCAGGACATTAAGATCACCCTAGCCATTCCTCCTGATGCGCTTAGTCAGGCAGGTTCTTTGCAAGAGATATTTGATTTGTGCAGAGTGGACACTGAAAAAGCAACTTCCAATTTCCAAGCAGATGCAGATGCTATCAAGGACAGGATCCTATTCGACGTTGGCACGTTCCAATATTTGAATGAAACAGTGGAAAAGCTTCTTGTGTCCGAGATTCTTCAACTGCTGAAATTTCACAACAAAGCTTCGGAGTTTGCTGTTGAAGTCGACCAGGAAGATTCCAGCTCCAGGTATTTCGGTGTGTCTTTGGATTTTGTGCTATCCGAGTTCAAATGTTTGTACAGGAAGAAGGCTCCTGAGGCTGAATGGCGCCTTCATGACAATTGCGAAGTGACAGCGTCGGGTTTCATTGTCAAAGTTCGAGATTGTTGTGATGTAGAGAGCGGTGTGGTCGCCTGGGGTGCCTTGGATGTTTGCAGCCCGCCGGAAAATCCCAACTTTTACCAGCTGGCCGGCTTGCTGGCCTATGGTCCACATGCTTTGGGCAAAGGCCAAATCTGTCCTCGTGATGGACGACCAGATTGCAGCCTTGTGGATGCGCTCCTCAAGCAGAACAAGAGCGGCCAAGCAAATTGGTTCCTCTCCTGGGCATGGAGCTACTCGCTGGATGTGGTTTGCAATGCGCTGGCCAGATGGTGGGACTCACATGCTGCAGTGGTTGCATCTGAGGCATGTCCAACCGGCTCAGTCTATTTGTGGTGGTGCTTCTTTGTCAACAACCAATTCCGCATGCTGGAAGACGGCATCACGCAGGACACAGATTCACTGCTGAAGGTTTTTGCAAAGCCTCTGCAAAGGGCTGGAAAGGTATTGATGTGCATGGACAATTTTCAGAATTGCACTTACACAAAGCGAATTTGGTGCATTTATGAGATTTTTTCTGCAGTTCGTCGCAACATTCCAGTGACCTTGATCATACCTCAGCTCGAATTGGAGCAGGAAATGGAGACACTGACAGAGATGGTCCATGCTTGTCGTGTGGATGCCTCACAAGCCACGGCTTCAGTGAAAGCAGATGAAGAGAAAATCAAAACCAAAATTCTGCAAGAATTGAAAAGCTTCGAACATGTGAACGAAACTGTGGAGAAAGCTCTTTGGATTGAAATGATCAAAACGTTTAAAACTCGAAAGAAAGCATCTTTCCGTCATTCCTCTTCTGTTTTGTTGGACCAGCAGCAAATTGCCTGCGTGGTTTCTTTGTGATGTGAGACTTGGCGGGGTCGTATTTACAAAGTGTCTAGCCTTCATCTGTTTTGTTCGGGTGCGGAGCCATTCTGATACATGCAGGAACGGCAGGACAGCTGTAGTTAAACAATGGTCAGCAACTCAATGATTGGTGATGGTTGATGAATCTTTTCCCGTGGTTTGTGAGCCTTCCTTTTTGGGACCTCGAAATGAACAGATCCAGCACATTCCAGTACCAAATCAGGGTTCTTGTGTGCGTGTTTGTTTCGTATCAAACTCTTAAAATACCAGAGGGTATGATGTGCGTTTTATCCAATAGAAAATAACAAACATATATACAGTACCAGTAGTACCCGCACGAGGCGGGGCGGAAGTTGCCTTAGGGATATATAAGACCTTTCTCATCTATAGAACTTGCATGCGCTGTGCGCCAGCCAAGCCCGTGCGTGCGTGCATTCTGCGAAAGTGGTGTCCTGTTTCACATGTCACATTTGAAGCTCCACTTCGCACTTCACTGCACTCCACACTGCACACTTCACTGTTTCACGTCACACTTTTCACTGCACTCTTCACACTCCACACTTCACGCTGCACGCTCCCCACTTCACACTTCACACTGCACTCTTCGCACTCCACACTTCACACTTCACACTTCGCAGTCCACACTTCACACTTCTCATTTCTCACTGCTTTCTTCACACTCCACACTTCACTCTTCACTCTTCACACTGCACTCTTCACTCTTCATGCTTGCACTCTTCACGCCCCACACTTCACACTGCACTCTTCACACTCCACACTTCATCTCATCTGAGCCCTTCTCACCTTATCCCAGCTCATCTCTTCTCATCTCATCTCTTCTCATATGTCATCTAAGCTTTCATGAATCGCTGCCCAGTACTACTTCGAGAACTTGCATGCGCCGTGCACCAGCCAGGCCCGTGCGTGCGTGCTTTGTGCGAAGCTGTTGCAGTGTTGTTGTCCAAGAACATGACCTGCGCGCGACCCCGGTGCAATGCAATGCCAAGCAAACGAAAGCATTGCCTGAACCGAGTGTGGCCAATTATGTCAGGTGTCAGTGAGGTACTTTTCAATGCCGGGACAGTTCCGCCTCTGTTTCCGATCATTTCCTCGAACCTCACCACGTCCAGTCGTGCAAGTTCCCTGCCCGACATGGCTGAAGTGCCGCGGGGCATGGGCGCTGTCTGCTAGCGATGTTGGATCCACCGAGCCCACCGAGGCACCCGCAGATGTCTGCTAGCGATGTCTGCGCTACCGCGGCAGCTTCCAGCAGTATCCGCACTGCTTCCAAGCGGCCCCCTGCCAATGCTCATCTTCCGTGTCCTTTCTTTCAATGTCAGCAACTGCTTCCAGAAAAAGATCTACGCACCTTACATGGCCAGCCTCCGCTGCACAGTGAACTGCTGGCGAGCCATCACTATCTCTGGTGTGAAGGTTCTGCGGCAGGTGAAGCCTAAGCTATCATGCAGAAGCGTTTGAAGACCGCATCTAAACCTTTAGCAAATGGGGAGAAATTTCAGGGTACAAGTTGCATCTCCAGCCTGTGGTTGATCTCCGTGTTGTCATGAAGCTCCCCTTGACTTCCACGGAGATTTTATGCTTTGCCTAAACGAGGGGCAACCAATTTTGCGTGAAAGATACCATTTCAAGTCAAGAATTGATTTTCCTTCGCTTTCGAATAGCGCCTCAAATTCGTCTAAACCTAGATCGGCCGCGTCCTAGCCTGAGGCAGCGAATCTCACACGTAGCACTGCTGCGACCCGGACTTTTTCGAATGCTACTTGGGATGTGCGCTCGCCATGTTAAAGCTGGACGCGTTTTGAAACCCAACCTGAGATTTTAATCTTTACGCCCCATCGCTTTTCAATATTTAATTACCAAAATTCAACAATTTTCCAAAACATAGATCCAGAAGAATCCAAGGATTAGCCCTCCGAATGTTCGGAGCCCCAACAATCCTGTCCCATTGGCTCCTAAAAACCAAACCAGCAGTTGCAATCCTGACCTATTCTTTTCAATAGAAATGCGAAGAACCGATGAGAGTCGTTAGTTATGTAGGTATGGTGTTTATGATGCACTGTGTAATAGCGTGCCTTCTCATGATTTCATCTTCCCAGTAGCAAAAAGGATTCTACATAAGTATAAAATGCTTCTGCACCGATCACGTTTTTCTTTACATCTTCTATTTGGTTATGAATCAAAAACACCCAAAGAGCAGGAGAAGACCAGAACCATGCATGATAGGAAAAGTACCAAGTTATTGTCAAAGGCTGGTCACAAGTTGATGGCACAGGCGCGCGGGGTAGTGGCATGATAAAGGTGATGACGATGATGATGATGATGACGGCGATGAAGATGAGAATGAGGAGAAAGATGATGGGAATGATGAAGCTGATGCGGATCATGAAGATGATGGCGATAATGATGATGATAATGTCCCTCCATTATGTCTTTCCTCCCGGGTACTAAAATGGCATGTTCTATATCTCCATCAATGTCTATACAAATTAAACGGTATGTAACCCAAAGAACTAAGACTATCTGCAGCCCCTTGTGCTTAGGCTTAAACATGTTCAAGCGTATTTCTCAGGAATAGGTTACCAAGGGTTGGTGTCAAACATGTTCCCAAAACAACATCTTTCTTGTCAAAAAAATGGGATGTGAAAACAGGCGACTTACCATGCAAAAGAAACTCAAAACTAATTTTAAACTAAAAACTAAACTCTCTTTGGGTGCTTTCCAAAGACATTCAGCCACCACCCTCCCAAAACCCATTGTTCCTGTGTTTGTCGACACCATCAGGGTGGTAGTTCTCTCTGTGGCATCACGTTGCAAAAAAAGATGTGGATCAGTCACGCTGCAGGCACCGTTCCCGCCCACAGCCCAACGACGATGCCGTCCACGCGCTGCAGAAACGGGACCGCCAACCAATTGACCCAGCATTCGAACATCACATCCGCTAGCTACATTCCTGCAGTCGGAGTTGACTTTGCACACGGCAAAGCCGCATCAGTGTCCGACATACTACAACTAGCCATGGCTGGGCATACGATGCAAATGCGGGCCGCACTGGCCGGCACATGCAAAGGCATCGCTGCGACATGCGATGCAAATGCAGCCACTGAGGGGCACGTGCATGCAAAGGCATGGCTGCGCATGCGATGCAAGGCGGCCGGCATGGACACGCACATGCTGCGGAACGTTTGCTGGTCCTGTCGAGGTTGCCCGGGCTAGTAGCCATGTAGTGCGGCGCGGGCACATGGGTGATCACGTCTGTTTGCTCCGCCGACATCTTGCTCTGAAGAGCAGGGTACATCTTGTAATGCTTGAATCGTTTAGAATTTCCTTCACGTTTGCTACTTGCTTGTCCGGTCAATAAACATTCTTTCAATGCCTTGCATCGCAGAAGCTTCAATGTCTCTGTTTCTTTTTCGACATATGACAGCAGCTTTGCAAAAGCATCCACTTCCGCCATGGCTGCGGCACGTGTCAGTGAGCAGGCTGCACTGCCGCCCACTGCCGTTCCCGGAAGCGCCAAGACAGGCTGCACTGCCGTACCTTCTTTCCTTTCAGTCAAACTGCTATGCGTGCCACTTGTCTTGCATTATGTTCACAACATACCTGTGTGCCTGCATCAAAACATTTGTTCTGGGAATCCTGTCTCCCATGTCACGCGTGACTGCTGAATATTGCATCATGAATCCAACGAACTCATGACTCATGAACTACATTTCACATGAAACACACTGAGCCACAAAGCTTCGCATCGACGAAGTCACTCGGCAAACAATGCTCTATTCCAAGATATCAAGTTTCAACAACACATCTAAAGCTTATGACTTGCTATACCCCTATAATGCTTATAACTAAACTCTAAAGCGTGGCAAACCTGCAGGCCAAAGGGGGCGGCAACGCCTGCGGCAGAAATTTAGAAATTGCGGGTCAAAATAGCGGGCCACCGTCCAGCCACTTTTCCCCGAACTAACTCTTGCAGCTCTCCCAGGCCCATCCCCAACTGTTTCCACCCAGGTTCTCCCAGGAAATCCCGGAAACCCCACAAAAGCGCAGAAAATAACACCCAGGTTCTCCCAGGAAATCCCGGAAACCCACAAAAACGCAGAAAATAACACCCAGGTTCTCCCAGGAAATCCCGGAAACCCCACAAAATCGCAGAAAATAACACCCAGGTTCTCCCAGGAAATCCCGGAAACCCCACAAAATCGCAGGAAATCACTAATTTCCTGGGAGAACTTGGGAGAACCTGGGAGAACCTGCAAGTTGGGATTGACCTGGGCAGACTTAGGCGGACCTGGGCCGACCTGGACGGGGGTAGCCTGAATAAACCACGCATATGTAAACCAGAGCAGAATTGGATAAAACACCATTAACGAATAGTGCTGAGCCAACACCGTTTTGATATGTATCCTGCACTATTCAAAAACCAGTTTTAACACCCAGAAACCCTCCAAAATTAAGACCCAAGCCCCAGAATCCTGATTTATATTATATGCATTACAGGGGTTTATCAACTTATGACCATTTAAAGCTCTTCTTTCTGTGGAATCAAATTTCAACAACGCATCCAAAGCTATTGACCATTTAAAGATATTCTTTCCCTAGCAGGTCCGGTGAATTTTCTCGATCCTGGAGAATAACAATGGCACCCTTTCTACAACAGCCATTGCAACGTCGCCGAAAAACACAGAACTAATTACAATAAAAGATTCATTACAACAGCTCCACTATTTCATATGACAACCACAACATTGATCAATTCGTAGTTCATAGTTTATAAAGCTCTATAACAGATAGAAATTTTGTAATAGCTCTAACACGATGTAACACCAAAGCCAGGAAAAATACTATTGGAGCACTTTTCACCAGCCATTCACATACGATTCACAACTCTCAGCTGCAAATGGCGCAGCCACTACAATGCGATCTGCAGACATTGACTTGCGAAACACAATAGAACTACGCGCAACGGCGTCGGAAATTGCAGCTCCAACACCGGATCTCAACGCCAAAGCGAAAAAAAGACGATTTTGAAGCACTTTTTAACAGGACTTTTAAAAAGAAAATTGCTAGCGCCAAAATTGAGAAAATCTACTGACAAATCACTGTCGCAGCCTTGATGCAGCCACTCCAATACTACTATTTACGAGATCCAGCTGCAAAAGACAATAGTATTACGCATGCAGCCGCGGCACCAAGCAACCTTGATGCAGCCACTACAATGCGATCTGCAGCACCAGATAACAACAATCATGTAGCCATTCCACTGCAATCTGCAACCACAGCTTCCAAAACACCCTATAACTATTCACGCACAGGCACGCCCAAAGCAGCTTGAAGCCACCGTTACAGTGCGGCAAAAAAAAAGGCAAACCGACCGCAGCCGCAACCGCCGCACACAGGAGGTACCTTTCATCGTCGGCCGCAACCACTTTACACGGAAAAATGGAAAAGGTTTCGTGCTCCGGCTTCCTCCCCAAAACAAAGCCCATGCAACATTCATGCAGCTATTACTTTGCGTTTCGCAGCATCACGTGGCAGCTAACCCGCATCTCTCTACGCACATGGCAACAGAGCATGACAACAATCATGCAGCCATTCCACTGCGATCTGCAACCACAGATTCAAGAAACGCATAGAACTACGCACATAGACACAACCACTCGTTGCAGAACACGGAGGAGCAACCAATTTTGTGGCAAATCTGTCTGGACACACATGGCAACAAAACGTGACAACAATCATGTAGCCATTCCACTGCGATCTGCAACCACAGATTCCAAAATACCCTATAACTACGCACGCACAAGCACACCCAAAGCAGCTTGAAGCCACCGTTACAATGGGGCAACAAAAAAGGCAAACCGACCGCAGCCGCAACCGCCGCACACAGGAGGTACCTTTCATCGCCGGCTACATCCACTTTACACAAAAAAACACAAGGTTTCGTGCTCCGGCTTCCTCCCCAAAACAAAGACCATTGAGCATTCATGCAGCCATTACTTTGCGTCTCGCAGCATCACGTGGCTAACCCGCATCTCTCTACGCACATGGCAACAGAGCATGACAACAATCACGCAGCCATTCCACTGAGATCTGCAACCACAGATTCAAGAAACGCAAAGAACTACGCACATACCCAAAAGGTCTGGTTAGGCTAAATTCTATCTATTAGGTTATATCTTGTTTTCTGACTATTAGTTAAGTTTTGTTTTTACCTATTAGGTAAAACAACTGTTTTACCTAATAGTCAGAATGATCAAATAAGATTTTTCTTTAGGTTATTTATATGAATAGCCATTTTTTCTGTTTGTTGTTTTGATGAGTAAGCTACGTTTTTTTCAAATTGTTTCTTTGAAAACAAACTTTTTTATCAACAACCTCAAAGATGCTCAGCATTTTGTGAATATAATTGGAAGCAAAAATTCGAAGAATATCAAAACAGGTCACAAAAGAAAACAAGCGTAACTTGATGTCTTTTTCAAGTTTAGGTTGAAAAATGGTTCAAGATCTTTTGTGAAGCCTTGGGAGTTTCTGGATGCCCGCCATTTCACTGGTAGTGATGCTTGGCTAGATCAAATACAAGAGCATCAGCCTAGGAATGGCACCTATGTTGGGGCTCGCGGTTGAGGTCCGGCAGTGCCCACTGGGATCTGGAGCTCACGGTTGAGGTCCGGCAGTGCCCACTGGGATCTGGAGCTCGCGGTTGAGGTCCCACTGCGACCTGGAAGTCGCGGTTGAGGTCCGGCAGTGCCCACTGCGATCTGCAACTCGCGGTTGAGGTCCGGCAGTGCCCACTGGGATCTGGAGCTCGCGGTGGAGGTCCGGCTGTGCCCACTGGGATCTGGAGCTCTGGAGCTCGCGGTGGAGGCCCGGCTGTGCCCACTGGGATCTGGACTGCGAGGAGGAGGCGGCGGGTGAGGAGGCAATGGAGGCGGAGGAGGAGGAGGAGGAGAACAGCTCTGATAAAATCTAACAACCCTCACCTGGCAGGTGGGGAAATACTGATCAAAAGATCAAAGGATGGTGACAAGAAGTTTTCCCGCTATGTCCCACATTATGCCACCATATCAGCATTATTGTTGCTTAAATCACCACACCCCCAGCCAAGTTCCCATCGCTAGGAACAGTGCAAGCAGTACTTCACGCAGTTCATCGCCTTGGGTCAAGCTGTTAACGTCACGCTGTGCCTTGGTGCTTGTTGAAAGGGAACAATAGGTGAATATTGGTGATTTTTCAGCATCAGACATGGGGATTCAGCCATCAAAAACGATGATTTCACCATGAAAAATGGGGATTTAACATCTGGGGTTGAACTGAAGATTGGGTTTGTTCAGAAAGGGTGGCAATCATACCCAAAAATGGCAAGCTGGGGAAGTTATATGGTAAGCTATCAAATCTGGGAGTGTGACCGGAAGAACTCAATTCATCAAAACAACTTGTGTAATTAACCTCAGTCGAGTCACAAACGAAAACAGCTTGCTGGGTTGAAGCGCAGCTCTTAGCCTATGGATTCTTCTATTGGAAAAATGGATATGACATGGTTCAAACTTATAAACCTCATTTTAGGCTGGCTAAACACGAAAGTGTAGTTATGAGATGTTATGGGTCCATTTGAACATCATTTTGAGTCGTAACCAAATAGTGAGGCTTCAGAGCCTGCAAGGCTCGTCCGGGCAGTTTTGGCCATTTTAAGGATGGAACTCTGATTCCTGGATGGCCCTTTGAGTGGACCATCATTTTGCATACTGGTGCTCCTTCATGGTTTCAGCAATATGTGATATTAATTACATGTTTTCTTTTTGATCCCTACCTGAGACAATTGATCAACCATTGACCAAGATGGAGGGTGAAACCTGTGGAAGTTTGGTTTGGTTGGCTAATAGTTCAGAGTTTCGCTGTAAATGGCGAAACCTTGTTCAGCGAACACACAATCCCATTGCATTTTGTTAGTGGATCAACTAAGATTAAATTAAACCTATCACACTGAAACCACTACAAGTTCTCCATGCCCGCTCACATTTTTGCCTTGAAATTGATCCAATGCTCCAATTCCATGAAGTAATCACCAGTCAATCATCTCCACTGTTCTTTCAATGTTGCAAATAAATTGTTGGACACTTTTAAAGTATTTGGCGGTTCATCCCAGGTAGAAATTCGGTGCAAGTAGGTTCTATACCTTGTTGTGAGTATGATAACCAAGACTGTAGCCTAACACACCTAGGCCCCCAAGTCCTTGGTAAAGCTTCATAGTTGTGATTTGGTTGGTCTACAGCTGGAGTTCGAGGGTCTATTTCTGTCTTCCGCTGTTTGTGGAAGTTTGGTCCCGGACCTCCCAGAATAACAGCCTCTTCCAACAATCTTGTGATACCATTCCCAAAAGAAACCCCAGTAGTGTGGGATGTATATGGAAAGCTCATGGGCTTATTGGAGTGGGGTCCCATCGTCATTGGGGTCCCTAAATAAATAGATAAGTGTTTCACGAGGTTTCATCATGTTACTTCTCGCAGGGAATCTATCCCACCCGATTAATATCAAACTCTGCAGGGTTTTCCCCTCTGGCAAGACGAGCCGCCAGTTATTTTTTTTCAACCAGCCAGGGATTAGGGGTATGCCTACGTCATCCAGGCATCGGACATGGCGTGGCATCAATGGAGTGAGTGGAGGAAACTGGGACTCGACTTGGACCATTCGATAGGTGAAATCGGTGCTTGACAATGCGAATGATAGTTGAAAGGTAGATGATAGATCTCAGTTGGAAGTAAAGAATTCCACTTTTTCACCATCCAATATCATGAGTGGCTTGGAGTGGGGGAAGTGGATGATGACCATCAAGTATAGGGGGGTTCGTTCTTTTCACCGATCTGCATGCCATCATAACCCCCGAATATGGATGAATACTTGAATGGATGCTTTACTTGGCTATAATGGATGTATACTCAAGGCTGTATTTGGGCAAGTTATACTGCGACCTTCCCGTCTGACGTCACAATAGATTAATAGATGATGGTTTGTCGGGGAAGAATCATCCCAAGAATGGCAGACAGTTTCAATTTTGCAGTGGGAGTTCTACTTTGCAGTGAGATGAATTGAAACCATTCACCCATCCATGTTTGGTACGGATTTTGTGGGTTTCTGCTCCGAAAAGCCCGGAAAATCCCCTTTTCTCATCCCAGCAACTAACATAGACCCCGAGAATCGCCCATTTTTAGGTTTTGGAAAGTAGCACAAGGATCGTCATGTTAGTTTGACGGAGGGTATTTGGATTATCATCTCACTTAACTCGTTGACAATCCTGGCTAATAACTCCCCCAATCAATTAATTAAGAACTATGTAACCTTGTGCTATAAACCCACTTATTAATCAGTTACGATTCGCTGGGCGCTCCTGCAAGTGGCTTCAAGCCACCAGGTTAGATGTCACTGAGCTCCGCTTTGCTCGGTCGAGGATGCCAGCAACATCGACCCAGAGGCCTTCCTGTGATTTTGCCATGCCACCTGTGGTGCTGGTACTGTAGATTTACCATGATTTACGGATATGTAATACGATTACTGCGGTAAATTTTGATCATGTATGGAAATCTTTCACATATTATATTTCTATACACGCACCTTCCACGGAAATGCTAATATCGGACTTGGATATGATTCAAAATTTTGAAACAGCACGTCAATGTGTTTGTAAACCGCTTTGGGGCTACACATGTGATTTGTTTAGTATGTATACTTAGTTTTTATTCCATTACTGGGGGTCAATCATTTTGAACTTTTATGTTGGGACTAAAGGAATAATTCAACAGAAGAAGTTCACTGATGTGTGTGTGGGCCTATCTTAAATAAACCTCAAGGAGCGATCTCACTGTCAGCAAAGCAGTTCTTGACCACGTGTAGCCTTCAACGTGATAGTACCACAGGAGGGAAGGCGGATGACAACAAATGATATATCAATCAGATCTTGCCCTCGATCAATCCGCCACGCTGCATGTATGTGTATTGTGCATGGTGTATCTACCTACCTACCTAACCTTCCTACCTACCTAGCTAGCTAGCTATCGATCTATCGATCTATCGATCTATCGATCTATCTATCTATCGATCTATCTATCGATCTATCTATCGATCTATCTATCGATCTATCTATCGATCTATCGATCTGCCTATCTATCTATCTATCTATCTAGCTAGCTATCTATCTATCGATCGATCGATCTATCTATCTATCTATCTCTATCTATCTATCTATCTATCTATCTACTCATCTAAATCTCATCTAAACTCAATCTAATCGAATCTAATCTAATCTGACCTGACCTAATCTATATAATAATCAAACTAAATCTAGTCTATCTATATACATAAATATGTTTTCGTTTTGTGTATATGTTTACCTTTTGGGCCATGGCTGGGAATCAATATATTAAAAAACATGCATGGAACATATGGTACAAACACTCTGGATGCCGACCAACCATCGCCACCATGAAGGCTCGGGTCAGAGGTTGGGATCCAACAGGGGGGGCGAAGCCGCAAAAGACGGCGTATTAACCCTCCAATTGCCTTCCAATTGAGATCGATATGGAAGACCCAGCATCTTGATCCATGTTGTAGATGATACATAATGCCCATTATTCTTTTCCCAGGGAACCCGAGGATTTCCATGTCTGTGTCACAATGTAGCAAGGACCCAAAAAAGCGCCAGAAACACGTGTCCGGATTCGGATTCATCCTCACTGCCACTACTGATGTCCCCAGCAATGAAATGAATTGCTTGAACAGCAACCTTGCATCAATGATCCCATAAGCGCTTAGAGCCAAAATCTTATCCAGTATAATATACATATTTACAGTATATACATGCACAGCTAAGAGTAGAGTTTTTTCCGAGAATTCTAGCTAAAACCTGTTAAAATATCATATTTGCCACTTGACTGTATATTAATGCAACATCTCCTTTCTGTGGTCTTGATTGATGTTGTGTCAAAGCATTGGAGTTTTAATTTTCCGGAACCAACTATACATATTATTCCTATATAGCCGCCGTGGCCCCTGCAATAGCCATGCTTCCGCCGACGAAGCACTTCTGCAAGAGGCAGATATGACAGCAGATGATCACTTCGCAGATAGCCTTTGGTGTTCTCCAACCTGCTCCATCCTTTTGCCAACTGGGATAGTCTTGATAATCCTTCCGCTGATTTGGATACTTCTAGGGTGGCTACAGTTTCGTTTGTTGAAGCGTTCTTTGATAAGATTGGAGGAGGGACGGGCTTATGATGAGTTACATACTCTTCATTCCCCTTCCAGTTTGAAATATGGCCCATGGCAAGGGAGCGCTGGTCGCTTGCTTAAAGATCAAAAAGAGCTGACCAAAAGCAGTTCGTGGCAGCTTGGTATTTCGTTGGACTTTGTCTTGAGAGATTTTGAGCCTCTATACAGGGAGAAAGCCAACATCTCTGAATGGCGCCTGCACGACAGTGAAGAAGTGACAGAGGCCCGTTTCATCATCAAACTTCAGGGTGGTTTGGAGAAAGTTGAGAGAGTTCTGGATGGTGGGGCAAGGGCCTTGGTTGCCTGGGACGACCTGGAAGTTTGCAGATCCCCTGAGAATCCCAAGTTTCACCAATTGGCTGGCTTGCTGGCCTATGGCCCACTTGCGATTGGCAAGGGCCAAATCTGTCTTCGTGATGGGCTAGAAGATTGCAGCATCGTCGACGCATTGTTCAAGCACACCCTGAGTGCTAAAGCGAACTGGTTCTTTTCTTGGTGTTGGGCCTATGATCTAAACACCGTCCTATCAGCTCTAGAAGAATGGTGGCGGAGGTTGAATGCAAAGCCAGGTGGAAGTGACCAGGATGTCTATTTGTGGTGGTGTTTTTTCGTGAACAACCCATTCAGACCAGGGTCTTCAAGGTCCGTGGAAGAGATTTTTGCTTGTTTTGGCAATCAAATAATGGGGATTGGAAAAATGATTTTGTGCTTGGACAAGCTACATGAGAGCGAGTACACTGGCCGCATTTGGACCCTTTGTGACGTTTACGTTGCAGTTCAGAGGGATATTAAGATCACTCTGGCCATTCCCCCACATGCACTTTACATTGATGACATTTGTCGGCAGGTAACATCTTTGCAAGACATATTTGATTTTTGCAAGGTGAACAGTGCAAAAGCCATTTCCACCATCCCAACAGATGCGGAGTATATCAAGGAGAAGATCCTACAACAAGTTGGCACATTCCATCATTTAGATGAAACAGTCGAGCAGCTTCTTGTGACTGAGATTCTTCAATTGCTGAAGTCTCACAACAAGGCTTCGGAGTTTGCTATCGAAATCGACCAGGAGGATTCCCGGTATTTCGGCGTGTCTTTGGATTTTGTGCTATCCGAATTCAAGTGTGTGTACAGGAGCAAGGCTCCCGAGGCTAAATGGCGCCTTCACGACAGCTGCGAAGTGACAGAGCCGGGTTTCATTGTCAAAGTTCGAGATTGTTGTGATGTGGAGAGCGGTGTGGTCGCTTGGGATGACTTGGATGTTTGCAGTCCGCCTGAAAATCCCAACTTTTACCAACTGGCTGGCTTGCTGGCCTATGGTCCACATGCCTTGGGCAAGGGCCAAATTTGTCCTCGTGATGGACGGCCAGATTGCAGCCTTGTGGATGCACTCCACAAGGAGAACAAGAGCGGCCAAGCGAACTGGTTCCTCTCCTGGGCATGGAGCTACTCGCTGGATGTGGTTTGCAATGCGCTGGCCAGATGGTGGGACTCGCATGCTGCTGTGGTTGCTTCTGAGGCATGTCCAACCGGCTCAATCTATTTGTGGTGGTGCTTCTTTGTCAACAACCAATTCCGCATGCTGGAAGACGGCATCACGCAGGACACAGATTCACTGCTGAAAGTTTTTGCAGAGCCTTTGCAAAGGGCTGGAAAGGTGTTGATGTGCATGGACAATTTTCAAAATTGCACTTACACAAGCCGAATTTGGTGCATCTATGAGATTTTTTCTGCAGTTCGTCGCAACATTCCAGTGACCTTGATCATGCCTCAGCTCGATTTGGAGCAGGAAATGGAAACACTGACAGAGATGGTCCATGCTTGTCGTGTGGACGCCTCGCAAGCCACAGCTTCAGTGGAAGCAGATGGAGAGAAGATCAAAGCCACAATTCTGCAAGAATTGAAAAGCTTCGAACATGTGAACGAAACTGTGGAGAAAGCTCTTTGGATTGAAATGATCAAAATGTTTAAAACTCGAAAGAAAACATCTTTCCGTCATTCCTCTTCTGTTTTGTTGGACCAGCAGCAAATCGCCTGCGTGGTTTCCTTGTAATGTCAGATTTGACCCGGTCTTGTACAGGTATCGGCCCTTAATTTTCCAACCGGCGAAGGGTTTGCAAATAATTGGCAGCGTTTGCATCGTTCCCCAAACCCGCCTGGAACCACACAAAATCAGAAGCAGATGGATGTTTCAATGCGGTAAAATCATGTACTGTAAAATCCAGATTTCCCGCATCACGAGTAAGATGTTGTTCCAATATGTTGGAACTGGGGAAACTGAATTGTTGTAGCCATCTATAAACAAAGGCGGGGTGATTTCCAGCCAGCCTTTGATTTCCGGTTATTTCGGGGTGAAATCGCTGCAGGTGTGCTTCTGACAGCTATGTGAACAATGACAGCGTGGCCACCTGTATCTTGAATTCGAACGCAGCCGGCTATGACTATGACAACTCGAACATCAACAACGACTCTGTTTCTGCTCGGCGTTTTAAGAGATATCTTGCTTTATGTCTCAGTGTAATGAAGCATGTTTGAATCCACTTGGTTTAACATGGCCCCTACCTTGGGTAATTATTCCAGAGGGGCATGTCACATCAGGAATAATTGATTTGGAATAAATAGTTTTCGGATCAATTTTTAATTATTCTGCTAAGGGGGTCTATTCTATCCCAAGATGTTGTATGGAATAATTTGTGTCAACATACCTCAGAATAATTAGCCATTGATGGGCATATAAACTCGGATGATAAGTTATGATAGATTTTGAACCATCACTTGAAAAATAGATGACAATATATGACAATAGATGAACGGTGATGACATGTGCATACATGTGCTGTTATGATCTGTTATGTGCTGTTTCATCGCCCGTGATAGAGTGCCAGAAAGAATGTCAGAAGATATCAGAAGATATGCCAGATAGAAAAGCACAGGGGCCCCAAGGAAATTATTTATCTTGACTCATTTGTCATATTTATTCCACAGGTCATCCACATATGTCAACACACCCAGGAATAATTGGGCATCACCAGGAAACACCCAGGGATTCTTCAAACCATGCATTGGGTCACCAATGTTCACTCAGGGGCCCATTGGTCTTTGGCTAAAGTACCCATATTTTAACCACAGGTCACCCACATATGTCAGAACACCCAGGAATAATATAGGCATCACCAGGAAAATCCAGAAAAAAAAACCCAGGGATTCTTCAAACCATTCATCGGGTCACCAATGTTCACTCAGTGGGTCCATTGGTCTTTGGCTAAGTTACCATAAGTTACCCATATGTCTTCCACAGGTCACCCACATATGTCAAACCACCCAAGGGAAATTGGGCATCACCAGGAAACACCTAGGAATTCTTCAAACCATGCATTGGGTCACCAATGTTCATTCAGTGGGCCCATTTGTCTTTGGCTAAAGTACCCATATTTTAACCACAGGTCACCCACATATGTCAGAACACCCAGGAATAATTAGGCATCACCAGGAAAATCCAGAAAAAACCCAGGGATTCTTCAAACCATTCATTGGGTCACCAATGTTCACTCAGTGGGCCCATTGGTCTTTGGCTAAATTACCATAAGTTACCCATATGTCTTCCACAGGTCACGTCTTCCACAGGTCACCCACATATGTCAAACCACCCAGGGGAAATTGGGCATCACCAGGAAACACGTAGGAATTCTTCACAGGTTGAGATAGGTTGAGCATTGCCGGAGCACATCTTTGAAACCAGGAACGAGCAAAACTTTCAAGATCCCAATAAACTTTTGAGTTTATTTGAAAAGGTTTTCTGACACTAGGTTTCTAGTGGTTTGTGGCAATACAACCTCAATCAACACATGCCAAAAATATACCAAATTTGATTACAACTTGTATTTTTATATGAATGGAGAGGGGTGGGTTGCCCTAAATTTACCCTAATTATTCCCGATGTCGTGTGACATACTGGAATGTTTTCCCAGAATATGTGCAATGGGGCTGGAATAATATCCAATTATTCCAAGGTATGCTGGCAGGGGCGGGGCTATGGCAGGGACCATGGTTTAACATGTTTTTAATTAATTGTGTTTTCTACAAATTTTATTATAAAATGAAGATGATCATCCCACGTGACTTGTTGCAATTGGGATGGACGGCACAAGAGTCCAGGTTTGTCCCTACTATTCTGAGTCGACAGAGTGTCCTGGCACACTGTGGGTTTTGGTGTGGGAGAATCTGGAACTTGTATGAACTTGTTTATATGGAACGTATGAACTTGTTATATAGGATGCGTAAATCCTAAAAAGAGAAGCGCAGTAATTAGTTCCAGGACAGTAATAGATGACCCTTTCCATCTTTGTTTTTAGAGTTTCATATAGTTTTCAGGTAGTATCCAATTTGCAATTTTCATATTTGTTTTTGAGGATGCTATACTCTTCTAGCCACTCAATTGTTTGAAGGCTATCCAGAATTCAACTTTCCGGTTCGCCATGAAAGATAATTGTTGGGTAGGCCACTGCCCCAGGGTCAGAGAATGCCAGCAGTTTGGCTAAGGTATCCGACTGTGACCACTCCTGCGTCTTGGCTGCGATGGGTCAAAGGAAAGGCTTCAAGAGCAGATGGTTCATGTTTTCTTTGCACCTTCCCGGCCTTTGAGTTCGAAGTTTGAGCAATGCCCGAAATAAACACCGGCAAAGCCTCCAGTTTCGGACGCACCTCCAATTTGGATGTTTTTCATGTTTGATCCCATCCATTTCTGAGTTTAGCCATTGGGGATGCCTCAGGCTTTTGAGTTTACCAGATTAGACATTAGACGTTCCTTTTGAAATTGCTTTGTGCAGGAGAAAAGAGCCGACACGAAGAAACCATGTATTCCCATAGATTTCAACTTACCAAATGTTCCACAAGGGTTTCTTGGAATCCGAATTTGATTGAACTGGGTATCTTTTATCTGTGACATTGCCCAAATGCCTGGAATATTTCGAAATAATATGAACTAGAATACCCCCAAAAAAATACTGATCAAAAGATCAAAGGATGGTGACAACAAGTTTTCCCGCTATGTCCCACATTATGCCACCATATCAGCGTTATTGTTGCTTAAATCACCAAACCCCCAGCCAAGTTCCCATCGCTAGGAACAGTGCAAGCAGTACTTCACGCAGTTCATCGCCTTGGGTCAAGCTGTTAACGTCACGCTGTGCCTTGGTGATTTTTCAGCATCAAACATGGGGATTTTTCACATCTGGGGTTGAACTGAAGATTGGGTTTGTCCAGAAAGGGTGGCAATGATACCCAAAAATGGCAAGTTGGGGAAGTTATATGGTAAGCTATCAAATCTGGGAGTGTGACCGGAAGAACTCAATTCATCAAAACAACTTGTGTAATTAACCTCAGTCGAGTCACAAACGAAAACAGCTTGCTGGGTTGAAGCGCGGCTCTCAGCCTATGGATTCTTCTATTGAAAAATGGGATATGGCTCAAACTTATAAACCTCGTTTTGGGCTGGCTAAACACTGAAAAATCTAAAGGTGATCAAGTTATGAGATGTTATGGGTCCATTTGAACACCATTTTGAGTCGTAACCCGTAACCAAATAGTGAGGCTTCAGAGACTGCAAGGGTCGTCCGGGCAGCTTTGGCTATTTTAAGGATGACACTCTGATTCCTGGATGGCCCTTTGAGTGGACCATGATTTTGCATACTGGTGCTCCTTCATGGTTTCAGCAACATGTGATATTAATTACATGTTTTCTTTTTGATCCCTACCTGAGACACTTGATCAGCCATTGACCGAGATGGAGGTTGAAACCTGTGGAAGTTTGGTTTGGTTGGTTAATAGTTCAGAGTTTCGCTGTAAATGGCTGTAAATGGCAACGCCTTGTTCAGCAAACACACAATCCCATTGCATTTTGTTAGTGGATGACTAAGATGAAATTAAACCTATCAAACTGAAACCACTACAAGTTCTCCATGCCCGCTCACATTTTTCCATTGAAATTGATCCAATGCTCCAATTCCATGAAGTAATCATCAATCAATTTGGCGGTTCATCCCAGGTAGAAATTCGGTGCAAGTAGATTCTATACCTTGTTGTGAGTAGGATAGCCAAGACTGTAGCCTAACACCCCTAGGCCCCCAAGTGCTTGGTAAAGCTTCATTGTTCTGATTTGGTTGGTCGCTTGTGGAAGTTTTGGGGGACCTCCCAGAATAACAGCCCCTTCCAACAATCTTGTGATACCATTCCCAAAAGAAACCCGAGTAGTATGCGACGGGAAGCTTATGGGAGTTGGGGTCCCATCATTGGGATCCCTAAAACAAGTGTTTCATGGGTTCATAATGTTATTTCTCGGAGGGTATCTATCCCATCCGATATATCCCATTGGTTTCGATGGCAAACTCTGCAGGTTTTCCCCTCTCTGTTTGGGGGTATATAGCACGCGTGGCAAGACACGCTTGGGGGTTTAAAACCAGCCAGGTATGGGGAGAACTACGTGACAGGCATCGGACATGGCGTTATCAATGGAGTGAGGGGAAACTGTTGGATCATGAGTGCCTTGGACTTGACTTGGACCATTCTTGTGAAATTGGTTTGGACAATACTTGATAGATCTCAGTTGGAAGTAACAATTTAATTCCACTTAAACCATCCAATATCATGTGTGAGAAGTGGGGGAAGTGGATGATGACCATCAAGTACAGGGGGGTTTAGTAGACCGTTCTTTCCACCGACCTCGGGAAAGTTAAGAAAATCCTGGTGGATTGGAATAATGATGAATAATGTGAGAATTGATGAACATTGTGACTTTGAATATGCAAATTTGGGTACCCATGTAAGGACAAGACTGGTAAACTTGGTAAACATTCTTCCGCAGTACTAGAGAGCACTAAAACCACAATTTTGGGGTGAATCATTTTGAACCATGCCTACAATATGTTTGATGGCTAGTCGTACCTACACGAATTGTTTGCTTTGGGAATATGCCTGGCAATCACAGATCTAAACATCACAAGTTGTGGACTGCTGACTTACGATCACCTTTCCATGCTTTGTGGATCCATTGAAACCACCAACACGCCCATGAGGGTTTGTCTGAAAATGGGGCATCACCCCCCAGTTTTATAAACCCTAGTAATTGGACTTGGTAAACCGACTTGGCTCTCATTATATATATATATACATACATACATTCCTGTTGTTTTATGGTTAAATGATGTAAAACCACCTATTTTGATGCTTATTGATGGTATTTACGTGCTATGTAACTAGAGGGCCCCACCTTGCAACATCCCAGGCTACGAGGGCCGGAAGGCGGTGATTTTTCAAGTGGACATCCGTTCTTGGTCGTCGCTCGATCGCAGCCATACGTTGTGGATGGGTGATGATTAGGATATGTGATATCTGCCATTAAGTGACATTAGATTCACATATTGGTGATATATTAGTTGTGATATATGAATATGTAAATTGTGATATTGGTGTTTCTATTGCATTCTATTGCATGTTTATTGATTCTCTATCTTTAGACTATCTGGATGATTATTTGTTTTGTTCATGATGAAGAGGACCCGCAATGGTCCATAAAGCGGGAGGGTGAACCCTATCCAAACTCCCAGGTAGCAAGTCTCATGGGGAATCCCACATGAACCATCCACAAGATTAAATGGGGTGTATAATGAGGAGATCTATGCGGTAGAATGGTATACGTTTTTGGGGATTTATGGAAAAGTTTGGTGGCGTTGCTTTCAGACATTGTCATTGATGGCACGACAAGAAATACAATATTTTGGGGCGTATGAACATCCATTCAGATGAACATCCATTTGCTAGCTATGTTGCTTTTTAGTGGGGTACCAGTGTTTTTGCTAGAGACATTGCTTGTTGGGGATCAAACACTGCAAACATTCCATACCAACCCGGAAAGAGCAACTGTCTTCGAGATTCATGATGTGTCATGATGTTTTTCTTTGGCGTTTAGACTCCAAAAAAAGCTGACCGAAGCCGAAACATGTTATAACATGTCATAACAAGCACATCGAACCAGACCCAAGACACGAAACCAGGAGTATCACCTCGTCACCCCACGCAAGGCACACTATAATTCACTATAACCTGTACAAGGGGCTCAAACCCTCAAGTGTTTTTTGATTCTGTGCGGAATCTATTGCGGAAATGTTGATTTCTGTTTCTGGAGCCATAGCAAGTCGGAAGCGCTGACTCGAAACGAAGTTCATCGTGTCATCGTCTGAGGTTGGAAATCACCTATGACACGTTGATGTATCTCACGAACAATCAAAATCCTGGCCGCTTGGTCAACAATCTTTACCCATGTTCCTGATGGTGGCATATTAGATGTTTGCCGCTTGGTATTGGCATTTGATTTTTCAGGTTTGAATTCACCCAGTGATTCGGAATCTCCAGAAACCGGTGCAAACTTTATACATTAACCAGTGAGGTGGTTGCACAGATTTGCTGCACAAGACAAGCAATCTTGACCGATACCAAGACTTGGTTTTGCTGGATGGTCGGGTGAAGCCTTTTGGGTTCCACCAAGCAATTCAACTCTGACTTCCGGAGAGCCGCCCACTGTCAGTGGCCGATGGCAGAACACATACCATATGCCATAAAGTTAAAAGAGCACCGGATCAAAGTGTATCCCAACCTAGGAAAAAAAAACATGTTCCAGTCCAAGGGCTTACGAATTTGTGGAGCTTGACCTTAACCAAAGGAACACATCCCAAGGGTTGATGAATCCAGGATCATCGAAGGCTCCGGGGATGAATGCGGCTCATTTAGTCACTGGTTCCCTGATTCTTGAGCCATGCCCATACACATGAGATACACAAACTAAGGTTTTGGTCAGTTTGAGTAGTACGCTTTGTACCCTGAGCATCCGATATTGATTACAATCAATATTTTTTCCAAAAAAAATATCGATATTGTTTTTACTAAAAAAGCAAAATAAATATCAATATAAAACTAATGCTTTTGAAGCTTCAAAATCAATATAAAAAGTTGGACCAAATGCCTCTTTCTATTGATATCCACTTTGATTTTTATACTCATTTCCTCTATTTTTATATTGATTTTGAAGCCTCCAAAATCAATATAAAATATTGATTTTGAAGCCTCCAAAATCAATATTTTATATTGATTTTGTGGTTGGTTTTTGACATGGTTTTGGAGTCTGGGAATGTGTTTGTCTCTACCCTGCCCCTTGCAAAAGGGTAGCCCTTGCAAAAGGGTGTTCCTTGTATTTCCTTTAGTGCCATGTTTGTTGTCCATATGTTTTTGTCTCTTTTCCTATGCTATGCTAAAGCAAACAAAACATGTTTAGTTGTTAAAACAAGCAAACTAAACACATGAACATGTCCTGCCTGCAGCCATTTTTGGTTCTGAGCCTAGCAGCTATGAGTAGGAAGAAGGAGAAGGAAGATGTGGACATGGAGGAGGAGGAAGAAGAGGAGGAGTGGGAGGAGGATGGGCCTTGGAGAATTCCAAGGGAAGGAAGACTGGTGGGGGCACCACCTCTTGGGCTAGGCAAGCCAGAAGGGCTGCCAAGCAAGCCAAGAGGGTGGTGATGTCCACTGGCAAGCCCCTTGAAAAAGGGGAGGAAGCCCTTGCAAAAGGGAAACCCCTTGAGAAAGGGAACAAAGCCCTTGCAAAAGGGACACCCCTTGAGAAAGGGAAAGCCCTTGCAAAAGGGCAAAATGAAGCCAGGTTCCAGGAGCTGAAGGACAAGCTGGTTAAGAGCCTCAAAAAGGGGAAGCTTGGTCCCAGGCTGGAAACTGGCACACCCCTTGAGAAAGGGACAGGTGCAAGCAGCAGCAATGCTGCACCCCTTGAAAAAGGGAAAAAAAAACCTCTTGAAAAAGAGGAGGCAACAGCCCTTGAAAAAGGGCAATTCCTTGAAAAAGGAAATGTTGCCAAAAAGGTGGCAGTTCTGGAGTCAAAGACTGCCACCAACAAGCAGGCAAAATCCCTTGCAAAAGGGAAGGAGACTGCAGCCCTTGAAAAAGGGTCAGAAAAGAAGCAGCCTCCTGAAGCCCAATCAGAACCTTTGGCTGTGTTGGTTGATTGGCACCATTGCCTGAAAAATGGTCCCCAGGACACTGTGCTGGTCCAGGACCTCATGGCCCTGCAGAAGCTCCTTGACAAAGGAGTGGAGGTGCATGTGCTCTCCTTCTGTGGGGCCAAGCAGGTCCCCAAAGTTGAAAAGGAAATCTGGGACAAGCTCCCAGATCTCATTGACCAACTTCACTGGTGGGGATGCTGCACCAGTCGCACTGGGGTGGGGGGCAAGGCAGAGTATGCCACAGAGTGGGGCTGCCAGGTGGCCTTTGATGATTCAAAGGACATCTTGCAAGAGCTGGGCTCATGGGGTGTCAAAACCTATGGCATCCAGACACCCAGAGAGAGCCATGCATGGATGCCAGAAAACTCCAGGTTTGCATCCTTTGCAGATGCAGTGAAGCAGTTCATCAGGGATTACAATCTTTGAGACTGCTTCCAGCCCTTGCAAAAGGCTGCTCTGCAAAACCCTTGAAAAAGGGTATGGCTCTCACATGGCAACCCTTGAAAAAGGGTAGGTGTCTAGCCCCAATCCTTGCAAAATGATAACCCTTGAAAAAGGGTAAAGTGCCCCCACCCCCAAGGATAACCCTTGAAAAAGGGTAGGTGACTGGCCCCAATCCTTGCAAAAGGATACCCCTTGAAAAAGGGATGTCTCACCCCAAGCCTTGCAAAAGGATACCCCTTGAAAAAGGGACAGTGTCTCACCCCAACCCTTGCAAAAGGATAATCCTTGCAAAAGGATCAAATAAGAGCAACCCTTGCAAAAGGGTCATGTGGCTCAGGTCTACACACAGCATTTGCAATAACAAATGCATGTATTTACACACACACATACATACATACATACATACATGCATACATACATACATACATATATATACATAGGTGTGGTGATATTTAAAAAACACTGTGTGTTTCTGTTTGCTGTGTGTTAACCTGAGCCATAGCTCAGCCCTTGCAAAAGGGCGACTTGTAGCTGCAGCCCAACAGTGGTTTGTACAGAAGCTACCAAATGTGTAGCAAGCAGCAAAAAAATGAAATAAATAAATATAAATAAATCAAAATAACTAAATAATTAATGTATTAAATATAAATACATGCAACTTTACACAACTTGTTTACACAACTTGTTTACACAACTTGTTTTTTAAATTAGAAACCTTTGCCATGGACATATGCCTTTTGAAAACCTGATGTTTTTTTGAGTTTTGCATGGACCCTAAAGCAACCAAGCAGGGAAACACAGATACTACTGAAAAACTAAGGCAATGGAATAAAGTCTTTCCCAGAATGTCAACCCCTTGCAAAAGGGGCACCAAATTAAACATTATCCCTTGCAAAAGGGACACCACACACATTCAAGATTTAAGGTGTCAAGGTTCATTTTTGTAAACTGAGATGATTTCTCAAATGCTGTTTGGTCTCTGTTTCAGGCTGCAGGCAGATGATTATGTTTCTGTTGACTCTGCAGTTTCTTGATCCAAACAAATCCCACAATGATATTTGAAACAGCATAGAAACACAGAGTACTAAACTGTTTCACCCAAAATTAAAAGCCAGTGAATTCATACCTGAAAAAACATGAATTAAATTTGATTTTTATATATATAATAGGTTGAGATGCAGATGGGAAAATCCTTAATTGCAACAAAAAGTGTTCAAATTATTTATTTTAAGAGTCAGACACAAATAGTCTCTGGAATCTATATCAAATTATACAATGTATTTTCAAACAAATTCCAGTATAGTTTCAATATAGTCCAATACAGGTTTGACAGTGAAATGTTGCCTTACTGTTTTGTTGTGTACAAAAAAACATTAAAAACTATTTAACCTATTTGTTTTGGTTTTGAAAGGGTTTATAAATTGAAAAAAATGGTTTTAAAAATATTAGTGCCAATCCAATCCTATCCAATTCTATCAGTTTTTTTTAACAGGTTCATCAAAAAATTCAAGGCTTTGAAAATAAAAATTGAATTTTGATAAAATTTGATGAAAACATTGTTTTCATCAGATTTCATCAAAATTCATCAGAAGAATCAAGGTTTTGAAAAAAAAAACTGAACTTTGATGAACTTTGATGAAATTTGATGAAAAACAATGTTTTCATCAAATTTCATCAAAGTTCATCAAAAAAATCAAGGTTTTGAAAAAAAAATGAACTTTGATGAAATTTGATGAAATTTGATGAAATTTGATGAAAACATTGTTTTTCATCAAATTTCATCAAAGTTCATTTTTTTTTCAAAACCTTGATTTTTTTGATGAAATTTGATGAAAACCAGGTTTTCAGCAAATTTCATCAAAATTCATCAAAACTAAATTCATTTGAAAAAAAATCAACAACCAGTGATTGAAACCAGATTTAGATTTGCAACACCTTGAAAAAGTTGAGATTAATGTAACCAATGTTTGTTGAACATTGGTTTTGGTATTGAATTTATATGTGTTGTATGTTTGTTTGGTTAGTAACATCAATTTGTTTTGGTTTGGAAAATATTGAAAAACACGTGTTTTGCTTAAATAACAAAAATGTTTTATCTATGTTTGTTTTATATTGTTTTGGTTTGTGTTAGTGTATTGCTTTGGTTTGGTTGAAAAATCATGGGTTTTCTTCCACCTGCAAAATAATTAAATCATAAATATTCAATATAATTTAATATAATTGCATAAAATTAAAAATATACATTATGAACATGCTTGTGTATGATATATGCATGGTGTTTTTTTATTTGTTATGTAGTTTTGACAAGAAAACTATTTATATGCCTTATAATATATTATATGATTGTTTAAAATCACACACACATGAACTAAACCCTTCATGCACTTGCAGCCATTTTAAACTTCAAACACTTTTAGGAAGAAAATGCCAATTTCCAAGATGCCAAAACCATTGAAAAAGAAAATTTTGAAAAACAAGCCCTTGCAAAAGGGCAACTCCTTGCAAAAGGACAAGCCCTTGCAAAAGGACAAGCCCTTGCCAAAGGGCAAGCCCTTGCCAAAGGGCAAGCCCTTGCAAAAGGACAAGCCCTTGCCAAAGGGCAAGCCCTTGCCAAAGGGCAAGCCCTTGCAAAAGGACAAGCCCTTGCCAAAGGGCAGGGCAAGCCCTTGCCAAAGGGCAAGCCCTTGCAAAAGGACAAGCCCTTGCCAAAGGGCAAGCCCTTGCAAAAGGACAAGCCCTTGCCAAAGGGCAAGCCCTTGCCAAAGGGAAAGCCCTTGCCAAAGGGCAAATCCTTTCAAAAGGGCAAGCCCTTGCAAAAGGACAAGCCCTTGCCAAAGGGCAAGCCCTTGCCAAAGGGCAAGCCCTTGGGAAAGGGCAAGCATCTCCCCAGCAGTGGCAGCAAGCCCTTGGAAAAGGGCAAGCTGTGTGCTAAGAACCTCAACAGACTTGGCAATCTTTCTTTGCAAGAGAAGGTTGCTGCAGTTTGTGAGGAGCAAGTGATGATGACAGGCTGGTTAACCATCCAGCAACCCTTGAAAAAGGGTGGGGGCAAGTCACCATCCCTCTGTTCACACATGGTGATGGAGTGGAATATGAATCCAGGGACAGCTTGATGGTTTGGAGCTTTGGACCCCTCCTCTCCCAAGAACAATCCCTGGACAGCCACTTGCTCATGACAGCCCTTGCAACAAATTTAGTGGCACAGGCCTTCCCTTTGACCCTTGCAAAAGGGTATTGGTCATTGCCAAAAGGAACCAGCCCTTTGCAAAAGGGGACTAACCCTTGTAAAAGGGGCCCTTGCAAAAGGGGATCCCTTGCAAAAGGGAACCAGCCCTTGCAAAAGGGTAGTGTTTTTAGAAATGGCCTCAAGGCTTCTGTGCAGCAAAGCCTGTGAAACACTTCACATGCCTAGAAAAAGTTTGCTGGCTGCAGCTTGGGAAGGTGGGAAAGGGAATGGTAACTGGGCAGGCATACAGGCTTACCTGGCATGCATGCCTCTGCAGCTGTTTTGCTTCAAAGCTTTAGGTTTAGCGTGAAAAGTTGTAGAAGATCCAGCCCTTGCAAAAGGGCAAGTTCCAACCCTTGGAAAAGGGTAGCCAAGCCTTGCAAAAGGCAAACCTTTAAAGGTATAGAGAAACCCTTGCAAAAGGGAAACTCCTTGAAAAAGGGTTGGGGTTTTAAAGCCCTTAGCCCTTGAGAAAGGGTGATGAGCAACACGCCTTTCAGCTTGCCTGCGCCATGCCCACCAAACCCTTGGGAAAGGGGCCAGCTGGAAATAAGACATAGAGTCCTTGCAACCATGGACCCCCCAACAGAATATTGGGGAGTCTACCATGAAAGGTGGCTGCAAAATGTAGGTGAGGCAAGCTTTTCTTTGGACCAAAGCTGCTTGATCCAAAGGAAAAACAATGATGGCTTCACATATTTTGCACTTTGGCTGAAGCCAGTTGCTCATGGGTTTCCTGTGGTGCAGCCTCATATTAGCTTGGGCTTGGCCAAATTTCTTACCCATCAAGAACATTGGATTGCAACTATCAGGTCACAAGCTTTCCTGTGGCCAAGGGTAATCAAAGGGCAATTCCAAAGATATGGGCAGCTGAACTTTGCCTTGTTGCAGAACAATGAACTCTCAGCCCTGGTCCAAGTATTGCGAGAAACTCTTGCAAAAGAGTCCTGCAGCACAAAACAAATGGACAGGGTGCCCCACATCAGCTGGACCCCAATTATGAAGTTTGGCCTTTGAATCCTTGCAAAAGGATAATTCCTTGGGAAAGGAGCACCCCTTGGGAAAGGGATGGCTGCCAGGAATGATCCTTGAGAAAGGGCACCCTTTGCAAAAGGGTGGATGGAGCATAAGGGGTGCCCCTTGAGAAAGGGGAAGCTGCCATCCCTTGAGAAAGGGAAACAATGGTCCTTGACAAAGGACACCCCTTGAAAAAGGGATGAGTGGAGCTGATCCTTGGCAAAGGATGCCCCTTGAGAAAGGGACACCCTGGCACACAATCATTGCAAAAGGATTGCCCTTGCAAAAGGGCAATTGCCAAGACTAGCCCTTGAGAAAGGGTGCCCCTTGAAAAAGGGAGTTTGCCACAAGCAATCCTTGAGAAAGGATGTCCCTTGCAAAAGGGAAATTGCCAAAATCAATCCTTGAGAAAGGATGCTCCTTAATGCAAAAGGAAACCCCTTGCAAAAGGGCACTGCCACCTTAGCCCTGGAGCTCTTTGGACATCCCTTGGGAAAGGGAAAGATACCAGCACTGATCCTTGCAAAAGGATAGAACCCTTGCAAAAGGGTAAGTTGCCAGAGGCCCTTGAGAAAGGGCATCCCTTGAGAAAGGACATCCCTTGAAAAAGGGAGTGATGGAGCTAATCCTTGAGAAAGGGTCCTGATCCTTGGCAAAGGATAACACTTTGCCATGAAATTTGTGCATACAACCCTCCAAAGGAGGGGGCTGGTGCTGCAATGTCTGGGGTCCAAAAGGGAAAGGGGAGACAAGTGGAAACATTGGAAAAATATTGATTTTTATATTGATTTTTGGTTTGCTTTTCAAACCCAGCAAACAAATCAATATAGAAAAATAACACCAAGGGCTCTGAAATCAATATTTTATATTGAAAAAACATTGAAATCAAAAGTGCTTGCCCCATATTGATTGTAATCAATATCGGATGCTCAGGGTAGTAATCCTTTCCCAATTTTGGAGTATATTGAATGACTCAAGCCACACCCAACCTCGCAACAGCTTGCTGCTGGCGCCTAGGAGGAAACTGTTTTGTTCCCGATGTCAAAATCATCAACTGCACCGATATTCCGGGCGTGGGGTAGGCTGGGCCCAGTTCTGTGTGTTATGGGCATCGCAAAATGCTTTGTGTTTTGGTATCGAAATGTTTTGGTATCATGAATCACGAGTAACAATGAAGTTCTTATTGCTATGCTCAGTATATTTAATCTGCGTGTATTTTATTCCGTTGTGTGTTGCGTAATGTTGATGGTCAATATATTCAGGATTCATTTTAATATGGCTATGGATCAATACCTATACATACCATTTTTAGGGGGATGAACATCCATTTACATCCATTTACCAGCTATTTTGATGTTCACTAGGTACCAGGGTTTTGACCCATCCCCATATATCTTAATATGGCAACAAATCTACCTCTCAGTTTCAGATTGGGCTGGCCTCTTACAGTCTTTCCCGACTCATTGCAGGACTGCGCCGGCGGAATGCGGAGCTGGGGGCAAACTCGGATGCGTTCCGATTTGTTTTGAAGGGTGGGGCCGCTGAACCAGGTACAGCAGAATAAAAAAGAACTTTAGGGAGAAAACATGATGCTCTAAAGTGACTGATCATGTTCTTCCTTCCAAAAAATACATCCGTTGTTGGGTTCAGAGACACCAAGTTTCATCCCATGCTTCTTGAACCTTCTTCGATTGGTCACTGTAAACCATCGTTTTAAGGTGCCAGTACCAAAGTGTTCCCTTTGGATGTCCCAAAGTGGGCAAATTCGCGCCTGGCAGAGGTCTCAATAGTTCGCGACCCTGTAATTGGCAGTTATCATTGGCCGGTGCATGCCGCTGGGGGTTCTGATTCTTTTTTTCCCGCTGATATATTGGATTGAGCTCGCGTTTGAGCCGCTAGATGCTAGAAACAGCTGATCAAGATGTTTTTTTACCTTGCTGGCAGCCCCCAAGAGTGAAATATATGATATAATGATATATATATATATATATATATATCTGTGTTCGTCTGAAAATGGGGTGCCTCTACATCCACTGGCTTATCACCATTTTCCTCATGAAAATGCCTATTTGAAAGGTACACCCCATTTTCCAGACAGACCCACATCTGACATAATGCTGATCACGTGTGTTGCGTGCTGAAATGAGCACGGAACAGACTTGTAGAGCTGCTGCGCAGAGGATGTGTTTTCAAAGATGCGCAGATTTGACAAAAAGCGCCGTGGTGAGGTATCAAACCGACGTCGGTATATATAGTATGGTTGGTGGTGGGAGTCAGTATGAAGATGGCTGTTGATTCTTGCAAACATGCCAGATTATTATTGCAACTGGTTTAGAGGATTTTAGAGGTAGACTAATGGAGATTAAGGGTGATGATGGTAATCCATCATGCCTCCCAGCATGGGAAGCAATAGGCATGACAGAAGGCTTTGGGCACTGCTCAATTGGTGTTTGGTGCCAGAGCGATGATTTGTAACTTCTGGGTGTCTCTGAGTTCTCTGATGGTGTTGGAATCAGTCAAGACTTGACAACATGTTTCGGGTGTGACAAGCACATATGTTCGAATATATACATATAGTATGTATATATATATATATTTCCAATGCACGCATATTTTCTTCAATGGTGGTTTGCCTCAATTTGGAATATATCACACTCCATTTGTGAAAGAGAACGCACATGCATGCTTCCTTAAAATGATTTCAATGTTGATTTGACTTAGATGACGAGCTTCTGAGGGCACTGGACGCAATCGATTCCACTAAAGAATGCCACATTAATGAAAATAAACATATAGTTGTGGAATATACATATGTACATATACCTATCGATCATTATCGATCTATCTATCTTCCTATCCATTTACCCAACAGATATATATTTACATGTCCAATACATACATACATACATGCATGCATGCATGCATGCATACATACATACATACAGGCATACAGACATACATATATATATAGTTTGTTTACATATATTTATATTTATATACATATTTTTTGCCAATACGCACACCCAATATATATATACATAATATATCTATATATATATATACATAATATATATATATAAATAGACATACACCCGATATATTCATATACATGTACCCAATATATACAATGTTTACCTTTTATATATTTATATATGTACATATATATATATATATATGCATATTCAATATGTCCAATGTTTTTTCATATCCAATATTTCCAATATGTTTTTACATATCGAATATATATATATACATATACACACACATTTTCATTATCGTCGTATTTATATATGTATATATATATATATATGGATCCAATATGTTTATATTTATATATTTGGTTATTTCCGATATATATATATATATATTCAACACACACATATACATACATACATATGTATATAGACTGTAACCTTTATAATCATCTGTTTAAACTATCCCTCCACCTGAGGTGATGCTTCAACGAGTCCAGTCACGTACGCAGGGCGATCGCTTGCTGGTCCAGGCATCGTGGGGGGTTTTCTATGGGATTTCGTCGGGGTTTCACCGGCAAGTGGTTAAAAAACATATGCTATATGTATATATCCAATGGGGGCTACAAACCTCCTGATATTTGTTCATAACAATGTTTTTTCCCCACCTGCCAGGTGAGGGTTGTTAGATTTTATGTCAGTTGCCTCCTCCTCCTCCTTCTCCTCCTCCTCCTCCGCCTCCTCCTGCCTCGTCCTCCTCTCCTCCTCCTCCTCGTCCTCCTCGTCATCCTCGTCGTCCTCGTCGTCCTCGTCGTCCTCGTCGTCCTCGTCGTCCTCGTCGTCCTCGTCGTCCTCGTCCAACTGCGACCCGCGATCCACAGTGTTCTCTGCCGGACCCCAACCACGACCATCCACGCCCAGTGTTCCCTGCCGGACCTCAACCACGACCATCCACGCCCAGTGTTCCGTGCCGGACCTCAACCACGACCATCCCCGCCCAGTGTTCCCTGCCGGACCTCAACCACGACCATCCACGCCCAGTGTTCCCTGCCGGACCTCAACCGCGAGTATCCACGCCAAGTGTTCCCTGCCGGACCTCATGTAGGAAGATATGGGACAAAGAATGTGCAGAAGAAAGTCAGAAAGATATGCCAGAAGATATGCCAGATAGAATGCCAGATAGCCAGATGCCAGATAGAATATGCCAGATAGAATGCCAGAGAGAATGCCAGAAGATATGCCAGAAGATAGAATGCCAGATAGAATGCCAGAAGATATGTCAGATAGAATGCCAGAAGATTTGCCAGTAAGAAAATCTATAAATGTCATGGTGGGGATCACACGAGGTAAAGTAATTTTTGCGAAACAATTTAGTAAATCATGTTTTTGGGTTTGAAACGATTCAAAACATGTATTTCACATCATGTTTGTGATGATACAACAAGATTATTTCCAAAAAAATGTCTTTATTGTGCCAAATATCTACAAATGGGGACATTGCAGGCGGCCAAACGAGGTCACCAGAGGGCAACCACAAAATTTGAATGGTGTAAGCCAGTTAGCATTGGGTTTAATTTTTGGTAACAGTGAGGATGTAAGACCAAAAATGTGCTTAAACCACCAACATATGTTATATGGATATATATATATATAAATGGTAGTTCCATCAATCATAACTTGTGATTTTACCTGGGAAGTAGTATCTGAATGCAAGGAAATAGTTGGGACCACAATGGTAACAGCAATGGCGAAAACCCATGGGAAGAAGGATGCAATGATTTTTCGTTAAACTTGGAACTTAGCAGGGTTATATTAGGTGTCCACTTAAAATCACTTAAATGGGTTTCATGAAATAAACAATATGTCATATTTATACAGTTATATACATATCATATGTATGTGGGATTTTCGGCATTTGTATATTCCTTCCACTACCAAGTCTTGGGATTCATGAAACCACAGTGGGATGGCCATGACTTGGCGCAGGAACGAGTCGAACAGTCCAAACAGATCTTACAGAAGATGGCCATGGTCTGCAGCTCAGAAGGGGACGAACCAAGGCACTTTGTGACTTGACTTTCAGAGAGATATAGGTTTACCCAAATAGCCATTTATAGATTGGGAACGTGCTGATTAACCATTGGATTTAGGGATATCATTGATATCATACTTCAGGACAAACCCACATTTACTTGGAGTTGCATCCTAGTTGTTAAGTGGTTATAAACATATCCATAGTATATCAACCAGTTACCTATTTGAATATCCTCAGTTTGAACAACTTTCTCACTGGGATGCACTGAAAACGGAGTACTTCACTTTCCCCAGTTTATTAAATGGCCATAACTTGAGAGTAAGTCACCCAGATTAAAACCTCCTCTTTTCAGATTTTGCGGTGTCTATTGTACCGCCAAAACAGATGGCCAAGTCGTCTTGCCATTCCGAGGCCATGCAAATCAGCCGACGCTTTGAGATCAGGGTAGAAGAGGCTGGTCGCATGGCCTCGAGCAACTTTGGGAAGGGGAAATTCCATGGGATTTAAAAAAAACATGGCTAACAAACAGAAGAACATAATTGTTGGACAAATTTGGGATATATTTTCCTTCATATCTCAGGATGCAAGGAAGTTATGCCTGAAACATGTGGGTCTTCCAGTTCCAGGGCTGATTTCGGCGCCACCATGGGGAGAATCCCATCAACCTGGTTCAGACAGAACGGATCCAGTTCAGTGGAAGGACGGTCTGGTTTCGGCCCACTGGGCAATGTCATGGGATATAGGGGCCTGGTGGCTTGACTCACAGATTGCAGATCAGAAAACTTCCGTTCAATGAACCCCCCTTTCTTTGGCTCTGTTCCCATCTTCTTTTCTGAGTCAATGCCCATTTACCCAGATTTGTTCTCATTCTAAGATATTCTAAGCCCATTTTCATCCATTTTCCATATATGTTTTCCACTTTCCGAGACGTTTTTCCGCTTCAAACAACGGTCCCCCGGCCCTGGCCTTACCTGCCACCGCTGCGCAGGTGGATGGCATGTTGAAACCCGAACTCACGGAGGTATGGACCGCCTTGAAGACCGCCGTCTCGGCAGGACCGGGTTCACGGTGGAAGGGGGTGGGATGGAGACTGGATGGGTTCGGCCCTCTGGTTTCATGGGACTATGATGGAGAGAATATCCGGTTGGTGGTTTCAAACATGAATTTTATTTTCCATAATATATGGGATAATCCTTCCCATTGACTAATGATGAATATTTTTCAAGATGTTTAAAACCACCAACCAGATATGATTTCATGAGGATTTCATGGGGATTTAAGGGGAGTTCATGGGGATTTCAAGGGAATCAATGGGGATTAAATGAGAATTCATGGAGAATTCATGGGAATTCTGTCGGGATTTTTAGGGAGTTTAATGGGACCCATGAATTGTTCGATGATTTCGCTTTGTATAAAATCGATCTTGTCAATATTTCTGATTGATGTTATGAATGTATATTAAATGATTAACCACATATCAACCACTAATAGACTATTATTAACTATTATCAACTATCAACCATTATATTCACCATTATAAAAACCAATTATGAACTATTCCCATATGCTCTATGGTGCTGGTATATTTACCTACATGACTGGGTGATTTTGTTTGGGCAAATGTAGGTAAATATACCATACATGGAGCATATGGGAATATATGGGATTAAATGCGGTAAACCCAATGCCATAGTCACTATATGTCACTATTCCCATGGCTTACCAGCGATTGCACATAGCCATCCCAATTGGAGGTTTCTTGGGTTTACCACACGGCTGTAACCATAGATTTTTGGGCAGATGGATTAATACGGCGATTATGAATTATGACATACCCTCTGGTAGTCTGGTAATTTGTTACATATACTATAAATTGTGATTTAATGGTTTAACAATGGGTTAACAATGGTGAAGAATGGGATGATCATGGGATATATGATATACCCTCTGGTAATTTGTGACATAGTTATTGAAAATGGCCATAGATATAGTTGCTTTACCCATTCAAAATGGAGATTTTCCATAGTTATGTAAACGTTTACCAGAGGGTATATTATAAAATAGTGTAAAGATGGCTTGAGATAATTGAATTTCATGCAGAGTTTTGCGCTTCATGGGGTGGTTGTGGCTGATCTGGCTGAAGTTTTGCCATAGATGATGGTTACTGTAGCACGAAACCAGCTCAAATTTACCCGACATTTCAGGTTGGTGAATTATATGGAGAATGAAGTCATTGAGTCAGTAGATACCAATCGTGGATCTTTGATGATGTTTTACTATTTCCATTTTTTTTATTATCTCAACTGGTTTGTGATTTGGAACATGTTTTTCCCATATATAGGGAACAATGATCCCAACTGGCTAATATTTTTCAGAGGGGTTCAAACCACCAACCAGTCAAATATTCTTCTAGAAATTGATGATGAGAATCCCTACTCAGCACCGCTATGGGCGCTGGAGACTAAGAAAAGCTCTACATATGGAGATGGGTCAAGTTATTCGGTCAACCATGGACCCAAGAAAAGAGGTAGTTGTTCTGTTGGTATCAAATCATCTACTCTTTGACTATCAATAAACCCATTCACAAGGTACAACTAGGTATGTATATATAATATGTTATATATATATATACAGGTAGAAAGATAGATAGATAGATAGATAGATAGATAGTTTAATGTTTAAAACAAAGACAAACCTACCTAATGCGATGTAAGGCCACATAAACCATCCTTAACCCAGCCCCCCATCCCCGTGCCGCTTCACCAGGCCACGCCATGTTTCTGCGCATGACGGGTGAAGCGGGGCCGAAAGAAGAGCTGCGCTTCCTGGTGAAGGCCTAGCGCGTGGGTGCCGTGGTACTTGGCTGAGTTGCTGTGGCTATGTGACTATGGTAACAAAAAATTATGTTTTTGGTAGATATATCATGATATATTTATACATCTATATATGTATATACATAGTTAATAGGCCTCAGGGACAGATGGTAATATATGCTTAGACATATAGTACTTGTTTTGCTGTTTATCTTGTAGATTTGTAGATCTTGTAGACTTTCGGGCATATGATTGGGGGCTGGGGTTTTCAAAAGATGAGACAACCTATATTTGACTCGAACCACATTACAACCACAAATGTTTGGATACCCACACACATATTGAGAAATTATTCAGAAAATTGTTGTTTCGGAAACGTATCTACAAGTGGGGTGGCAACAACCAACAATGGTGGACGCATGAGATATGCTAAGATGTTAAAAGTGACCGTTTGCATACAAATCAAGAATCACTGCTCAATTGGAATGTGAGTTTGGGTTTGGTGTGCTTCCGGATTTCCAAGGGTCTACCTTGGCTAGTCGCTGGAAAAATCCCAACTTATTGGTGCCTCCAATCCGTTTTTTTCATTGTTTTCCAACTTCATTAACTTCATTAACTTCATTCAAAAGCTGGTTGGTGGTTTCAAACATTGTTTATTTTCCATAATAAAAAAGGGATGTCATCCCAACCCCATTGCCTTTGTCACATTTTTTCCAGATGGTTATATAAAACCACCAACCAGAAAGCCATTTGAATTGCTGCTTCCAGGTGAAACCACAGTTATGGCCATGGCTACCAGTTATAACTGGTTATTTCTATGGGATTATACATTCTATAAATGGGCTTTTGTTAGTACTTATAACTTATAAATGGCCATAACTGCAGTCTGTAGGTCTTCCAACTTCCAACTTGGTGCCCCTGACTCCACGGTGGCCGCCAGTCGCCTGGCGTCGCCAGGGCTTCCAAAATTTCTTCGCCGCCTCCTGCATTGCCGCGGAAGGTGCTGCAGCGGAGGCGCCCCTTTTTTTTCGGGAAACGGGTCATGGAGGTTTCACCACGAAACCTGGGATCCAGTCACACAAAATATGTTAATTATAAATATATATCATATATATATATGGAAAATATGTGGGATATCTATGGTTTATGGAACATATAGGGAAAATATATGGGATATCTATGGTTTATGGAACATATATGGAAAATACATGGAAAACAAACATTGATCCCAAGGAAAATGGTGGATTTCTAATGGGATTTCTAATGAGATTATAGTTAATCCTTGTTGGTGGTTTCAAACATGATTTTTATTTTTCCGTACTATATGGGATCATCTTAAAACCCCAACCATATGTTAATTACAAATATATACTGTATTTATGCTGGTGAAATGAACATGTTTTTTTTCATGTTGCTATAGTTACTTGCAATCACAACAAATGGGGGAGCAAGGAGAAACTTGGGATCCATTGAGTGAACCTGTAGATTGAAGCAACAAAAAAGTGGTCACGCTTGGTTTCATCTTGGAAGAATGATCCAAGAATTGGGTCCGCAGAATGTTCAAGGGGAAACGCCGGAAGGTGAGGTTACCAGGGTAGATATCCTCTGGTTATTTAGCATAGCTATTGAACATGGTCCATTTTATCATTTATAGATGGTTTACCTATTAGACATGTTGATTTTCAATAGCTGTGTTGAATTTCCAGAGGGTACATAGTCCAAAGCGTGGTAAGAGGATCTGGGGATATCTGGGGTATTGACTGCATCCTCTTTGGTCGACTTGAAGTTGGCCCGTCAATCGTGATGGACAATCAACATCAATCAACACATCTCTAGATTTGGTCATATCCAATTCTATTATACTAATTCAGAATATAATTGACACTATCCATTAATTATAATATCCAGATATTATTCACAATTCTATTCTTTGAATTATCCAATTCTCAATTGTTTTTTGTGATCATATCTATGACAATAGCAGTCTAGGAGCAGATTCAGAGTATCAGTTCCATCTAGTCCGGGTTATTGATGTAGCTACCAGAATCATAGAACCGAAATACATTGCTTCGATCATCAATTGTTTGTTGGACTTGGCTTCTGGATCCTGATTATATCACCAATATATTGGTTAGTATGTTTGTATAATCCCCGAATTAATCATCAACTAACAGGGGTTTTTACCTCAGCATGAGCAATGTTTGGATGGATTGTATGGAATAGAGTCGAGAAAGGTTCCGGTTCTGGGTCAAAACAGGAAAACAAAAACACCATGGGTTTTCACATTATATTAATTCAAGATAATAGTGTCTCAGCCTCCACAAAGACGGTACTATCATGTATTGATTATAGCATTTGAAGCATACGATTCCATCAGCGTTGCGCCTTGACCCAGGGTTTGCCGGACTTGAAAGCTTTGCTGTTGGGAGTCTCAGCGGTATCCGAAAAAACGCCTCTACGTTGGTGGGTCAAGCTCGAGATTGGGTAATAGATATCCATTGTTTGCTATAGATACATTAGATAACTAGCATTGATGGAAGAATATAGATACTATAAATTACCATAGATTGCAAAATGTCCATTGCTATACATGGGGGATTACATGGTGGGAAGATACCACCATTGATTGGGTCATAGATTTCCATTTGCTACAGATGGTGGTTTCCCCAAAATGAGGGATCCCCAGTCGTCACCATGGGTTTTCATACTCGTCGTCATGGTCATCCATTTTTCGTGGATGAGTTGGGGCCAAAATCCCCTCCAGGGGTTCCAAGATCAGCAGGGTCATGCCTTGTGTTTTTCTTGGCAGTTCCTGGATCTCAAGGTTGATGATGAGTGCATCATTACTGGTTTGTGGTTTGGAACATTTGGATTATTTTTCCATATATTGGGAAGAAGAATCCCAACTGACTAATAATATGTTTGAGAGGGGTAGGTATACCACCAACCAGATTATGTCTAGTTAGATTTCCATGATAGGTCGTTTGTTGGTCTAAGATGTCCCATTCAACATCCATCATCATCACGACTAATTTCAACGTACGCCAGGCTGTGTTTGTTCAGCCATGTTCAGTCTACACTTGCATACAACCGGTGGATGAAATTTTGAATGCACCTTTTTGGATTCACCTTTTTTTTGGGTGGTAAAGGTTCTTCAGTGTTCCACCCTCCCAGCGAAACCAGTGTGGGACCGTGTTGTGTGTTTAGTCATTGCTGCGGTAGGACCGAAGAACACTGGCAACAGATGCTGGAAATGTTGGGAGAGGCGCCACCACGCAGGGACTGCCAGGAATTGGCTCCAGATTTTCATGACCACAACCTGGGTTGAATTGCCAGATGGCTGAACATATGGGATTTTACTGGGATGTGATGGGATTTAATGGGATTTAATGGGGGCTGTAGACATTCCAAAGTACAGCAGCCATGGCATTCCTTTCATGGTTGAAATTGGAACAGTGGGGCAGGAGTGCCATCATTCGTTGCACATCCAACGCAAACAATTTGATCTGGTTTGAAGCACTGTGCCCGAATTCCGTTGTTTGGTACACCTTCAGCCTTTGGTCTGATGTGATTCTGTATCTATATCTATTTCAGTCAGGATGGTAGTACTTTCCAACCACTGGAAAACAAACTGAAATGACATGGCACCCTGGTAGAAATCATCAAGACGCCTGGCAACAGTCACTTTTTTTGGCACAGCGCACCTAAATTGAGCACAAGCACATTGGATGCTTTGCTATCCAGATAGGGATTTAACCAAGAATGAATATAGCGGGAATTATATAGGCTGGTTGCTGGTTTGGAACATTTGGATTATTTTTCAATATATTGGAAATAATAACCCCAACTGACGAACTCCATCATTTTTCAGAGGGGTAGGTATACCACCAACCAGATAGAGATGATGCTCAACCAGGGGATTTTGGGGTGCCATATGTTTTCAGTCCCGGGAAAGTGTCACGAATCTCCAATGAATCGATAGATGGAAAGTGTCATACCCCTTCAGTCCGATTGTTCCGTACCCCATCCTTGACTCATACCCACAAAAAAAACACGTTTGAAAACAGTGGGGATTCCTACCTCTGGTAAACTAGCATAGCTATTGAAAATGGTCATAGAAATAGTGGATTTACCCATGAAAAATGGTAATTTTCCATAGCTATGTTAGTTTACCAGAGGGTAATTGGAATGATGATCATCATTTTTCCCAATGCAATTGCCATTTGGGGGGATGAATCCCATATTTTCAGACACCCAAATCATATCAACCTGGTTACTCTCTGGAAATCTAACATGGCTATTGAACATTGCCCGTTGAATAAGTGATTTACCCATTGAAATGGTGATTTCCATAGTTCTTTGTATGTTTACCAGAGGGTATATATCACTACTGGTTGGTGGTTTGGAACATTTTTTCCATACATTGGGAACAATAATCCCATCTGACTAATATGTTTCAGAGGGGTTGAAACCATCAACCAGACTACATATATCCAAATATATCAACCATAAAATTATATATCAACCAAATTATCAACCAAATTTGGACCATCAACCATTATAAACATCAACCATCAACCATATATCCCACTCTTTCTCCATGTTTTTTTTCGGCCTTTGCTCCCCCAAAAAAGGCCTGGCCTGGGAGCTACGTGGAGATTGTGCAGAATCGCCTTGGGCAATTCAAACCCACCAGTGGGAGATCCTGGAAAGTCTTGGGATGGCTGAACAACTAAAACAATAATAAACCATCCACAAAATCACCATAAATGGGTGGTATAAATCATTCCCAAATGGGTGGTTTATTATTGTTTTAACCACATTAACATATGGGATTTTCGTGGGATTTTACTGGGATGTGATGGGATTTAGTGGGATTTCATGGGGGCTGTAGACATTCCTACAGTAGTTTAGTATATACTTGAATGGAAGAGAAGCAGCAACAATCGATACCCTCTGGTAAACATACAAAGAACTATGGAAAATCACAAGTTTCAATGGCTAAATCCACTATAAATTACAATTTTCAATAGCTATGTTAAATTACCGGAGGGTATTTCCTGCGGTTTACTACACTACAAAAATCGGCTAAAAGTATCCGAAAGGTATCTATACACAGATATTCAAACCCTACAATTTTTAAATATCCCAGTGGATTTAATACCCTAAGTGGATCTTAAAACCCTACTTTTGCTATTTTTCATATACCTTTAGAAACCATACTTTTTCCATGTCTATAGTCTATACCAAGCAGTTTTTCTATGCCACATGGAGGATATCTAAGATCCGCCATGAAAAAACGCCCGAGGCAAAGACAACTTCCTACACCTGGCGGCCAGGGCTGGTCATAGGCGAATCCGATGGGATTGATTCTGGGAGAATGATGCGCAAGCCATTGGAAAATGGTACCTGGTAATGGGGAACCATGGTGATGTGATGGAAATCATGTTGTTTTTTTTTCGTAACTGGTTGTTTTTTTGGAACATAACAATAGCGTATGATACTATAAAAACAATAATGTATGATACTATATATATATATTATCTGGTTGGTAGTGACTGGAACCATGGAATTTTATGACTTTCCATTCAGTTGGGAATTTCATCATCCCAACTGACGAGCTAATAGTTTTTTTTTTTCAGAGGGGTTGAAACCACCAACCAGAAAACCATTGGGTGTTATCTTTTCTTTTTTTGGGCATGTGTTGATGAATGGGATATAATATGATGTAATGGTCTAATGGTATGCACTGGGTGCTTTTTGGGTTAGCAACACCTCCCCAAATGCTCCTCTCATGGCGTATTTGCCTACAATGGACAGTTTCGGTGTGATTCTTGACATCATTTTGGTTTTATTCTAGGCCCATGGGGCACTCCTGTGTGGAACATGCCATGTTTATCTTGGACCTTGGATCAATTCGCCGATTCTTCTGGGTTCAATGTGTTCCTGCATGTTCCGGCATGTTCCGGCTAGAGGTCGCAGGTGCAAGTCGTTAGCTCAAAACATTTACCAAGTATATCTTTGCACTGCTTGGACAACATTTTGTTCTAACTGTGCAACGGAACATGATTCCCAAGGTTTTTCAACAGGGGTATGTGCCAGGCATAAAACGGCTTGATCCGTGCCCAACTGGTTTGTGATGAGGGTTCAAAGTGTCACCCAGCCAAAGTTGAGAAATGGGTGTGCGTTTGGGGTATGTATGCCATGCAATCTGACAATTAGATTGAGGTTCTAAAGCACTTTCACTGATCACATTTTGTGACATCAGCGATGGATTGGTTGAGGCAAAAAAAGACGGAAACCTATGTTCTTGTTTTCCCATCACATTTCATATTAGGAGCGATTGTTTGTTTCCCGAAAAGCCATGGGTTTTAAGCCATCTCAAGGGTTTCCTGCCATGGTTTTCCTTCCACCGGTGAAGGATTTTGCCAGGCCCGTCTTTCAGTTGCTGCACAAATTCCCAGAGCGACACCGAGAAGAGTTGAATCAACGTGGCGAGGAGACGACTAGGGATGGTCAAGGTGGTTAGAGATGGCTGCCATCAAGGCAAATAGCATTAAAGGTGATAAACCCTAGGTCAATCTTACATGGATGCTTTAATCCTTTAGTCTTTTGGTATTAATGGGAATATCTACGTTCACCAGCAAATAATTTAACTTTTTGCAGGCTATCTGGCTGATTGGCAATGAACCCAACCATTTTTACGATTTTTCTAGGGTAAAACTCAAATGTCCAAAGCGGATGTCCTCGGTTTTACTGAAGATTGTGATGGTAATCCACCATTTTCAATACCCTCTGGTAATTTAACATAACTATGGAAAATTCACCATTTTTAATGGGAAAATCCACTATTTCTATGGTCATTTTCAATAGCTATGTTTGACATAACCAGGCCGGGTATCTCAGAATTCTCCCAGAAATGGCTTATCGGATCTTTTTCTCGGTTTCACATGGTTTCACCGATCTATATTTCATGGTTTCAATTTCCATGCTGTCTTGGTTTCAACGTTTAACTATCAATCCATTGACAAGGGAAACCTTGGATGGGCAGTTTAATACTCTTATGTTTAGCACATTTTAGTCTTTTACCACCTAAATCGGGATGCATTAACCTGACCAAAGTGTCTTTTTGGTGGGGATAATCACCCCTTTTTTCGAAGTGCATGGTTAATACATCCCAATTCATGTGGTAGTACCAGACGTTGTTTGTCAGGTTAATGTATCTAAGATTGGCCATGTTTTGAATAAACACATAAAAGCCCTCATCATCCAGCCACAAGGAAGGAATGCTGCCGCTGCACTTAGCCGCTCAGCTGGGGCAGGGAAGCTCAGCGTGGCTGACGTGGCTGCAAGTTGAACCGGGTAATCTGGATATGCTGATGAGTTTGTGATATTTTCTTTGGTTGGTGGTTTGGAAGATTTTTCTATGGTTAATCTATGGTTAATAATGGTTAATAACAATATATCTGGTTGGTGGTTTGGAACATGAATTTTATTTTCCATTTCATGTATGGGATAATCCTTCCCAACTGACTTTTCATATTTTTTCAGAGAGGTTGTTTTACCACCAACCAGTTTATGGTTCGCTTAATCCAGTATTTTTTGCGAACCTAATTGCTGGGATTTTTCCTTCTTGGTTGTTGATTGTTTTGGATAGCAGCGTTTGTATTTTTTTATGGCTTGATATGTTTAGCAATTTGGAGGATTACTGAACTGCATCAGTACCTACCACACCATCACGTCGACCCATTGCAAGGGTCTAGACGGAAACTGACTGCAATGATGGCCTGATATTTCTTTATTTCACATGGAGCCCCAAAACGTTAGCTAACTTGGCTTAGAACCTCAATAACCATATGGTATGAATTTATATACTTAATGCAGATAATAAGACCTTTTATAGATGGGGCCAGAATCCAAGCAACTCCCACGGGGATACCCAATTTTCAAATGCATATTGTACCCCATGTACTTGGCATGGGCTACTGGGCTACTAAAGCATCGGCTGATATACGTTGGCCCATTTTTCGTACCCGCAATCAGTCCCTTTGCCATTGTTTTGTCGATACCCTCTCTTTTCCTGTAACTGGTACTTCAGGCCATAACTGTAGCAACCCCCACACCAGCACGGTCTCTTTTCTGGGAAACCAGGCACACCCTGCTGATTGAGTTGATGCTGAAAGCGGGCAGCTTGATCAACGCTGAGGACGGGGCGGGATGGAATCGTTGTGGTAAGTTTCAAGACTTTATCTGCGAGTAGTCTAACATAGATATGGAACATAGTGTGTGCGTGTTGTTATGGGAAAATCACCTATAAACCGGCGATTTTCTATAGATATGTTGAGTTGCCAAAGGGTAAAGAGAGCCAGGCAAGCCTGGAAGTCTTCCCAGTGAAATTTAAGCATTTACAGTCACTTCACTTGGATCATTTTAGTTTTGGGAGGTTATATCCTGATCTTTTCTGATTCTATACCGCCTATTTGGGTGCCATTCTATCCCCATTTTTTTTCTATATGCCCCATCTTTTTCTATCTTGGGTTTGCCCAAATCGTGGGTAATGTATATCGTGTTCCCAATTGGTCAATCCACCATTGGTTGGATCCATTGGGAATATGTTTGTTTGCCGAGGGAATCAGCAAATCCAAAGATACCCGGCCTGGTAATTTGTTACATAGACTATAAATGGTGATTTAATGGTTTAACAATTGGTTAACAATGAAGAATGGGATGATAATGGGATATACCCTCTGGTAATTTAACATGGCTATTGAACATGGCCCAGTCGAAATAGTTGATTTTCCCAGCTAGAAAATGGTGATGTTCCATAGTTTTTTGTTAGGGTTTACGAGAGGGTACCCATTTGAATCCTGATGAATCGTATGTTTGACGGTAAAACCTCCATGTTTGCTGGACTATTAACTTGCTCATATCATTTTATATGCCCATCTTGAGTTATTATCCCCATCTTGATAAGAACTATATAAATATTGATTACCCATATGAATAGGACCCATATGATATTAACCATATATATGATATGAACATTGAAGTTCCTATTTCATGTTGAACATGTTTTTTCTTTATAACAATTATATGACTCAATATTAATATTCAATTGCCCATCAATATTCAATAACAATAACAGACAAATTACCCATTGAACATAGTTGATTTACCTAGTCAAAATGATGATTTCCCATAGCTATATTAATTAAATTACCAGAGGGTATATATCACTATATTATATATATATATCCCACTATTTCTCCATGAGTAGAAGTACTTATTACCCATATTGAAAATATAACAATTACCGCCAGGACGCAAATGAACGCTTGGCGGTGCACATCGCCATGCGCAACCACCACTACTCCACGGCCTGGGACCGAGTCATGCATAAATTTTATCTCAACTATAACAATAATGATCGATAATACATATAACAATAATAAATATATATGTACTAAATTAAATCAAACTCATAACAATAATGATGAATCATGATGAATCATGATGAATCATGATTAATTACAAATATATAGACACTAAGTTTCTCACTATTTCGAATTACAGTATCGCCCAAAAGATGCAGAATTCTCATCCCGCCACCGAGGCGCAGTTCCTGAACGATCGCTGGCTGGAGATCTTTGGCAGCGCCAAGTCCTCTGAGAGGCGCTCGCGGAAGGCGCGGAGAGGGATGGGAAATGCGGAGATGAGATGGGAATAAGGTGACTATATGGGATCTATATGGGATCTATATGGATCTATATGGGATTGGGATTTATATGGAGATTTGATTTATATGGGATTGATATGGATCTATATGGGATTCGGATTTATATGGGATGTATATGGGATCAAACAGTCAATATATATGTATATACTGTGTATGTTTGAGGTGATTTAATGGGATTTAAAGGTGATAACATCAGTTGAGGGGCGACATATCCCAAAAATTGATGATTTAACAGGATTTGATTGGATTTTAATGGGTATATAATGATGACTTAATTGACTTTAATGGGATTCTTATGGGGAATAGAAAAAGGGGTCAACTGGCGATTCATGAAATACAATCCTGAGATGATTAGTTGTGATTGGAATGATTGGTACCCTTTCTGGAATATTATGGCTAAAAAGAGAACATGACATGGATAACCAACTCAGAATTGGGGATTTGTTGAATAAATGAGAGGTAACTTGAGGATTCAACCAATAAATCGAGAATTTCACCCTAAAAAAGTCATCAAAACTGGGATTAAAATGGGCTTCACACGTTTTATCTATCCTTTATGGTGATTTAAGCAACAAATTTAAGAGTTTACTGGCTGTCATTGTCCAAATTCCCATCGAAAATTCCATCGAGATCATCGATTTGGATGAAATCGTGTCTGTCAATGGGGATAGAATGGGTAACTGGTTGGTGGTGACTGGAACCGACTGGAATTTTGAATGACTTTCCAGAAACAGTTGGGAATGGAAACATCATCCCAACTGACGAGTTGTCATATTTTTTGGAGGGGTAGGGCTCAACCACCAACCAGGTAATCCCCCATGTGACGGGCCGTATGGATCCCAGGCAGAGCAGTTGGCGCAACGCATGGTGAGCCTCAACGAGAAGGAATTCTTGGTCGGGGCCTCAAGGGTTGGTGTCCTTCCGGCACAAAAAAGATCAACAAAGCGGATGCTGATGGATAGAAACACAATGATGGCCTGGTTGGTGGTTTGGAACATGTTTTTTTCTTAGGGATAATAAACTAAAACTATAACTGGGTGGTGGTTTCAAACATGTTTTTATTTTCCATTTCATATATGGGATGTCATCTCAAGCCCATTGATGAACTCCATCATTTTTCAAGATGGTGAAATTGCACCACCAACCAGCTTTTTTGATGGCTAATGATGGATAACCAATGGATAATGATGGTAACCATTAATTATTCACCATGGTTAATGATGGTTATCCATTGCTAATAATGGTTAATTATTCACCATTAATTAATGGCGAATCTTGGTGAATTTCATGGTGAATAATTCCTGTAGGCAACTCACCACGGAAATGTGGATGATTGGGATGGGCTGCGGTTGAAGGTCCCTGGGTCTGGGGTCCCTGTGTCGCGCTACAGTTTCTACTGAGCCAGACGTGCATCGTTTGATGTTTGCTGTAGGGTCATGTCTGAAACTAGATCTTATTTGACTACTGTGTTTGAAGATATTGTTTCTTGTAAAGGGTATAGTACACCGGGGTTTGAAGCCCAAAAGTTGGGAACCACCCATAGTTAGCATATGATTTGTGTCAAGATACCCCTCCACATGGCCCATCCATCGAATCATCATAATTTCCCGTTTCGGATATGTCCAATATCAATGTCCAAAGTTGGACTAGATGTGCTTCTCATATTGAGAGATGGTCATATCACCATTGAATAGAACCAATGAACTCATATTATGTTTCTTGTTCAAGGAATCCCAGTATGAATGGAAATGAATGGGTGAGGATTGATGGATATCAAGCTTTCTTTAATCATATGGGGAGTTTCCATTTACATTAGGGTACCCCTAGTCATCATCCATTTTCAGAACCCATTCTCCCTTCCCAACCATCCAGCTATTGGGGGTACCACCACTGGGACGATCCAGTCTGTAGCCAGCGAGACCTTCACAGAGCAGGGACACTCGGAGTACTCGGAGTACTCGGAGTACTCGGAGTTTGGGTCGGTTGACTTAGTTTGGATTAACCATGGGTTAAGCATTAATTAACCATGAGGTAATTATTGATGATTATTGATGAGATTAATGTTCCAAACTAAGTTTGGTCAATCATTATTTTTAACCATGATTATTGAACAGTAACCATGGGTTAACCATTAATTATCATTTATTAACCATGGGTAATTATTGATGATTATTGTTGATGATTCATGATCAATGGGAGATCTCCAGGATCCTAAATTGGAGGTACTGTACCATATAAGTCCATTTTTTGGGGAGATATTCCCTTACATAGGCCTGAAAAATAGGCCTTATATATGGTAGGTACCTCCAATGAATCGGATCCTGGAATGGCCATTGAACTAAGTCAATCTCCAACTGTAATAACTTAGTCCACTTAGTCCAACTAGTTTGACAACTCTTGGGTTTATGGTCATGAAATAACCAGTTTGTTAGCACCTTTGGGGTTGCATCCCCAGGATTTGTGGCCTATTCCTATGGGGTACAGACCCAAAACAGGACTTCGGCTTTGACCTCACAAAGCCTGATTGGTGGTTTGGACGATGAATTTTATTTTCCATATATTGGGAATGAATAGTGACCCCAACTGACTTTCACTCCATCATTTTTCAGAGGGGTAGGGCTCAACCACCAACCAGATCATGTCATGTTTGCTGGGATGACATGGGGATCTACTGGGAGTGTCAACGGAAGCAGTTCAGGCGTTGAAACAAACC